CGTCGGGCGTCACGTACTGGCACACGTTGAAGGGCCTCAAGGAGGGCAAAGATGGTGCCGATGGCACCTTTAGTAAGTGTAAGCGTCGAGCATGTTGGCGGCTGTCGACACCAAAGCTTGCTTGAGCAGGAGTCGGCGAGTCGCTGTAACGGCGCTGGAGATGGGAGTGGGTTGAAGGAGAGAGTATCCGGTGGTCAGACGAAGATGGGAAGTGCTGGAAAAGATATAACAAAGCATACTTTCGAACTAGGCACACTCTGCCTGCTAGGCCCCATTGCAACCTGTTGCAACCCACGTGGTGGTGCTCGGATCATGCACCAAAGATGGTCATTGTCGGTCTCGAATTGAGTCGAATCCTCCATTTTTTTTGGCTGTCTCAGCCCTGATGGCCCGATAGCATCACCGAGGTAGCAAGGGGAAGGTGGGGTGCGCCATGCAATATTCGCCATGGAATGCCAAAGGCTTGTTCGAATTGGATGCAGCCGATTCAAGCTCGCAGTATCCAAAGATATCAATCGAAAGGTGAAACGTGCTTTCAGCGCGGCCTGTGATTTGTTACTTGGCGCCTGGTCTAAGCTTTCGAAGCTTTCAGGTGGCTTTCACAAGCCTCGAAAGTAACCCTCGTTGCCCACCGGCCCGCCTCCTGCCAAGCCCAGATGCACCCAATCAACTCATCGTCTGCCCACGGAGAAGGACTGTTCGGGCTTGCTCTCTCTTGGCGTGGCGGCACGGCATCAATTGTTTGCGAGGCAGACCCTGGAGTTCGGTAAAGTACCGGCGTGGTGGATTGCTTGTAATTGCTTGGAATTTCTTGGAATTGCTTGTTCCTCGGATCGGCCTTGGCCGCTCGGCTGGGCAACAGCGGCTGACAACTTTGGGGGCATCTCTGCGTCTTTGCTCGGTGAGGTTGGCGAACTTCAGGTTGCAGCGCTGTGGCGTCGAATCGACCCTCTCGGCCCCCCCGGATTTTTACGTTTTAGCGTCAACATGCACGGTTGCGCCGAGATCAACAGCAGATCAACCTCGTCTGCTTCCCACCTAACAAGACAACATCGCTGGAGAATCCCGCGCCGAGGCCAACCCAACCCACACCCGTCTCGTCTCTAAGGCAAAGTATCGGAGCACGTCGGTGTTCGCATCGAACCTTCGAAGTTTTCCAGCGCGAGATCTGGTGCCACCACCCCCCTGTCAGGTTCTAGACTCGATCAAAATTCCTGGTCCTGCCATGGCAAGCACGTGGGCAAACACCCAATCGGCCGTTCGTTGCAGCTTTTGGTTGCAGGAAGCTGAAAGCGTAATCCAGATCCAGCTCCATTAGGTATTTATTGCCTTACTGCGCGGATATGGAACGAATCAGTCGACTTTCCCCGGGGCCTCTTATCCAGATAAGAGACATGAAGAGTGAGGCCCTTTCCCTTCCTCTTCGCCTTCTCCTCAACTCCCCGATCTCGGCCCCCAAGCCCATTACCTAATCGCACCTGAACTTCGAGCCCAGAAACCATCAGTGGCCATTTCACAACAGTTGAGTTAGTATACCTACCAAGATTTCGAGTCGCCTACGTGCATCAAATCGAGGTTTACTATCGCCCACCATTTCGAGCACACAAACAAACCACTGCGTGATTCCATTACTTCCATCCGGTGCATCCGTGATGGGATCCGAGATGTTGCAAGCGAAAATGGGCTTGGCGTGCTGCTGTGTGGTCAGCCTCCCTTCAGTTCCCATTGCGAGTTTGGGGACTAAATACACTTGCTACCCCCAACTTCCCCGTTGTACAACTCGTGACCTATAACCGCAGCTGGTTTAATTGGGAGCCTATTCATATTTTCAGGTTGGCACGTCGTAGCATGAACGACATGGTTTGAGCCCAAGCAAAAATAAACAACTGCAAAACTCTCAGTGGTCGGTTGCGCGGTCAACCCTGGCCTCAGGGTCGCTGGCCTGCTTCAGAACTTACAACGGCAGGCGCCGCCGCGTGGTTGTTGAGCCAATAAGAACCCTACCAGGTAATCGGGGAGTCGATAACTTCCTTTTGGGTCTTCGTAGCAACACCTATCCTTCGTTCCTTTTAGGACATGCACACTGGAAACCGTCAAATGCTTTCACGCGACACTCCCAAAGTCACATCGTTGAGTCCACGTTCAAGCTCTCACCCACACTACCTTAACTTAGCAATATCTACCTTCTTTAAACAACCTACCCCACTTTCATTCTCTCGGTCCTCTAGCACCATGCGGGCCACGACATTTATTGCGGCATTCCTGGTAGCCTTAGCCTCTGCCGCTCCGGAGATGGTCACCGAAAAGATACGGGAGCGTGAGCTCTGTGTAAGTCTCCCCCGGTAACCAACCTGCTTTGCATTATTTTAATCAATATGGAACCAATTTATCTTTGATATGGTTAGAGTCGTTACTAACTATTTCAATTCAGATTTGTTCCGAGATTGACTGCAAAGGGCCCGATTGCTGCGCCAATGGGACTTGTTAAGGGCGAGCCGAGAAGAACTTCGGGGGCGTCGACGACTGTATACCTGAAGAATTCTGTTCACTGCACGCCGCTATCCATCTCATACAACTTATCCCCCCTTCTACTTACAACGCCGCCTTTTTCTCGGTACAGTTACGTTACCATCGAACTTGGGAACCTCACTTTTGCCCCCGTCAGTCTACCCAGCACAACCCGACCCAGAAGTTACTTTGATACCACTTATTCCAAGGGCCGACTTGATAACCCCAAGATCACTCTTGGCCATCCCTTAAGTTTATGTGGTCCTCCTCCACTCCTCAACCAGAACAACGTCGCCGGCTAGTCCCTACAACACAACAACACCCGCCCTCCCATGCATCGATCAACGGCTAGCGAGGCGTCGACGAGTTGAAAAGTACGGATAGGGCTGGGTGTGTTTGGTTAGTGGGGTGAATCAACGCGTATTGCGGTTCACCCAGCTGTCGCAGAGAAACAAACTTCACAAGTATTGCAAGGGATCAAGACATTGTCTCATGACCTTCAAAGGTCGGCATCGTGACCAAGTAACGAAGTAGTCTACATGCAATCTCCTCTACCCTACACCCCTTCTACCTATATTTATCAAACTGCCGCCCAATCTCCAACATACTCTCCGGCCACCAATCGCGATCCCTATTCCACAAACACCCCTCCCACCCTTCACGCCTCCTCACCCCCACAAACCTCTCCAACTCCCACGCCCCAATTCCCCCAATCCACCACACATTATCCAACAACATCACCAACACCAACCAATGCGCAAAGATCTCCACCGCCAACTGGTGCGCCACGCTCGGCACCGCAACCTCCCCCACCCCCATCCCAACCCCCTTCCCCATCCCCACCCCCCGCATCTGCATCAACCCAATCACCTCCTCAATCAACCCCAGATACGCCGTCGGCACCTTGTGCACAAGGGACATGATGGTGCGCCGCGGCAGGTGCGACGGGATCGTTGACGTGATGCTGGCCGTGTACTTGCGCAGCCAGGGCGAGATCTCGGCGAGCCGTTCGGCGGCGGCGTCGTCAACGTGCTGGAGGTCGAGGGGGAAGGCGTGCTGGTAGTGGTAGTGGTGGGGGGTATTGGTGGGGGTGGTGGTGGCCTGGCGTGGGGGAGGGGGTGTTGGGGGTGGCGGGGGAAGAGGGGGGTGCTGGGAGTAGGGAGGTCGTGATGATGGTGCTGAGGATGTTGAGGGCGCTGAAGCAGGCTTGGAGGGCGGTGGTGGTGGTGGTGGGTTGGGTGAGAGCGTAAATCTCGGCTGCTTTTTCGTCGAGCCGGCCCAGGGCGGAACCAACTGTGGCGGCTAAGATGGGGCCGAGGGGGGTGGCTGGTGATTGTGAAGGTCCTGGGTTCCAGATCTGGCGGGGCTCGGGACGGGTGCTTTGTATTCGTACTGTATGGTAAGGGCAGGGGGGGTGCTGGCTGGGCTGGGCTCGGGCGAGTTTCTCAGCAGGCCTGCATATGCCACGCGGACGGCACGGAAAAGGCTCATCCACTGCGGGTTCCCGGGCATGGTCAGATCGAACAGCTGTGGGTCTTCGCCGAAGGGGGCCGTTTTCGCTAGCCAGATGCGGGCGGCGTGGCTGGCCGACCCGTACATGCCCATCATGGCTGCGTTGGCAAAGACGTGGTCGTAGTTCTTAGCCTCTTGGAGCGTTGCCTGAATCTCGTGCAGGGATTCTGAGTGGTAGCGCTGTGCTAGTGACAGGAGCTCGATCACTTGGCTGCGATCTGAGGCTTCAGGGGGTGTCGATGTTTGACTGATGATGTCACAGCACTTGCAGGTTGCCGCAAGCGCGAGCACAGATCTCATGAGGGGCTTGCATTGGCAGGCTAGATTCGGGATGCCGATCTGTAGGGTGTACTTGTCGTGCTCCCCAACAGTCGGATGCTTGCTGGTGTGCTCGAGGTAGTGCTTGAGAAGCTCAAACTCTGCCGGCGGCAGCGTCTGTTCCAACCAGGAGAAGTCGGGCGGCTCTGTCCAATAGTCGGTGTCCTTTTTCTTGCGGTACTGGCAGCTCAGATTCATCTTTTCGCACCTTGAGCATCTCGGCGTGCCTTCGTCGCACTGCATAACCGCAAGTCAGCGACTGGTCCCACACTCCCACTCGTGTCCGCTTGCGTGACAGGCATATGTGTGTACCTTGATTCTGCGCACTTTGCATTTAGTACAGCCGTATCTCGACTTCCTGTGTGGTCTGCGCGTCTTGTGTTGATGAACTGGCTCACTCTCACTCCTTCCAGAGCCCGCAACCTCGTAACCCTCGTCGGCCTCGTCACGGTCCATTTGACTAAGATAACTTTGAAGCGAGCGTGACATATTGGTAGATGCTCGCAAACATACGCGTTGATTTGGTACCCAGGTAGTCACTGGTGCCACCGTGATAGTTGGGTGGTGGTTGGACTGGGATGCAGGGGGTTTTTGAGTCTCTGGCTGTTCTTTTTGCATCTTGAAATCATCACCAATCGGCATGAGGAGATTGCCAGTTAGTCAGCTCCACACCGCGGCAAAACGGGGCTTTCAGCACAGCCCAGACGCGCCCTTGACTAATGTTGGCTGTGCCCAACGCTTGGCGTTGAGCTCCTCACGCCATAACTTTGTTAGGTAGACCGCCCCTTCACCACGTAGTAGTGTTTGTGTGACCGTCACATTAGGTCACAACCCGCCGTACCCGAGAGCGTGGATGCCCTTGTTGCTCAGCCAACGCCAAGAGAGATAATGACAAATTTTGAACAAGTTTACTGTGTAAACGGAGGTGAAAGTGCACAAACTGCTCCCGGAGACGGCCCAGTACTACGGTAAGCTGATTAGGTCATGGATTTAAGGTACGGAAGCTTGGTGTTCACTCCGGCGTTAACGGGGAATATGCAAGTGCGTATTCGCCAAGATAGCCGCGTTAGCGAATACGCTTCCCCAGTCGGCCGAGCTCCCCTGTCTTCCAACAATTCGAATTCCAAATACTCAAATCCCAGTAGATTCCCACTATTTCTCGTCCACGATGCCATCTTACACCCATGAGCCTCCACACTGCGAATCGCTTGCGGAAGGTCCAAGACTCTCCCTAGCACTGATTCTGACAACACATTGAAAGACCGTCGAACTACTGACAGCCCCTGGAGCGCCCCACGCAACTATGCAGCCACGCAGTACCCATGTTTTCTTCGCGAACTTGTATACGCGGTGTGGCTGAGTTTTGTGTATCTAGATACGCTCGAGCTGGATACTGTTGACTATGGTGAACGCCATATAAATACATAGGACCTGCAGGCTCTGTAGATTTGTGTCAAGACTCAAGCAACCTACACTTCCTCAATCCTCCCCGCCTCCTTACGCTAATTGAACCCTCAAATACCTACCATCCGGTTCCGTCATTATGAAGCTCGGTAGCTTTGCGAGTGTGGCTTTATTTAGCCTTGCTGCTGCGGTGGAAGAACCTGAGGGCCATGAGTATCATCGGAACCCGGCTGATGGTCAGTTTCACCAGCCATCCTCACCCCCATATTTGTACAATAACTTACCAAAAATCACAGACCGATCCCCCTGTCCCGGCCTCAACGTCCTAGCAAACCATGGTTTCCTACCTCGCTCGGGCTTGAACATCGACCTGGAGACGTTCCGGTACGCCGCCCACGCAGGCTTCAATTACAAGCTCGGCTCCGTCGACCAGCTCTTCCAAGCAGCCATCGACTTCAAGCTGTCCACCACCGGCAACAGCTCCACCATCCACCTCTCCGACCTGGCCAAGCACGACACCATCGAGATGGACGGCTCGCTGTCGCGCAACGACTTCCTCCTGGGCGACGACCTGACCTTCGACCCGGCCATTTGGCACACCGTCGCCCTGAACCTCGACCTCTACAACACGGGGCCGTCCGAGGCCGACAAGTACGTCACCGTCGAGACGGCGGCCAAGGCCCGCGCCGCACGCGTGAAGGACGCCATGGCCGCCAACCCGAACTTCAATGCCTCCGAGGCTCAGATGATGGGCAGTCCGGGGACCACGGCGCTGTATTTGACGACGCTGTGGGATGACGAGGCTGATGCTGCGCCCAAGGCATGGATCAGGGCCTTTTTCGGTAAGTTTTTCAGCGTTTGATATTGCGTGGACGGTGGTCTCTGCTTGAATCAGGACAATGCTGATGATGGGACCTGAACAGAGGAGGAGCGCCTCCCGTACCTCGAGGGCTATGATCCCGCAACTCGCCGGGAAAAGACATTTGATGACGTTACCGCCATGTTTGCCAGAGTGGTTGCAGTGAACACCGAACCTAGCAAATGCAAGCGCAAGTTTAGGTCGTGAAAGGCTCTTAAGCCGGTACAATTGAGTTGGGGGACGTGTTTTGTTGTAGACTAGGTTCGGGGGCGAGGCAATGATTCAATCCCACCGGCGAGGTTGTTGTTTCATTAGAGTAGAAAGTTTTAGAGACTACAGGGGTTTATCCATAATAGTTAAGAGGGCTGAAGAGTGGGTGCTTAGGTTGTTGGTCGCACAAACAACGTGGCTATTAGCAAAGTGGGCATTATTAGGTACCTACGATGAGTTCAAGGCCACCCTCCATGTAACTACCCAGGATTAATTTAATATCTCGGTTATCTGCTCTCACACTTCGGGCCGTACCACGACACCCAAAAGCTACTCGTACTATATTTGACAGCAGGCGTGACATAGGTAGATTTGTCTTTACGTGTCCACGCCAGGCATTGCATCGCGCTGTCTCGATGGGATAGACAAGCTCGCGAGGGTAACAGTGAATGGGACGTACTTGGGCACAGGGGATATTTATTCGTAAATCCCCTCTCGAGATAATATGTACTTGACAGTACTACTGACCTGTACTCACGAACCGGCATTCATTCTGCTTGCTAGATCTTGCCTCCTAGCATGCCGTACTCTCAAAGGTTTCACTTCGTAGCTATGTCCGAGCAAACTCTGAGGCAGCGCTCGATTTGACCTGATCGAGAGGCGGTTACGATAGGTTGTACATTCAGTTTGCTCACAGTCGACGGGAAGACCAAAAAGAAAGCAGCCGCCGACGCGGTACCCCCTTGCAAAGCATGTCCCTACGAATCAAGCATTTAGGTGGAAACGGGCCGTTTATATACCCTGCTGCGAGAAGTGTCTCTTCCCAACCCCTCGTCGCATGACTGCCCGGATGCTTTCCAAACTTCGTTATTTGCCTGAACAGCGGTGTGCAACTGAAATTCGTTTGCTGCTGTTGTTCAACGCAGCTAAAAGTTGCGAGGCCGTGTTCGAGAAGTTGGGTGAGCCCCAGAAGACACCGCTTTTCCAATCCACGGGTGTGTCGGGCGTGCTCTTCTTGATGGATCTTAGTCCGTCGGGATGTGGTCAAAAATGGGCGGGCCACCCGGCTTCTCTGGCCTCGCTCATTCGCCAAGTTCGCTCCGGCACTTTCGCAGGATCTGGGAATTTTGAGAAACTCCCGCTCCAATCAACGCATCCGGGGTCATGCTGACAATGCTACTGAGGTGGCAAGGATCGACAGGACGAACCACGGTTCTGTCAGATGCCCAGTGTTGCCAAACTCTCCCCTGAAGTCACAGGTGGCATTGGATTCGCGGGGAACCCGGCACACCCGGCTCCGATCAACGCGAGTTGGGTGGTTTGAGGAGGAGGATCAACAGAGGTGCGCGTTTCGGGGAAGATGTGCGTTGGAATCAACCTCTCTCAGCCAAGTCCGAGACCTCCAAGCTCTGTTCCATGCAGAATTCGAGCCTGGGGAATGCCGAACCAGACTGCCAGAGCAGGTCCGAGCACCAGCCCAAGGGACCCGTTGCAACGCCACGTTCCCAATTACGAATGGCACCGTAGATGCCAAGGTAACCACCCCTTGATTTCACGTGATTGTGACTTTGGGTTTACCTCAAACTTTGTGGGAGAGTGGTGCTTTTCCCGGAAACCTTGTCCGCGGTGCGTCGCCGTTATCAGGTCCAACGGTTCCACATTGCTCGCGGCCGGGCAACGCTCAACACCACGCCCGGGTCCGCCTGTACTCCTCGATGCCTATCGTGCCAAGGTTGACCGAGGAGGAACTGGCCCTACTCCCCCACGAAGACAGAGGCCATGTCCTCCTAGGCGTGCATTGGGGCATGACAGCCGCCGCGACAGTGTTTCTGCTCCTCCGCTTGTATTGCAAGTTCTTTATCAAGAGGAACCTGTGGTGGGACGACTGGATATTGATTGCATCTTGGGTGGGTACATACCTCTATCCCGGCTTCGCTAGAGGTAGTTCCGAATACCAATGCCGTTGTTCTAACCCGAGAGGAAGTTCACGATACTGGCGACAGATATCCTAACCACCATTCTGGTTCGCTGGTTCGGGCTGGGAAAACACAGCTATGACCTCAACATCTACGACCCACCATTATTTATCCTCATCATCAACAGTCGCGCGACAACCACCCTGACCTCACTTGCGTGGACCAAGACGGGGTTTGCCGTCGCCCTCCTGAGACTGACCACCGGGCGAACAAAAGCGTTCGTCTGGTTTATCATCATCTCCATCAACATCACGCTAGGGTTCAGCGCGGCCGTTCCGTTTATCCAATGCCAGCCGTTGGAAAAGGCATGGATTGGAGACCAGCTGCCAGGAAACTGTTGGCCCCCTGGGGTCGGAACTAAGATCTGGATCGGAACCGGCGGTAGGTCGAGACACCAGCCATTGAGACACCAGCCATTTTGCGAAGCGTGCAACTTCTAACGCCCCTCTCCAGCGTATTCGGGTTTGGTGGATTTTGTTCTTGCCGCCCTCCCCTGGACTTTTCTTGTACCGCCTTATGTTGAAGAAGAAGGAGAAACTCGGTATCCTAGTTGCCATGAGCATGGGTGTCGTGTGAGTAGAGTAGCACACAGTCCACGAAACTACGGCACGTTCTAACAATCCTTCTCAGCGCGGGCGCCGTCGCAATCGTCAAGTGCATCCAGCTACCACGGCTCGGCCAAGGGGATTCATGTATGTCCATCCCACGCTCAAGACCAAAATGATTGGATACCTGACAAGATCTAGTTTACGAGGTTGATCTGTTCGCCTGGGACGTCGCGAGTCCACCGGTTACCATGATGGCCGCTTGTATTCCAGCCCTGAGATTCTGCTACGAGATGTAAGCAATCGTCAGTTCTCGGGCGGGAGATCCATCGCGCTTTCACAGTTCTCATGTCTTTTATGTCGACAAGGTTGGGGCGAAACCTGGGTGGGGAGATTGAGGTTGTACAGGAGTCAAGGTTATCCAAGCAGGACACGACACAAAGTAGCGGCGGGGACAGGACAAGGCACAGCCGCGGCGGTGAGCTGTCGGGGGAGAGATACAGCTCTACGGATTACGGACGGGGTGCAAGACACCACTATATACCCATGGATTAAATGCGTTAATGACTTTTACATAGTTACTTCTAGTACTAATTACTGAGCGAGCTTTGCCTTGTCCAAGTCGATCATTCTTCGTATTTGCTCTTGATATTTCAAGGGAGAATTCATGGGTCTCAAGCAACTGGACCAAAGACAGACATACGCATCCACCAATTATACAACAAACTCCGGCCAAGAATGTTGAGTCGCCACAATTTGAGGCCTACCATCCTGTGTGACATGGGCCACAGCGGTTGACTAGGTACCTACCTGGTAGGTAATGGGGCGTTCCCCGCCCTCTCTTACCTCGGTATCTAGTACAACATTTGACTTCACTTTGCCTTTGACCACCCCGGTTTTGCCACCTTCACTTCGCCATGTAAAGTGTATCCTGTGAATGTGGGAAACGCTTCAAGGACAACAATGCCATGAATCAGCACAAGCGCGACGCGCCAAAACATCAGCAGGATTCCAAAGATGCCGCAGTCGACCCCAAGCTGGACACTTCACGCGAAGCCAAAAACGCAGGTTCGACTAGTCAGGCACCTGAGGTAACCAATCTAACCATCTCACCACGGGAACCAATTATGCTTGCTTACCGTTGCCAGGCACCTAGAAATCCCCCACTCACCTCCAGCACTGCGTGGTACTCTGCTCGCCATGGCTTTATTCAGGTTGTGAAGGATGGCGAGTCGGTCCCCCGTCCCAAGGCGAAGAAGAAAAAGAAGAAATCAGCCGACAAAGCTGAACCAAACCCGCCACGGACAGATCACGGGCACAAAAAGTCAACCGTTTCATATGGTTATGGCTATCCGCTTGACGAGGATCTGAACTGGGGGCTCTGTGACAAGGATTGTGGGTGGTGCGGCCGTTGTATGGACAGCCACGACATTTGACAGAGCAAAGGCCACGGGGGCGTAGCATGATATAAAAACGCACTGCTGTCATGGTCTCGGTTTTGTATCTCCTGAACATCTGGCTCTTTATCACAGCGGAGGACGACTTCAAAAGAATCTCAACCCGTACAAGTATAGCCGGAAGTGATGTGCATCCCAACCTCCGGGCATTACTGAGGTGTGCCGCACAATATATTGGGGCCGTCTGCGAGTCGCAAAATGAGTTGGAATGGCCACGGGGGTTGGAAGGTTGAGAACCGTTAGGAGCTCATACAATTCGCTGAATTTCGCATGCTGTCCTTTGGCTAATGCAATGCTATTTACACTGCAAGGTAGCTCCTGCAGGCTCCCTAATGACATGCGCATACCATTCATCTTGCTCGCCGCATCAAAACGGATTCGCGGCTTCATTATCGTCGTCGCCTTTGCATGAGCCCATCCGAGCTGGGAGGGTTAGTTAGCACTACAGCACTGCGACCTATAGAAATAAGGCGCCATTGTTGCGGGTACTTACCAAGTGTGCAGGAATTATCGGTGTAGTGCCCGTTGACGTAGCACTTCAACCCCCGATGGTAGTGCCAGCCACTTGCGCAAGAGTTAGCGAGCCCGCATCAAGGGTAATTAACGTGGCGTGGAGACATACCAGTTCCGGAATCCGTTGATGGTCACGCACTGTCCGGACCGAACACACCAAAAGTCGTACGTGGTCCCCTTCCGCAGCGTCGTCCTGACCCCGGAGTTTGTGGTAGCCTTGGAGCGGCAGTTCACTTTCGTCGCACCGCCGATGATCTTGCAGTGTTGGGGGCGGGAAATACCCCGGGCCTCCAGAGGGCTGGTGTCGTCGGCCTCTGGGGTGGGGGTTGGCCATGAGGCCGAGGGGGAGCAGAGCCCCGGCGAGGAGAAAATTTGAGCTGCATCGTGTTTGGTTTTGGGCACGTTGAGGATCGAGAGCTGGATGTCCGGTTGCGCGTGCGGGCTGATAGGGAACCTGGAAGGCAGGAGGTCACAACAACAACATGGATTTCAGGGGGGTCGCCCATAAATAAATTACTAAAAGCCCATCTTGTCTCCAGCGGGGCAAATAACGATCCGCTTACCCCCCGGACGAAATGATCATGAATAAATAAAGTTTTCTCAGCCAATCCTCCTCATGTTATTCGTTACATAGCGTGGTCGTTGGCGCGAAATTCGGGGCGCTGCAGGGCGCTTAATTCAGTTGGTGTGAACAGAAGCGAGGGCGGGAGTAAAGTTCCTTTCCACACGTAAATTCATCCTGGCTTCGTGCTTCGTCGATTGTGCTTCCTCAAGGTCTTTTGTTGCAATAATAAATGCTTTTGTTTTGCTGTCAAGTCCGAGCTGTTGACATGGGATCCTTGTCCTCCTTGTTTTCTTCCTGGGCTCGGCGCGGGATATGGAACCGAAGGAGCAAGCGTTCAAGTTGCGGTCAGTGCTTGCTTGCCGGGCCACGCTGCCGGATTGGGCATCAAGCTTCTATTTCAAGACACGTCCCTTGGTTTCTAAAAATGTACAAAGTTGTGATGCTCAACCGGGCCAACCCTCACCAGCGAGTAACCTCTTCCCTCGCGTGTGAAGGGGCTTTCTTTAAGTCATCCCCCACTGCCATATGCACACCAACCTGCAGCCTCCGGCTCTGGAATGCGTCCTTATTATACGTGTCATACCGCAAGCGGCAAGAGTTGCGGATGCCTTGGCGGTGACTTGGCAGGTTTCCATTGCCAAGAGTCTTTAGAGCTTTCTGAAGGATGCAGATTCGCCCACCATTTGGCCGAATGGATTACTTGGTTTCGGCTTAATCAGAAAACTTAGCGAGCGATGGCTTACTCTCGGCAGTGATCGCGGAGGGCATTTGGTGTAAAGAAATGGGAGAACATTCTGGGTGGGTAGGAAGGGGGACGCTGGATGATTGCGTGAGCTTAGCCAAGACGAGTTGTCCACGTCCCCGAATTACGTTCCAATCCCTGGTCCAAGGTGTTTACTTCCCAATAGGCAGGACTCGACGATTGGAATTCGATTTGATATCGAATTGGAGTCGATTTCACAACTTGGACCTGGAACTTGTTTCAAAGATTAGAACTTAGAATGAGGAAGGTGGTTTTGAATGACTCAAGACCTTGCTAATATCAGTCACGTTAAGTTGAGGAACATGTGTAAAGTTTATGATGCCATTGAGTGTACCATTAATCTGTCGCTAGGGAAAGTCCAACGCCCAACTCCAAAGTCGAGAACCCTTAAGCCCGCGTGTTTCTATGCAGATAAGAAAACCATGACCCTTCCACCGTCAAACATCCCTAGTCCCCCTCCACTCAAGCGGTGATCTGAATCCTTGTCGGCGTAGAGACTTTCGCCTTCGGCACAGTTATGCTCAAGATGCCGTTCTTCAGGGTGGCCGTGGCGTTATCCTCGTCGATGCGGGCGGGGAAAGTGATGGTGCGCGAGAAGCGTCCGACGGAGCGCTCCCGGAGCCAATACTTGGACTGGTCCTTGGGAGTCTGCGCCGGTGTCTGGGTGGTCTCCTCGGCAGCGGCGCGAGCGACGGGCTTGGCGACGTCCATCCAAGGAGACGAGTCCCGGCTGGATGCGGGGGTGTTCTCGTCCTCCGGGTCGTCCTCTACCGTCGCCTGGTGGGAGTTGCGACGCGGCTTCTCGGTCTCGGTCTCTGCCTCAGAGGGCGTTGGCTCCTCGTGCGTGGCATTGTCTTTGGTTGCGTCCGAGGCGTAGTTGCGCTCGACGCTGCCACTAATGACGATGGTTTGGTGCTCAGGGAACTCGATGCTGATGTTCTCGCGCTCCAGACCGGGAAGCTCGCCGTGGAGTTCGTAGGCTTCTTCTGTCTCCCGGACGTCGAACCTGGGGTGGACGGTGATGGGTTGCGGGCGGGCCTGCTTGACGCGCTGTTGGCGAGATGCAGGAGCAGGTGAAATCGAAACACCGCGGCCCTCTTGCGAGTAGTTGTCAAAGTCGCTCAGAAGGCGGAAAAGGGGAAAGAATCTGGGCTCAGCAGCCTGAGGGGCGCAGAACGAGGCGGGGAAAGTGTGCATCATTTTGATTGATGGCCTGGATGTGTTGATTGTTGTGGTAGACGTTGTGTGAAGTGAGGGGTTGAGTTGGTTGGTGTTAGTGATGTGTGAAGCTTGGTTTGATGGAATGTCTTTGATGTTTGAAGTCTGAAGTCTGAAGAGTGATGCGAATCTGGAGGAGACAAGATTCATGGAACTGGGAATTGACAAGTCTTAAATACGCATTTTGCATTTTGGATCAAGCAGCTAGGCAACACTATGGTTGATGTGAAATCCATGATTACGAACAATGAGATGGCTGCGCGAAACCGCGAGAATGTTGTCGATGTTGCTTGCGCGTCTCTTGCCTGCTCCTGAATGTGCGACGAGCTTCTGTCAGCGGCTGGAAGTTGCAGGAAGATTCGAGAAATCTAGGGCCTTGGTTGGACGAAAAGCCACGTGCAAGCCTCTGCCAAGCGAGCTGGTGTGGCTTGTCGGCGGCTCAGCCACTCGGCTGGAGTTTGATCTGATAAGGGTTAGGGCTGGTTGACGATGGTCTCTGCCAAGACTGAGGTGATTCCGCCGCCAAGTTGCGGAAGCCATGAATAATCCGAGTGCACCGAGTCAATTGCACTACCAGGGTTTTTGAATGTACCTGAAAACTATTCCCGGCTATGAAACCTCGAGTTATCCCGTCGGACGTCTGCATCTCCAGTTTCGGTCGTACCTTACTCTGACGACGATCACTCTGACGTCTTGGAATCGTCTCTGGGTTTAAAGTCATCACCAACAAATCCACCCGTAATCTCGGAGACGCCACCGGCCAGAGCCGCAAGACAATCACCATGCATTACTCAACATTCACCACATCCGACAACTGCCTCCTGGCCTTTCAATCCTCCATCCCCCTCCCCCCGCCCTCAGACCCAAGTAACCCAACCCTAACAACAACCACCACCCCCACCACCCCCACCACCTGCATCCTCCTCCTCCACGGCTTCTCCGGTTCCTCCGTCTACTTCACCCACAACATCGCCGCCCTCTCTGCCCCCGGCCACTGGGTCATCGCCCCGGACCTGCGCGGCCACGGCCGCTCCGGCCACAACCCCGCCCACGGCGGCTACCACGTCGCACGACTCGCAGCCGACCTGCACGAGCTGCTCACCCACCTGCGCACCCTCCTCCCCGCCACCACCCACCTCAAGGTAGTTCCCATCGGCTGCTCCATCGGCGCCGCCATCCTCTGGACCCACCTCGAGCTGTTTGGTGGCAGCGACGCCTTCGCGGGCTACATCTTTGTGGACCAGGCGCCGCTGCAGGACCGCGCGGCGCTGGGACTGGGCGGGGAGTGGGGTGCCGGGCTGGCGCATGCCGGGTGCTATGATGAGGCGACGATGCTGGCGGCGCAGAGGGTGTGGGTGGAGGAGCCGGCGCGGGCGTATGCGGGGCTGGTGAGGGAGTGTTTGGGGTATCGGTTTAGGCCGGGCGATGGGGAGGGGGACGTGGTGGTGGCGGGGGGGCGGGCGGAGAGGGATGAGGCGTTTTTTGTGGGGGTGAGTGCGCAGGTGGGGGATCGGGTGTGGTTGGTGAGGCTGTTGGCAGATCATACGAGGTATGATCATCGCGAGGCGTGTGAGGGGTTGGGGAGGCCGGTGTTGGTGATGGCGGGAAGGAGGAGCGGGTGTTTTACGTTAGAGGGGATGGAGGAGACGGTGAGGAGGGCGAGGAAAGGGGGCAATGGTGATGCGGAGATGGTGGTGTTTGAATCGGGACATTGGTTGTTTTGGGAGGAGCCGGAGCGGTTTAATCGGGAGGTGCTCGCGTTTGTGGAGCGATGCACACGGTAAGGATGGGTGGGACGGGATGGTTTCACAGGTCTCGCGCGGTAAGTGGTATTGTGGTTCCCAGGCTATCATTCCATTACCATCAGAGGGCATCCGCAGGGACGCCAAGCTGCGCAAGCACATTGGCAGGGCCCCGTGCCAACCAGATATTCATCTTTTCCTCGCTTTTTACCCACACCATGCCCAGCATGCCGGCGGCGTTGGTGTCTATCCCGTCCCAACCGGCCGAGCGCCGCGGTACGACCACCAGCCAGTTCCGGTCCATAATCACGTTATGAGGCACGGCCGCCTCTCCCTCCAGCGCCGCGTGGCCGAGGGCTCGCTCTGCCCGGCGGAGAAGCGCGCGGTAGATGCTCAGTAGCTCATCCGCGGGGGGCAAACCGCCCCGGAAGCGATGTATGGAGTACTTGAATGGCGGCTGGGACTGTTCGGAGTCGGGCCACAGCGGGAACCCGTTGGGCGCGGGAATCAGTTGCATGTGTTTGTGCATCCGGCTACACCCACCGTTGATACCGCAGTTGAAGAGCATCAGGTGACGGCTGTGCAGGGAGGAGATGGCCTGCCGGGCCGCCGTGAAGTCGTCAATGTTCAGGGCTTCGTGCTGTCTACGAAAGCCGTCTTGGGTAAGAATGAGAAAATGCGGCCGTGCTGACGGGAATTTGTTCACAGTCAGGAGGTGGGTCGACCCAATCGTCGCGACTTCGTACCCGGAAACGTTGATGTCGCTCCCTGGCCGGCACCCTGGTTGTTGTGAGGATGAGTGCTTTTGCGGGTCGCTCGGTGCTTGGGGTTTAGCAGCGTGACTATCAAGTATACGAAACTCGAACTTATGGAGGTGTTAGTGGAGTGATAGATAGTAGGTACTCTTCCGCACGTGTGGACCTTACCGAGATGTCCTTGTCTGAGCGAACCACGGTGCGGTGATTTGGGTTGTAAAACACCATTCCCTGCTCGATAAGGCGATCGAACTGGGCGACGAGCCGATCCTCGTTTACATTGAATTCCATTGTGTTCTAGAAGTCTAAAGTATTGAGGATGTATAGCATGGAGCGAGATGTAAAGCCTTGCGTTCAGGCCGGTTAGGTGAGCCGTCGCGCATCAGGCTGACGGACGCCCTTCTGTTCTTATAACTACCGGGGGCCAATGGCGATTATTAAGGTGTCTGACGTTGGATCCTGTGAGACCACAACACGGCGGCGGCCTTGCTCCCCTGCTCCCCTGCTCCACTGGGTTTGCGGTCTCCCATTCAAGTCGCCTTGGAGAGTTCCGCCCGACCGATCAAGGGTGGCCACTGATGGCAGCCTAGAAACCTTACATATTGCTGCGCTTCATTGGTCTTTATTACAACTAACATTTTCAGCTTTCATTTCCCCGACTAGGAAACTGTGTGTGATTGATAGATAAGGGGTGATGATGGGGCAGTTCAGCCAACCGTTTCAGCTCGTTCGTATTTCGCGGTGTTGTTGTTCTTCTTGGTCTTGATTGAGAACCTGTTTCGAATTTTCCGAGTTCGATGGTTACATTTTCGTTATTTTGGTAATTCTTCTTTTGGGGGTCATTGTTGAGAGATCACGCTTAAAATTACCATGTGCCTTTGGCGGGTTTCATCGGATCCGGGGGCCATGTGATGACCCGCCAACACGGCCCCAGGCCTCAGGCCAAACGCGCTATATTCAGGTCGGCCCCATGGAAGGTCCCAACCACAAACATGAAACTTTTTAAAGTTGCCTCCTGCTGGATGCTCGTTCTTTTCCAATTTTGCAACAGACCTACACAGGGAAAATCCCAAACCACAAACGCTTAACTAATGGACATTGATCATGTATGTTCGGCGAGGCAAGCACGATGGGATGAGCACATGAGCAATTCGCGCAGTCTATTTTTGTCTGCACACCTCGATGCAACGAGTTTGCAATCTCAACTGCAAGCAGCAAGTTCCAGGAAAATGCCCAGGAATTACCAGGGCTCAGCCACCGTACGGAAACGTCACCAATGCATCCGCCCTGACAGCATAGTTCGAATGATGACAAACCCGAGATTGCACCTTCTTCTTTCAGTTTCCCACCCGATTCATGCGAAGTTGCTCAGTCGGTAGGTTGGATTCGGGTGACGGTTATGCGATAGGTCCTGGTTGAGGGCGACATCGATGGTGATCTTTCGGACGATGATGGATGCGCGACTTTCCGAGAAGCGGAAACAGGCGGTATTCGGCCACCCGGACATGGTGATGGGTGGAAAACATGACCAAAGCCTGCACGGGCCCAGCGCCGATACCCTACCAGATCGGAGGCCCAGTGCCCGGCGGAGGCTCAGGGGCTGGGGCGCCCGTGTTGGCCGGGCCGGACATCAACCTTGCGTTCCCATCAGGATATCCCCGAAAAGGCACTTGTGGCGCCAGTACCATCGGGGGTAAACGCGTGCTGGGAGGCGGTCCGCTCGTCGGAAAGAATGGGGGCGGCGGCATGCTCCGGTCTGCTACCGCTGAACTTCTATCCGGCTCAACGGCGTGGTTGGTAAAGGCGGTCCCGAACTCGCTACCCACCGGCAGTAACGGAAGCGGAAGTCCCACAGATCCTGTGCTGGTCACAACTTCCGCCTGCGCCTCCCGCGTCTTTTGCGAGATCCTGTTATCTCGTCTGGCTCGGTTGGTGTATGATCGAGCGTTGGACTGGATTGTCCGTAACCCCGTCCCCATGCACTATCGCCAGGTCAGCAGACCACACAAAAGGGCAACCAAAGGATCGGCAACCCACCAGAGCTTCGACTACCTCCCACTTCATCCCTACACGATCTGCCAACCCAGACCAGACATCTTTCCGCATCGTCATGTACTCGCTGGCCACCATCTCCAACCTCCGCCCGCTATAGTCATGTATTCCTCGCCGCTCGACCAGCCGTTCGTACCGCTTTCGGCACGCGTTCGCCGTCTTCGTCGGGAAATGCGTTCGTTGGAGGTCGGCCCAGTTCTGCCCGCGCGAGCGCGCTTGGATCAACGTCTTATCATCGTCGGCCGTCCATGTGCCGTGATTGTATATCGAATAGGGGTATTCGGCTAACGTAGCGGTTTCGTCGCCAATCAACTCTTGCCCTGCAACTTCGGCAGTCCCATCCCCCTCATCGACTGTCGACGTTTCGAAATGTGTCTGGACGGGTGCCGGGGGCACGGTATGGGCACTGGGGGGAGGTGGTGCGGCGGGCAGCGGGGGGTATCGAATCGGGCCGGGGCCTAGGGTTGTGCTCGGTTGCTGGGCCGCAATCAGACGGTATCCGCCCCCTTGCGGCTCAGAGCTCGGCGGATCGGAGACCCTTGAGGTTCCTTCCGGTCCTTGGGCGAACCGCATGTCCCGGTTCGACCGCCGGGGCGGACGCCGTGTCCTCGTCATCGTTTCGGTCACGGCCGGCCTTTTCGGTTGTCTGTTCGGATGTCGTCCTCACGCGCCAGGCCAGCGTCTCAGCAAAGGCTCTGCACGGCGATGGGAAATTTCAACTCGTTCTACGTTTCAATTCGGAGGAACACAATCTTGGAGTTCTCGTGCGCTTGGCCGCCAGGGGCTGTCGACTGGATCGGGGCGATGAGGTAATTCTTCCCGGAGATCGGCCGCCTGGGGCAGGCAGCCGTCCCTCCGGAAGAACAGATCGCTGTGGAACCTCTTACTGCGAATCAGAGCGGCCCGGAGGTCACTGCAGAGATGCCGATGCAGAGGGCGTGGGTCTAGAGGGCGGCCGCAGGAGAAGCGGCCTGGTCCTCCCTCAGCCTCCGGGCACGTCTTCACCCACCGCTTCTCCTCTCACCAACTCCTCAGCGGAGAATTGCCGTCTGCCCCCCGGCTCGGTTTGAGCAGGGCACATATATTGTTTCGTGGGGCCCTAGATGAAGACACGAGACTCGTTCCACGCCCGGCTGTTCCAATGGCCACATTTTATGACGCTAACATGACACAAGTGAAAGGGCCTGCGAAATCCATCGCCAGGTTGACGAAGGAACTGAGCAAGATACTTCCAGACAGCCCCTAAAGGGGCAACCCTCACTCTTACTTTTTCCCTGGTCAGGTGCATCAGAGTGGCCATTCCAGAAGGCCCCTCGCCCACGTCGCTGGCTAGCCTGCTCATACTCCTGCAGGTCGTCTCTGGCTGCATGCCAAGTGAGCCATTCAACCAGTAGTATCTGTTCGGGACATTACAAAGCGAACCGCAGACCTGCACCTACAGGGTTTCACGAGGTTCCATCGAACCTGCTGGCAAATGTTTGGGTCTGCACCTGGGTTGCTTCAAGTTTTGTCGGTATCAGTGCTATGACACGGCAGTGTGCGCGGGCCGCGCAGAACACAGCGGCAACATGGCTTCCGGCCTAAAGATAGCATTCTTCCCGCGGCCGCGTCGTCTTCTCCGCGTTTCCTTCTCCTTGATGTCGTTTGAGCCACGGAAGACCAAGTCAAACCAAGGAGTGAAGACTGTGTATTCCCGGAAGTGTATCGTAACACATCGGACCGAGGTTCGGTTTCCGATGCTAGCAACTGTCAACACCCCTTTTTCCCGTTTCCACGTGCCAACAACAACTGCATGAGACCTGATACCACAAACTATGATCCCCCCTTAGACATGCGTCGACCCCTGCCCAGCTCTCCCCTCTCACACCTGGTCTTCTTCACTCTCACTAAGGCTGGACGTCCCCATCTGCCCCCGCCCGCCGGTAAGCCAGGCAGCCTCCCGCTTCCTCAGCTCCCTGCCCGGCTCAATCTCCACTTCCATCTTCACCCTCACCCAGTCGCGATACCCCCGCAGTCGCATCATATCCACCTGCTGCGTGATCTCGGCGCTGCTCAAGCCCCTCATCGACAAGCTCGCCGTCCCGGCACCAACACCACCAGCACCAACACCACCAGCGCCAGCACCATCACCACCATCACCACCACCACCAGCCTCATGCCCAGCCCCACCCCCGGAGACAGACCCTTCCCCCAACCCAAAACCACCCAACCCCGCCGCCCCCATCCCCATCCACTCATCACCACCCGCCACACCAGCCCACACAAACGCCCGCTCCACCTCGTAGTTGACCGGCCTGTCAAAGCGATAGGCCGTGTGCTGTGTCATGGCGCGCACGCGGGTCAGGCAGGCCGTGTCGATGGAGCGGAGGAAGAGGTCGGGGGGTGTGCTGGTGTCGATTGGTGCACGTCTGGTGGGGGAGTTCGGGTTGGGGGGGTTGTGGGGGTTGTTGAGGGGGTAGGGGTTGGGGGGGGTAGGGGTTGGGGGGGGTAGGGCGGGTTGTGGATGTTGGGGTTGAGGGGGTGGGTGTATGAGTCATGGGGGTTGGTGTATGGGTCGTAGGGCTTGGATGGGTTGTACGGGCTGGGCCGGTTGTACGGGCCGGGGTTGTGGGTGTCGTTCCGGGGGTTGAAGGAGTCGAACGAGTTGAGGGGGTCGTCGGTGATGGCGCTGTCGTAGGACGGGGAGGGGATGGCGGTGTTGGCGGTAAAGGTCACGGGAGGGAGTTTATGCGAGCGGAAGGGGTTGGGTGGGTTGCCGGCGGCGGTGGTGGTGGCAGCATTGCCACGTCGGTAGTGGATGGTGGCGTGCAGTTGGATGAGGAGTAGCTGGTTGGAGTGGAAGGACATCATGTTGGCGATGTTGAGCTGGGTTGATTATTTTCAAGATAGAAGGTGCTCCACGGCTTGTGGCTGCGCGGGTGCAGGATGGGTTGAGGGGGCACTGTTGGGACAGGGGCGGCGGATCGAGGTTTTGATCATTTTGGGCTTTGCTGCCGCCAGATGAAAGGCCATTGGCAGTTGCATGTAAAGATTGCTTGTGCTCCGCGTACTCTTTGTGGGCCTGCGTTGTTGAATATGTAAAGGACCTCCGGCTGTCGAAAGACTTCAATCCCCCAGGAACTGAGAAATGGGTTGACCAGCCGTGCATATCCCAGCAAAAGACGAGCATGATAAAGTATGATCACAAAGTATGGCCGTCGAATCCACTATATTGACATTTCCATCAAAGTATCACCCGCTCCCTTTCAGCGGCACATCCACCACCGTAAGAATTGCGGCGACAGCGTTTCTCACGGCCTTTGAACTAATCTAGCGATACTTGCGGTCCCAACAGTTACCACACTTTCTGCCGCGGTTTGATCTGCCATGCAAACTCACCTTCCAAGGCCTTCTCAAACTTGGAATTCCATAAAAGTCAGCACATGCCCGATCATGGCGACCTCGAGAGGGCACTAATAGGAGTATAAAGATAGAGCCATTGTTTCATTTCTCCTGAATACTATCCATATCTCAACGGATAGAAATATGCTCCTTAAAGACAGCGGTAAATATTATTATTATTATTATTCATACTCCGCTATGCCCTAGGGCGTGCCGGACCCTCAGCTATTTAGTGTACAGGAAAACCGTGCCCTCCCGGGTTGGGTAAAAAACTCAGACCAACAATCAAGGAACGATGCGTTCTGGTGAGTCTGCGTATACAAAGAGAGGAGGCCTCCTGGCCTCCGGACGGGGGCACTTCAGGCCGCCGCTTCCAGCTCGAGCCTCCTGGCTAAGCTGTACATCGGCAGCTTCCCCGAGTCCATCAGCCAGTCGAGAACTCTCCTCGCGAGCCGTGCAGTCGTGGGATTGATGCCGTGTAGAACAGAGTAAAAGTCCCGTCGTGTCCGAATTCCAGTTCTCTCCCATCTTCGAGTCAACGGTGGGGCCAAACACCACACTACCAGGTGTTCGGCAGTCTCTCGTCCCTCGCCACACTCGCAGGCAGGAGTCAGAACCTCCGGGACTCCCCGTGTAAACAAGAAGTCCCGTAAGCCTATTGCTCCCGTCCGGATTTGAATCAGCAGTGAGCTCTTCGCCTTGCTGAGACCGTCGCGCCTCCTTAGGGTTCCGTTCCGGAATAGCGTCTCCTGCTGATGGTCAAAGTCGTCCGCCGGTCTGGCGATCGCTCTGCCGTCCCGTTCCTTTAACCACCTAGCCCTCCAGGCCTCTTCTACTACCTTGTTCGTATCTACAGTTCCCCCCGTCCAGCGCGCGATCGTTCTCGCGGCTTTCTCCACCGCCGTGGGCTCCCGCAGTCCCACAGTTCGCGGCCGGCCCCTGTTGCCGCTCCTCGAGCGTAGTCTCTGCTGTATCTTGCTACAGGCGGTAAGAATAACGCTCCCTGCGGTCTTCTTGCCGCCCTGGACGTCGTCTAGGTCGGTTCGCTGGAGTCTGGTCTCAAAGTCCGCAAGCCGTTTGTTGAGATATGGGTCCAACGGCGGCACCCATGTCTCCGTCTCGAGGTTGCGGATGGGAGTGTGCTTGAAGGCTCCCGCTACAATCCGCAAGCTTTTGTTCTGGGCCTTCCCGAGGGCCTTGGTGATGCCTTTCTTTACCGGCTCGCCTCCCACATCCGTGGGGATGTGGAACGACGATGCGCCATAGGCCAGCGTTGACCGGATGCACTTTGTGTACACTTCTCGCGCTTTGGCTAGCCCCAGTCCCCACGTCGACGCCGCTAGCCTCGACAGGACATAGCTCTGGGTCCTCAGCTTCCTCTCCACCGCTGCAAGGTGGGCTTTCCAGTTGAGCTTCCGGTCCAGCCAGACTCCCAGGAACCTGGCAGACTCCTTCGGTCTGACGGGGCTGGTGCCTCTCCCTGGGCTGGTGAGTTCCAGCTGGTTTGACCACTGCCGTCGCCCCTTGTTGAAATGGATCAGTTCGCTCTTTTCCGGGGCGAACTTCATCCCCCGACTGTCCGCCCATCGTATACACGTTCCCCACGCCGCCTCTAGTTGCCGGACATTCGCTTCGGGGTTTCGACCAAATACCAGGAGGTTGGTGTCATCCGCAAACCCCGATACAGCCAAGTGAGGTGCTCGTCTTTTAGCTGCTTGTATAATGAGGAAATATAGAGGATGAAGAGAACGGGGGAGAGCGGTGAGCCTGGGGGACCCCTGCCCGAATCGCCGTCGGTGCCGCCGTCTTGCCGTCAAAGAGGAGGGTGGCCTCTCGGCCCGTCAACCAGTCTTTTGTCCAGAGAACGAGCCACTTCGGGTAGCCCATTTCTCGCAGTGTTGCCAGTAGTCGTGTGTGGTTAACCGTGTCGAAGGCTCCTGAAATGTCCAGTTGCAATAGGGATGTCGCGGCCTTCTGTCTCCATGCCTCCTGGACCTGGGCTACTACTAGCCGAACAGCCATCTCCGTGGAGCGGTGTGCCCTGTTCTCCATTTGTTCGTCTGGTAGATGGCCATTGACTTCAGCAGCTTGAGTGACCTTCCTGGCGACCACTGACTCTATTACCTTCCCTAGGATTGGCAGTAGCGCAATGGGCCTGTACCCTCCCGGGGTCTGATACACTGGCGGTGCCTTCCCTGGCTTCGGTAGTACTAGTTATGGTCTTTGCCTTTTTGAACCGGTCGGGAAACCATCCTAGTTTTAGGCACCTCGTCACCAATACGGCGAGCACTTCAGCCAGTGGCATTCCACATGCCTTCAGAAGACCCATCGGGAGCAGATCCTCTCCTGGCGCCTTCCAGGGGCTTGCTCCTCCTATTGCTTTCGCGATCTCGGTCGGCGTCACTGCCTGTGAGACGTCGAATCCCGGGTTCCAGTCGCCTAGAAGGGCTTGGTCTTCCACGTCCGTCAGGTTGGCCGGTGGGTCCGGGAAGAACCTCTCGGCCAGTGCGCTGGCTTTCTGGTCGTGCGTTTCGGCCGTTACCTGCCCGGACGAGTCCTTGAATGCCGGTAGTCTCGGTGGTTCCGGCGGCAAAAAGCTCCGTAGCCTGGCCCATCTTTCCAAGCTCCACATCTGATCGGGCTTGTTTGCCTCGCTTGCTTCCTGCAGGTTGTTCCTCCAAGCCCTCGTCCGTGCTTCGCGCGTTGTTCTGGAAAGGTCCCTGAGCCTTTCGCTGAGCTCCTCCCAGCAGTACTCTGCCCGGGTCTCCTTCGCCAGCCTCTCGGCTCTCCTGGCCTCCCGGGCGGCCTGCTGCACCTCCACAGTCCACCAGTGAGAGCTGTAGCCGCAGCTCGCCTTCTTCCGTGGAGTGCTTTCCCCAGCGGCCCAGGCCAGCCACCCAACCAGGCTGTCGAAAGCTTTGTCAAGACCCTCGACTGTTCGGGTCCTGCTCAGTAGCCCGTTCGGCCCCGGGTCTGTGAGACGACAGCGGTAAATACCAACACCATGGGGGCTGGGGGCCAAAAATGTCAATGTTCATCCCAACCAAGGTCAAATCAATCGGTCGAACCCAAGGCGGATGTGGGACGAATCATTACTAGACATGTCTTCCAGTTCCGTGCCCTCCCATCTCCCAGCTCGCATAGTCGTAGAACAACCGCCATGTGCACGCTAGGAGCCTAGGTAGGTACTCTGTGCCACTACGCTAGCAATACGAACTTTTACTCCACGGGGCGGCGTGGATATTGGATGATGCTCACCAATGCCTTACTTTGACTCTGAGACTCCCGGTTCACGACATTATTTGTTTATTAGAGCTAATTATAGCCTTATACGAGACTATAGGGGATATTTTGATCACAATCCAGATAATGGTGGAACCCCAAATAATCTGGCGCTGCTATAAAACCCATTAGTTCCCGTTCCTAGTTCTGTGGACTTCCTTTTCCAATAGTCATCGGCCTTGACTACCTAGGTACAATCATATCAACCAAGTCACCATTTTACAGCCCAGTACATCGGCAAGCAGCAACGGAAGCACCAGACGCCATGGCTACACGACCGACTTTACCTTACGTTGCGCCCGACGAAATCCTCCCATCACCCCTACCGAGTGTAGAGGAGATACTGGCTTCGCCCTGTCTATTTGACGGTGTCTTTCGCCGCGTTGGCCACCACTTTATGGTCAAACATGGAAAGTCAACCGGCGCTCTCCTTCAAGAGGGCCAGAACATGCTTTTTGTTGAGCAGTCGGCTTCCTTGCTGCGCATTCCAAAGAATTACGCAATATCCAGTCATGAGAAAACGAACATGGACTTCATTGTGATGGAGTACATTCCTGGAAAATTGTTAGACCGTATAGATTGGTGTACTCTCACCGTTTCCCAAAAGACCAACATCACTTCACAGCTCCGCCGAGGGCTCGATGAGTTGCGTAGCATCCCTTCCCCAGGTTACTATGGCGGCCTCTGGAGGCAGCCAATCCGAGATATCCACTTTGAGCATAAAGGCACGCATAAACCATACGAAGAGACAGCAATCTCGGGACCTCATTAAACGGAAGAGCAGTGGATTGACGCTATGTGGCGCTGCGCCGTGGGCGTCAAATCGGCTACCGATTCAAAGTTGCCCAACATCTCTCGTCTTCGGAAGGATTACCACCTTGTTTTCAAGGGCTACAAGCCTGTATTTACCCATGCCGATTTAGGCCCGGGGCATGTCGTACTCCGAAACGTGGTGTCTTTGTAGTTGTTGGTTGGGGCAGGGCTGGGTGGTATCCAAGCTATTGGGAGTATTGCTGCACACGGTTGTACAAACACGACTGGGAGGAGGAGATCTCGGAGATGTTGGACGAGCACGTTCCTCTCGTCGCTTGGATGCTGGCGCACAAATGGGAGACCACGTAATGCTAGAGGTCCAGAATGAAGTTCCTAGATCCGATTGGGAATTATATAACCCTTTAGAATGTCAATTTACACCCACATCTTTGGTTTTATACATCCAGACTCGATCTCCCTGCCAATCGTAGTAAAAGTGAGCTTTATCTCTAAGCTTGTAAGGCAATAGACCAAGCACTTGCAAACTTTTGTGTCTAATACACGGGAAATACCGCTGTTGTTAAAACCAGCTTTCGGATATGTTCCTGGAATTCGCCGGCCTTGCAAATGGATCTACAATACTTACTTGCCACAGACGGGATGCGATATGTGCGAAGGGTGTTGACCTGCTGAACCTCGTATTTACTGTAGCGCTGGGAGATCAACAAGGCCCGGTCGCCGCGACAAAGTCTTTTGTTGACGCCGGTTGACATGATATCCCATTTTCCAGCCTTTCCTACGGAGTCTAGAAACGATGATCAGCGATCCGTACTACCCCAAGAGGGATGCGATAGATGCGAAGGGCGATCTACGCAGTCTCTTATTGCCGGGACTCTGAACGGTGAGTTGGCGACTCGGACCAGTTCCGCTTCCGACTGCAAAAGCCTTTGCTTACAGGAGTTGGTAAGCCGCCAACCGAGCTAAGTAAGGGGTGCATATCCCGGGCACGATGCTGTATACCGCCTTGTTATGAAGTTGGACTACTCTGGAGAAAATTGGAGGAAACTGAAGCCCTTCAAGAGACGAAGCAAAAAGCCCAGGTAAACATTGCTAACAAGGTAGCCAAGGCTCAGAGTTGTTCTCTAATGCCATACCGTACCATGACGGTGTTATACGCCTCTCGGAACGGGCCGACATTGTGAACTTCAGCTTTCTTGGGTGAGCTGGGATTGTGGAGAGGCTGCACCAGACTGTGACGGCACCCAGTTTCCCTTTTCACATTATTGCCGACAAATATATCTCTCTCGGGCTACTCATGTACGCTTCCATATGCTCCGTAAAGGCCGTAAAGTAATGCCCAACTGAAGGAGCAGTTGCATATCTAAAGAGAAGGAAGCATGAAGTCCCGAATGAATTAGCCCTGGCGATGTATGAGAAAGGGCGCTAAATTTCTTTGCTTGCTAAGCTAAGTAGGTACCTCAACAGTTACTCTGCTGTGGCTCATGAGTTAGAGTGGACCGCAACTACGGTACGATACTGGTCCATCCTGGCTGCGAATGACTCGCCGTTCCACAGATCCTCGCCGTGTTGCGAGGTTGTCCTATGAGGCAAGCCAACCTGTTCTATGGCAAAACTCGCCGCTACGGTGCCTGCAATGGCCGCTTCGGTAAGGTCGGAGGTATTGTTCAGTGTGACTGCGAAGGCACCCAGAAACGCGTTCCCTGCGCCAGTGACATCCACAACACGAGATGATTCGTGGAGTGCTGGGAACCATCGGACGGGGTATGAACGAGCAGCAACCATACAGCCGTGCTCGCCGCAGCGAATTACTGTGGTACCATCACCATTCTCTCCAATGCCGAATTCCAAGACTCGTAACGCCTGCTGTTCGATACGTTTGCCGTCAAACTCGGCCGGTGGTCCATCTCCGGCGCCGGTGTCGAAAGTAGCCAAGAATTCCAGGTGGTTGGGCGAATACACGTCGACCAACTTGGCCGTCCGTAGATGGGCTTCCTGTCTTTCTAAAATGCAGGAAACAGGAGCTGGCTCCCAAACAACGAGTGGCTGTGAGGTGACCCCGGCAGAAACACGGATCTCGTCAAGTTCCGTTACAAACGTAGTCAGAAGCTCTGGAGAAGCCAGAAAGTGGAAGGCTTTTGAGCGGAGCAGCGGTGAGCCTGTGAGGTCAGCCGGTGTGGGCTGTAGCGGAGGCGTGGTGTACTCGAACGTTCTCTCTAGGCCCCACGAATGTCAGTATGCCCCAAGTACATATAATAAGGGTCTTTCTAACCAACCTTTAAAGCCTTCCCCAGAATATTTGAGGAGGCCTCGAGAGGACAATTTTGAGGGATCCTTCTTGATTGTCACGGTGATGCCCCAGTTCATGAAATCTCGTTCCACGAAATCGGGAAAGTCACTGCCTTCTAAGACATAGCAGCCGACCGTTTTCGGGCGGGCCGCTCCCAAACCACTCATGCGCGCGCCGAGTGTGCCTAGACGGTGTAAGAGTGTAAGTATCTAGGCTGACTGCCGTCCCAAAGTGAAAAAGGCTCACTATACAATCCTGAGCCACCAGCAACGTTGCACAGGACCTTTCTGTTGGAAAAGTGAATCTCGTCTAGGATTACCATACCCAGGGAAGCAAAGATGGGATCATCATCCTCTGCCGACTTGGAAGAATGATAACTCATTGTGTCGAAGGTGGCCGAGACCGGGCGTCGAACGTGTCGTGCTTCGTTGTCTGCTATGGGGAACTTGGTTACTCTTGACTTTGGCATCTGGCAACTTCGAGAAGAGGGCGGGGGTGTGGGACAAGTCGTAGGATGTCGGCTTCTTGTTTTTCCTCGGCCGGAACAGCAAGGGCCCAGTGGTAATAGGCGTACATACATTCCTACGCACCTGGTGGGGAAGGAAATAGCATCATCCGCATGAGTTTGTTTAGATGGAAAGACTAATTACCTACGTGCGCTGTGTCATCAACAACAGGCAAGTACGGGTAAGTAAGGGCCACAAGATTGCTACCAACGCATTTGTTCCACTCCCAATGCCAGTGTTCACTTGTCCTCTCGAACTTTCTCTTCATGAGTGCCGACACTTCTTTCTGTCGACTGCATACCTAATTAGGTACCTTGACGATCGCTACCTCAAGCATACATTAGTATATCGCCGAAAAAGACCCCAGCCCCTTTGGATTTCTACTCATTCACCCATACCGAACAACCAACTCAGTCACACATTATGGCAACAACATCGGCTTTACCCGTGCCCGACGACTCGCCTCGTGGCAAATCAGCCTTCATGAACACTGTGATTATCAGCATGCTGGGTGGGCCGGGATCGGGGAAAGGAACGCAATGCCAGATGCTGTCGCAGATATTCGACTTCACTCACATCAGCATCGGAGATGTGTTGCGGCAGGAGATCAACCGCCCAGGCAGTCAGTACGCGGACATCCTCCGGGAAAATATACTTGCTGGAAGGATTGGCGCCAAGGAAATGACTGTTTCCATTTTAAGGGATGAGATGCTGCGATGCGTAGTAAAGGGGACGCGTTGTTTCGTACTTGATGGTAGGTTTGTTCTGCGCGTGATCAAGAGCAGCTCGAGTTTCAAAGCTAACTTCACCATTCCCTGAGGCTTCCCACGCAGTAAGGTGCAGTGCGACTACTTTGAACAATTGATCGGCTCCATCGCCCTCCTGATCGTTCTGGAGTGCCCTGAATCCACTATGATGGCGCGTCTCGCGGTGGCTGATCGCAATCGCTTTGACGACAACACGGCTAGTATCAGAAAGCGCATTGAAACGTTTCAAAAGACGACCTCTGAGGTGATTGACGATTTCCAAGGCCGGGGCAAACTGCGCAGCGTCAACTCGGACCAGGAGCCTGGGGTCGTTTTGCTCGAGCTGAAAGCCATTTTAGACGGTCTGGTCAATAAACGAACAGGTTCGTCTTTGGATAATCGAGGCTCTGCTAACATAATGGACCTAGCTTACATTCATAGCAGATTCCGTGCTGAATGGAGTGCCAGAGCCTGTTGCGCCATCGGTGGGCAGACCAAACCCGGAGAGGGATATCCAAGGCGACTGTTCTTGTGCAAAGGCAGCAACTTGTTAGAAGTTGTGGCACTTGAAACTCGGAATCTTGGTTGCCGATGTGCTAGTGTTAGAGGGGTTCCAAGGGCTGAACAACAAGCTATAAAAGGGAGGTCAGGACGATGCCCGCCACTGAGGAAAATAAGAACAACCTTCAATCGATGACTTCTGGGCTGCTCCGAGCATTATAACCGGACTGTTATAAGCTCCATCATCTATGAGATAACCGTGGAATCGTGGCTGTTGGTCTTCCAACACAACTCCTGGGCAAAAGGGGAACGGCATTGAGAATGAATAGACACGGGATAATTGGCAACGCCTTGAGGGGGAGGCGAATCGGATAAGCCGATAGTACACTGGAATCCAAATTGCGGGTGTACTGATTTCCCATCATTCATCAGGCTTTGCCCCCTATTACAAACTAATCCCCTCTTATCGAAAGCAGCGCTGTCAACAAGTCAAGTCAAGTCAAGTCAAGTCTGAGGGCAGACTTGACTTGACGAATTTGAGCCGGACTTGACTTGACTTGGAAGACTTGCCAAGAAAGAGCTCGGATACGGTTATTCCAAACCCGAAATAAATATAAGTACAAGATGGGGCCTCCAAAATTGTCATGAGGCCACAACGCTCCCAAATAGTTCCCCACGCGCCCAATTTCGTACACATTGAAGTTCTGATAACGTATTGTCGCTAAGGGAGTGTCGTTGTGACCCTATCGCGAGCTTTGCGAGGCTGAAGGTCAGCTCACATTTCGTTGCACAGGGAGGTATTGAAAGTATTTCGAGCGCCATTCTCGCGAGGCGTGGGTATTCGTCTGTCCGGGCCAGCCACCATTGGACTGGGTCGTCAACGGGGTGCACAGATCCTCGTAAGTACTCCCCAACCTCATCCACAACACCGCTGGCAACTGGGGCATCGTAGAAGCTATCTCCAAAGCCAGGTACTTGCTCTGGGGTGCATGGGCGTGCCAGGGGCTCGACTGCTGGGTAGTACGTATCAAAGTAAGCCACAAACCGCCGCTGGATGTCTAATATCCTCTGGTCGTTGCCTTCATAGAATAGCCTCACCCACTTCATCCTGCGGCCCGGATGCAAAATAAGAGCTGCCCAATAAGCAGGGGTCTCGTCAAGCATCTTCAGATACTTCTCAAGCTTGTCAATGGCGTATTGAAGGCTGGATTGAAGACTCGAGAAGGAAGGCACCTCGAGATCATCGTGAAGAGGATTCCCAAGCTCGATACAGAGGCCCTGCTGCCTAGGAGCGGCAACTGGGTTGCGGAGCCCGACCCCGGGGAGGTCGACTTCGTAATCAGCAAACCGGGCAGGCACGCGACGAATCCGGCGCGGGTGTTGCTGTGCCGTAGCCGGTCTAGGAGGCGAGAATGCCGGGAGCTGACCCGCGGGCCGCTCGTTGTTGGGCGGAAATACAGAGCTATCGAGGCCTCCCGAACGCTCAAACTCCGCGCTGTATCCTCGGTGTAGATGTTTGAGATCCCGGTGAAGGCTGAAGATGTGGGTGACAACGTCACAAAGATTGGGCTTCCTTCCCTCGAACTTTTTCGTGATAACCTTGAACGGGGCCAACAGAGCTTTGATCTCTGTCAGAACTGCCCAATCCTCGGAAGACAGTACAGCTTCGTCGCTGAGATCCCCTAAACGATTATACCGGGCGCTGAACTTGGTGAGCGGATCGCGAAGAATGAGGGCGCGCTCAATCATATGGTATACCGAGTGCCAGCGGGTATCGTTGTCAGCCTTCAGCCGAAGGTTTCGAATTGCAGGGTCAACTAGAATAGCGCCAATTTCTTCTCCTTCTGCCTCGGTGAGCTTGCCTATGGAGAGAACATCAAATCAGCACTTGATATAATGTCTTATTGGGGGAGAGAGGGCTATTACCTTCTGTAAAGTCGACGAAAGCGTCCCTGCGCTGGGGCGTACGGCGGGCGAAGTGTACAAGGTAGTGTAGCTTACCCACTGGCCCAGTTTCTCGCCATGCGTTGAGAAGCTCCCTCTCCTGTTCCGCAGAAAGTCGCTCATCTGAGCCCTCTGCCAATCTCCTGATTACTTCCTTGTTTTCGCCGTCAAGGAAAGCTCTGGCAACAAGGTTCAAGATGTGGCCCACGCAGCGCACTCGCTTGAGAGACTGAATGAGATCAAGTTGCTGCGTGGAAAGATGTGGGTTGAAGTGCCGGAGAAGTTCGGTGACGCACGTATCGTTGTTTTTCGCGTTGTCGGCTTGGAAAACCCCTAATTTAGCTTGGAAGCCAAAGCACTCAACCACCTCAACCACTCCTTTGGCGAGGTTTTCGCCATTGTGAGTGCCCTTAATCCTTGGGAGGGCCAGTAAGCGGGTGTTAAAGTTCCCTGCAGCATCGAAATAGTGTGCAACGACAGCGAAAAACGCGGCAGTTCCGGGGGACGACCATCCGTCAAAGGAGATGTGGATTGGATTGGGTGTGGATGTGATTTCGGCTCTGAGGGCATCAAAATACAGGTTGTACTGGATTTTCAGCCAGTTACGCGTGGTGACATGGCTTCTCGGAAGGAGGTCGTCGGCCTGTATTGGATTGAGAATAGAAAGCAGGCTCCGGAAGTGCTGGTGTTCAACCACGGAAAATGGGATATCCGAATCGGAAACCCACTTGATTAGGAGCTCTTGGAAGAGGTCTCTGGTCTTTGCGGGAGGGGGGAGCTTCCTCTTCTTGGTGGTTCGAGCTTGCAAGAGCTCATCAATCGCCAGCGACGATCTCTTGCCCGCAGTGTTTGCAGGTAGAAGCTCGCCGTCTTTCGTAATACCGTGCTTTTGTCGGAGGTGTTTGGCTGGCGAAGTTGTTGCCGCCGCGTCAAAGATGTTGTAGCACTTGTGGCAAGCCCAGAATTTGCCGTCCGTGGAGGTCGAGTCACCTTCCGTGAGCCGTAGAAGCAGTGTGCCGTGCGCGTTGACCCAGGAAGGTCCGTCCTTCAGCTTGAAGTGCGCGCGGAGTTGGTAAAACCGTTTGTCGGGACCCTGAATCTTTGGGTATAGCTTAGGATTGAGGGGGAGGTCGGTGATGGCTTTCGCATCGCGAATCTGCTCCTCGAGGCTCTTCTTGGTGCGCCCGGCACAGCCGAGCGCGTTAAACGCGTTGGACGCGTTGGGGGGCGAGGAGATATCGTAATTGATCTTCGGCGCAATGGAAATATCGTCAGAATCGGGAACTGCGGAGGCGGTATTGTCGGTAAGGGTGAGAGCCATTCCGGGAGGATTGCAGGCGGGAAGAGTGGATTTCGAGCGTTGTTCGAATACCAGTGAGCAACTCCGTTCATCCGTTGATCGTGTGTATCAACCTCGCCAAGAGACAGGCTCGCAGGAGTTTCGGGCTGAAAAGGTGGGTAAAACACTTTCTTTTGGGCATGTTCAGACTTCAAACTCGGGCGAGAAGCTCCGTGGACAACGAAAACCTGGGCTAATCTACGACACATAACCCTAACCCTACTGAGTGTTCTGTCAAGTCAAGTCGGCGTATCGACTTGACTTGACTTGAAGACTTGACTTGTTGACTTGCTGACAGCGCTGATTATTCGAAAGTAACTCGGTGGTGTTTTCCTTTCCCCGCCAAGTGCACTGGAAACTCACGTCCTTATTACCGTGACCTACCCGACATGTTTGGGGCCGTACAAGTAAGTACCTTACCTAAGAAGGCAAAGAAATAAAACTTCGTCCTTCCGTTAGAGTTCCTTTGGGTGTGGTGGGTGATGGAAGATCATTGATGTTGCTTCCGGATAGTAACAGCAAACCCCTTATAACTCCGGATTAAAACCCTGACTGATACATACGACCATAGGCGCCAGAAAACACGGGATCCCGTCCGCTCTCCCCTAGTTAACCTCGCGACCGCTGAACTAGTAGTTGGGTCGGTGACGACCAGCGAATCCTCGGTGTTGTATGTTTTTTTCCTGACATTTCTCTTTTTTTTTTGTTGCTGTGGAGGATTCGGTGATAATGAGGCCGAGGTGGCGAGGAGGATTTGAACGAGGGACGGTTGCACATTAATGTTGTTGGGGGTTTGGCGGACGTCTATTTTGAGAGCTTGTGTAGGGAATACCAGGTATCGTGATAACGTTAGAAACACAGGGCAAATCCCTTCTCTCTGGAGGGACGTGCTACATTGGTGGTTCAGTTAGATCATGTTCCTCAGATGTCATTGTCGTTAGTTAACCTGTGCCGCGATTTGCCCCTTGCTTCAATCCAACTGCCCCACTTGGTATCACACACAAATCATTGCCCACCCCTTAATTAAACATTACAATGCACCTCGTCAAAGACCCTCTTCTCCCCCATCACAAACTTCTTAAACGTCTCAACCCCCTCTTCTTGGCGGCCTCCCTCGCGCCAGCTCCGATCCCAATCCCATTACACGTACGCACGCTCTCGAAACCACGCATGCTCCTCGAGCATGACGGATGCCACCGCGGGAACACTGCAGACAGCTAGGAGTTTACTGTCAGCAAGACCGTTGTCAGCATCTAACAAGATGAGTAACAATAAAAGAGTCTCACCCAAAGCTGGTTCCAAAAGTTATTTCCTCCCGTAGCCAGGAAATCGATACTGAGCAGATCATCCGGTGGCCAACTCACTTCTCAGCCCCGGTAGTATCTTGTCGCCATGGGCCCCAAGATGCTTTTGCAGTTGTCTAATGGTATCTTTAATCCGGGCGGCATCGTCGCGACTTGCCGGGTCCCCCAAAACCTGTCTCACCCGCTCCTCCAGCTTCGTCAGCCCATCCGAGGGCTCACAAAGGCCGTTTGCGAGAACTCTTCTGGCGCCCTCCTCCGAGTAGGTGGCAAAATAGCCCGTCTCGTGCATTGCCAAGAGCATGGCCACGCCCGACTCCAAGAGGTAAATCGGGTTCTCATCAACCTCGCACCACACGGGGATGATGTCGACCAGGTAAGTGCGGACACGGGCTATGAACTCCGGAGAAGTGCTGCTTTGCAACGCCGAGAGGTTGGAAAGAATCAACTGTGATATTTTCTGCTTGATAGGCGCACTGTTGTAACGCACGGCGGCATGAAGGACTTTGACCAGCGCACCGGCCATCACCCAAGGCCTGGTCATCTCGAGCCCCGCGTTTGAGTCTTCGGCGAGGTCCCTGACGGCTGCTTTAAACTCTTGCTCGAGCTCCCTGATAAGGATGGTGTCGATCTCGTCCATCTTCTCGTCGATAGCAAACTGCCATCCTTCGACAAGGATCCGGGCTACTATGTCAGCAGCGCGAATATTATTGTCAGCTACGAGGCCAACCAGAACTTCGACACAGCAGGGTCCTATTCTGCGAATGTACTCCCAGTTCCCCTCTTTGATCTCTTGGGTGATTTCTTTCTTGATCCTCTGAAGGAAGTCCTCTAGCTGCTGGTAGGCAGCCTCCTCGGCAAAGGGGCTGCCGCCACTGTTCTTGATCACGTTTCGCAACGTGAGGGACCAGATATCGGATAGTGCTATCGCCAGTTTCTCTCGTTCTTTACCTCGGTCATCCATCTTGCTCCCCTGAATGGCGGCCGACATGAGCTCCAATGCAAGCTTAGCCATTAGGTTCGCCTTGTCCATATCCCCGTCGCGAAAGAAGCCTTCAAATTCCCTGGCGCGATTTGTGACGAGGTCCTGTGCCATGTTGTCGTTGAAGTCCTCAGCAAACATGCTCTTTAGAGCATCCACCCAACTTCGCGAGAGCATTTGTACTATGGCGTCATCTCCATCCTCAATGGCATCGCTCAGAATTCGCACAGCTGCCGACACGATCAAGTCGAGCTTGTCGGTAGCAGAACTGATGGCGTGAGCTTCGTTGTCTTGCCGTCGTTCCGTTTCACGAACTCGGGACCAAACGAAGAAGTTCAGAATGGGAGCAAGGCAAGACCCCAAAAGGGCTGTCCTGAACCTACTACTTTCAGAACGAGCAGCAGGTGCGTTACCGTTTCGGATGTCCTCCTCTCTCTCCATGTCTTTTCTCGCTTGCTTCACGAGAGCCTTGAAAGCCATCGCGGAAAAGTCAGTGTGGAATCGGATGCTTGTCAGGTTCTTATTCTTAATCGCGGTCTTGAAGAGGGCCACCTTCATATCAATGTGTTGTTGGATCTTTTTGTCGTTTCCAACAGCGACCTGCGCGAGGAAATGGCCGCCGTACCGTCCGATCGCATCCCATATGAACGGGTCTTTTGATGTCGGCAATGACGTGGGTGGAGGCTCAAACTCCTTTGTGTATTGTGTGGCACCGTATTCCTCCAACAACAACTTAACGTCTCGGTTTCGGTTGCGTAAAGCGGCGTCGAGGGCGGTTCCGAACAGGGCCTCTTTCTGCGTCTGCCTCGGCGTGTTGCTCCAACAGAAACTTGACGACTTCGATTCTTTCGTTGAACCTGGTGTATAGATGCGCGCCCGCGACGGCGGCTTGCAGAGGCGTGGTTTTGTTGGCTGTGCGGCTGTTGACATCAAAACCGGCATCGACTAGTTTTGCGACGACCCCTACCGAGCTGTAGTATGCCGCTTGATGGAGCGCTGTGCCGTGCTCATATGTCCCATGGTTCTTCTTGAATTTTCGGTGTTTCACGATGGCGGCGACACACTCTTCAGAGTCTCCTGAAATAGCCGCGCCGAGAGGAGTTTGTCTGCGCTGTCCACTTATGGCGTTCACTTTTGCGCCGTGCTCCAGAAGCACCTGAGCGACCTTGGCGTGGCCGCAGGCGCAAGCCTGTGCCAGAGGAGAGAGGGAATTTCCACTCGTCTCTGTCCTGGCTTTCCTCTTCAAGAGAAGCCTAGCGAGCTCGTGGTTACCGTATTCAGCTACGTAGCTGAGAGGGGACCTCGCGTCTTTATCGACAGCATTGACCTCGCATCCGAAATCTAGAAGTGTCTTGGCCATGTCTTCGGCAAGACCGTCCTGGCGACATACGGCCCAGTGTAGTGCCGTCCGTCCGTTGCTGTCCTTAGTCCGGCAATCAAGACACCCCGCGCGTTTGAGGACGGGAATAAAATCAGGACTACCCATGTGACTGACAATATGGGTGATGGTGAGAGCCTTGGGAAAAAGCCTACCCCGCGCCATAATATGGACTTGGAAGGACAATCGGAGGTTCTGTGGATGCTCTGCAAGGCGGCGAAGAAGTTGCAAAATGACCTCCGGATTGGCTCGTGAGAGGTAGCTGGGACAGGCAGAGGACGCGTATCTCAAGAGCTGGTTGTCGCGGACGAGCTCGTTCAGTGCTTTCTTTTCTTTCCATCTGTTGTCCATGACGGGCCCGCTGGAAAAGTCCCGAAAGAGGAGGTATGAAATGCAGCTCGCAGCCATCCGTCCGTTGGCCTTGCGCAGGAATTCGTCCTTGGATCGCAGATACTCGCTCACTGTACGGTGCGATAGGTGGACATCTCCCCTTTGGTTGCGCGTAACAGTCCGCAGCAAACGTTGATGATGTGGTCCACACTATCCAGTTTACTTTCTTCCTCTAACCTTCCCGCCTCGTCACTGAGTGCGAGTGCGTGTCTGAGCTGGAGATCCCTAAGAGCCAAGGGAGAAAATGCCACCGCAGCCAGGGCTCTGTGAGTTAGCCCGTCTTGATTCGAATTCTGGCCGTTGATCATGTCGATGATTCCGTCATAGGCGGCGAAAAGAGCTGAATGGTCTTCACCACCTGATCTGAAGCGGAAAACCTTTTCCTTGAGGACACTATCTGTCTCTGTTCCCGTTGCCAGTATGTCCATGTAGACTCTAGCTAGCAGGAACCTGTGGCTGGTTAGCAATTGGGTGGAGTGCGACGCCTTTGGGATAATTTTATTGTCACTTACGATCCGTTTGACTTGGCCGTTATTTCTTGGACAGCCTGCGGCTCCAGATGGTGATTGCGGGACAGCACATGGCTCAGCTCCGGAAGTCTGGCTTTCAGGTATCTTTCGATATCTGCGTCACTGGCCCTCACACCACGAGAGGTGCACGTGTCCAAAACAAGCTGCGGAATAGTTGTGTCTGTTCTGCAGGTAGCGAATATGCGCGCGTCGACCTTTGCTTGCGCGTGGACGAGTGACAATAGGAAGTGCCTGCTCTCGACAGGACATTCGTCCAGGGCATCGAGTACAACGAACACATGGTCGTACCAGGCTGCAGTCTCACGAAATGCATCCACAACGTCGCTGAGACCGGGCTGTCGAGCGCCTTGGTGTAGAAGGTAGGTATCGTAGAGCTTTCGAGAAGGCGCGAGGAACAGCATAGCATCTTCCGTAGCCGGCAGATCCGAGAGGAGTTGACCAAGAATGTTTCTGAAGATGCCTTCTTGACTCTGAATGAAGGCGTCCTCTGAGGAAGACTGGACGGTCTGCTCCCTGAAGTATACGTATGCAATCCCCACTCTGGGTCGATCGGAGCCGACAGGGAGGCGTTGTTGTTTAAGTTCTTGCAGATTGCTAACGACAGCTGAGGTCAGGAGAGTTTTGCCCGCACCGGGCCCTCCAGTACAAAGGAGGACTTTGGACTTGGTATCCAGCCACTCATTGTACTCTGCGCACTCGAGAAACCAAGCACAGGTCATGGGTTCTCTCTGGTCGCAGTATAGCTGTTGTTCGTCGGCGTAATCCTTAGATACAAGCCATTCTACAACTCGACTCCGACGCTCCAGAACGTCTCTAGGGAAAGGTTAGGGGATAAACAGCCGTGGGTGATAGGAAGAAACTAGAAAGTAGGTACCTGTCCTCAATCTGGGCCATGTTGGGTCCGCTTGGCCGATCGGGTGTGACCTTTTGGGGGAGGGTTTTATTGTAATAATCGGATCACACCGATATAGTCCGAGTTAGTGACAACACTAGGTGGCCAGATTATGGTTTCGGCGATACTCCAACAGGATGTTGAACGTGAATCTCGGGGGTCAACACGCCTGATGATGGCGAAATCAAGGTATAAAAGACTCGGAAAGTTCTGATGGCCGGTACTGAGAGTGGCATGTTGCTGGTGTCATCTTGCTGGTCAAACCCTCCAGGTTCGGTGTTGGGCGCGAGGCAGGGGCTGTGAAATTGCGGTGGGAGAGCTGAGCCTGGAAGCCCGAAAGCTGCCTGAATTCTGCATTTGTCGACACGTAGCGATAACTTTGCCTTGACACCGCCGCAACAAGGGACAAGGCTGCTCCGAGCTGGCCTGCCAACCTGCCTCATTCACGGCCAACTCAGAAGGGGCCAGCATGAGAGGCAGGGCTGCAAGCCGCCGAGAGACGTGGACGAGACGGCGATACCGGCACGCCAGAATGGCCAGAGAAAGGGCAGGGCGATGCCAATGGCGGTTGTAAACGCCTACCAAAGTGTTGTGGTTAGCGGCACGCTGCAGCAATAAGGCCACAGGGGGTGTAATAAGCACTCTGCAGATGACCCTGCATGCATGCATCGCCACCTGTATGTACACCCCGATGTCGCTGTGCGTCAGCCCAGAATTTGCACCTGATCGGGCATTGCGTAATTATGTGTCTCGATACGGTTGATCACAAGTAGACGCCGTGGAAGTCCGCCGAACACACAACTGTGCAAGTATCATGAAATTCAACAACGTTGGGCTTATTCGTTGGTATCCCGTGTTAGTCGACTAACATCACTGCAGACTGAGATCATCGTTGCGAACAACAAACACAAAACAAAAAGGTGAGCAACATGACGACAGAACACTACCACAGCGGGGTTCCGTGGGAACGCTAGTTGACAGCGCTATGATAGCCTGAAAATATTTGACAATTTTGACAACTAGCATACCCCGCATAATTAGCATACCCAATGCAACTAGCATACCCAATGCAACTAGCATTCCCACGCCGCTCGCAGCCCCGCTCCAGCGCCTAGCCTGCCACACCCTCCGCTGCACCCTCCTGTGCACCCCCATTGCACCCTGTTATTGTATTTTGAGCCACTGCTGTATTTAGCGTCTGTTTCCCTACCTACATAAAGATTCCAAACACCCCCTCAATAATACGGGATTCGCGTGCATCCATCCCCAGCGGGTCCACACGTCATGTAAGTCCTCTTGGCCCTGCTGCTAACTGCCTGGTCGCGGGTTGGTTTGGTTGAACAGAAGCGCTGTCGGCCTGCTGGTTAGCCGAAGAGGGAGCGCGACACCACTTTCCAGGTTATCTTTGTCGTCTACCCCAACCGGTTCGTTACCTGACACAGGCGTCATTAGGGGAGGTAAAAACGGGCAACTTACATCGCGCGCTCTCACAACGCATGTATGTCCCAGTTCACCCAGATGATGCCAACGCCCCTGACCGGTACCATGTAGAGACGCACAGGGCGAATGACAGGCACCCCAAACACTACAGCATCTTCCGTCTCCTCCATTATCTCCAAGTCCAGGAGCTTATGTCGAGTCTTTGTACGCTTGATCAGTGTTAGTACTGTGAAGATGTGTCTGTCCTTGTCGTTGTCGAGGACGAAGATATGGTCCACACGCCCGAAAAGAGTCTGGTTGTCGCCCTTGAATCGTACAAAGTCGCCAGTCCTGAACGTGAAGCGGTCGTTCGACTTCCTGCCCGTATGAAAGAAACATTAGCCTGGGCACACCGCTAAGCCGTCCAGCCTCTATTTGCCACTCAGGAGTCAATGTCCCTTCCGGGAACCTGTGCTGACAAGCACGCCGGCCGTCTGGGGGAATCTGACGAGGCGAGCCAGGCTCACGTGTCCCGGTGGTGGGAAAGGGGGAGGGGTGGGGACTCAGGGGTATGGACCTGGTGGTCTGGTACGCACCTGTCGGTGAATCCGAACTTCCGTGACCACTGGATTGGCCGGTTCTCGAACAGAGATGGATATTGTGCAGGTTTGCCGTAGTCATACTGGTATGCCAGTCGGAGATGACCACGCCAAGTCGATGTCGTGTTGAGGTCCCCGGAGCGAGTCGGGATTCTATTGCCATCATTAATTGGGTGGGTTGCGACAACACTTTTTGTTGGGATACGATTGATCGCAGCCGGTCTGAGATGATTGCTGTCTGCGGACTGGTCGATTTCCACCTCGTGGTCTTCGTTTTCGAGTAGGGCATCCATCTCATTTCGGTCCGTTCGGGATAGTACTTGATTGAAAAGGGTCGGGCACTGCTGGTAAAGTGCAAGCGTCTCGCTGGTGAGTTCCGGGTCGTCATGTTGAAAAGCGTTCTGGAGGAGCAGGCGCATCGTCTCTTGGAAATTGACTTTCATCAGCAGGATCTTCTCCACGTTGGAGTAATTTGTTTCGTAGACACGGGTCTTGACGTATCTAGAAGACATTAGCAGACGGTAAGACGGGTAGGTCTGTTCGAAGAAACCCGGCCGAAGAGATCGAGGTGAAGCGAGCGATACATGGGCGACGCGGATTCAACGGTCTTGTGTTTGCTGGCAGGCCTTCTCCAAGCATGGTGCCAGAGCCATGCCCAGATCACTTCGCGACAAGAGCCAGACACAGATCCACACGAATGTCGCTGAGTCCAAGGGTCTGGGGTTTGCCGGTGAAGGTCTATCAAGCGGGGTACTGGTAACTACAGGTGAGGGACAATCACCGACGGAAGTTAGACATACCGGTGTAAGTTTTCGCCTGTGAGTGTGTTACAGTTGACAGGTAAAGCGTACTCCTCCGCGAAGTCTGGGAAATGAACGGCGACATGAATATTTGGGCGCAGTGTGTCGTTCTGGTACTGTAATGCCCGGCCAGAATCATCAACGACACCGTCTTGGAGAACTGACTCATCGATAACTTGGACTCCCGGCGTCCCTGCGTGTGACGCACCAGACGACCCGGTTGAGGTCACAGCTGCAAGTAAACAGAGCTGGTTGAAAAGGTAGCGAGCCCGGTAAATGATGTTGCCCATGAGGTAACGGTCCCGACGCGACACACGAGTCCCCATCAGAACGGTAATGCTCTTTGCAATCGCAGCAGTAGTCTCGATGACCAACTCAATCGGATCTTTCTCGTGGTTCTTAGCTTGGTCCCAGAACCTTGGCCGAATGTGCTCCCTCTTTAACCAGTTTAGGAGCAAGGCTGGGATAATGACGATCCATCGCGCGTGGTGAGACATCTTGTAGCTTGATAAATGGTGAACTGGTGACTGTAAACGTGGCCAACCCGGTGGGAAAGGCCAAGTCCGGAGCTGTATAGCATATTCCGAGCGCGCTGACTTTGTAAGAATGCCATCCCGAAGGAGAAAGTGCATCAAGTTGCCAAGACCGTTGTACTCAGAGTGTGCTGCGTCGATGGGCCGTGACATGACCAGATCAAGGGCCGGTGACAAGCGGGGAAGTACCGGCAGATCTTCAGCCATCCCCCACTGCGTACAATATCGTTTCCGTTCCGACGCAGTTTGCAATGAGCGGTGCAGCATCTGCTGCATCTCCAGGGTCTGAGTGTGAAACCGGCCGTGAGTGATATGATCGAACTTGAGCATGACATCGGGATTGACAGCGCGCTGGCCGGAGGCCGCGAAACAGCATCTGCAGAACTTGTGTGCTCGTGGGCCTTTGAACCCGGAGTTCTCGGCTTGTTGAGGCATATCGCCAATGTAACACATCGCAAATGCGCAAACACGGACGATTTTGTCGCGAATAGTCATGACGATACCGGCGTCGAGATGAGCCATCGTCTTCAGCGCTTTAATAACCTCGCCAAAGTCCGATGCATGAGGCCTACCACGCCAGTGTTAGTTTCAAATACAAGATTAACAACATTCCACAGGGCAGGCTAAAAGCTATGCCCGTATCGGGTTGACACCCCCGAAAGGTGGAAAATGTTGGCAGTCAAGCAATAGGGAAGCGATCTTAGACAAGAAGCTGGACTTACCCGAGTACGATTGGGAAAATGCTGCCCGGACTAAAACGCTCCTCTTCACAAAGCCCTGCTGGTGTGAAGTAGAACCCCATCAAAGTCCGGTACGAATTTTGGAATACACCAAAACCGTCAATGAAGTCCAGGTGGGGAAGGGAGACCACTGGCATGCCGTTCTTAGCCTGATCCCACTCATTCTCGAATACATGTCGACCAAAATGCTGGAGTTCGAGCTCTCCACGGATTGGATGCGTCCGACAGAGCGGGAGAGCTTCCTTCTTAACCAGGATGCGCCGACACTCGTACCACTCATTCTCCCTACGTTCCCTCCTGAATACTGGCCAGACATATTTGGGTAGAGGCTCCGGAGGTGACCGTTCCGTGCGTCGGGGCGGCTTCCAGCCTGGGTCGTCATGTTCCTCACCAGTGTGGTGGTCAAGGTAGACATGGAGGTGTGCGAATACACTGGTCTCCGGAATATAAACCAAATTCGCAGACAGTACCAACTCACAGTCGGTCTGTGGCGGCGTGAGTTCGATGTTTGCAAGTCGGTGATCGCCAAGCCGGTATGCCTCCTGAAGCTGTAGGCACATTTGGTTTCGACTTTGTGTGCATGGATCTTCGCGGTGATCGAGCCCAACGCCATAGACACGGCCGATATGTAGGTTGACAATGTCGTCAGAGTCGTCCTCAATGCCGCGGCAATTCCGGACGCAGTTTTCTGACGTACATCGGAAGTATACCCAGTCGGAGGGAAAGATGACCGGTCCTTCTTTGCCGTCGATGATGACATGTGCGTAAAACCCTGATGTGCTACGAACCGAGGACAGCCAAGCGTGTGAATGAAACAACTCGCGTGGTTTGTCGACGAACAAGCCTGGGCCCGTATGTATCCTGCCTAGGATATCAGATGCGATGATGTTCTTGAAAACGGTGATAGGGTCGAAAAACGTTAGCCGCATCGTCGCCCTCGGAAGGTCCTTGAGGCCGATATCACCATGTGCTTGTCGGAGGCTCTCCAACTGACTCTTAGCCTTCTCTGCTGCTACTGCCGCGTCTCGTGCCTCGGTGCTGTGCCTGCCTTTATCGCGAGAGATTCTGGTCGCTGCTCTAGTAGCGGTGAGTGCTGCACTTCTGCTTTCTGCTTGAGCCCGTGCTATCTCAACCTTGTGACGTTCCTCAGGCTTCAAACTAGCTGGCATTGTCGGTAACTTCAAGATATTCAGAGGGATGTCTGCCTCGCGCATATTCATCATCGGCATCCGGCGGCGCATACGGTCTCGAAGTGTTGAGAGCTGTTTCGGGAGGCTCTGTATCATTGAAGGGACACTGCCGTCTTTGCCGCGGATCAGGAAAAGCACCTCCCGAAGGGATGCCCAATCTTGACGGCTTAGACCAGTCAAATCGGCAAAGGTCGCAAGAGCCTTCTCAAAGCTGGATGTCTCGATTGACTTATTCTGGCGTATCGGAACCAAAACCGATGTGTCTTCGATGTCGGTATATAGCATCGGTGAATCGTGTTGGCTGGTAGACTCTCGGTCATCTTCCTCGTGTGGTATTCCTTCATCGTCGAACGGAAGATTCTCAGTTGGCTGAGCCCCTCCAACCCAGATGCACTCTTCGTATTCGCCGGCTCCAAGAACATCGCTCATATGGAGTGCAGACCGAAGAATATGTGCCGCTGCATCTTCAGTGTCGCCAGCTTTGAGTGCGTCCATATCAACAATGGCTAGAGCTAGGATCAGCGCTGTTACCCATAGGACTGGTTACAGGATAACTCACCTTCAGTCTCGGAGTCGGTGTCAGACTCGCAATGAAGACCGTCATCGTCAAAAATCAGTATCACTAATATCATTGGCACCTTCAATACCATGGATCGGCACGTCGGGGTGGATTTCCGGGATTCGTGGATTCGCGGAATAGACATCGCCGTCGTTGTCGTTCATAATTGTGTCGCCGAACCCGTCGGGAAAAGCAGAGGTTTCAATCGATGACTGGCTCATCCCCATGTGGTTGTCTCTAAATTGAGGCCCCGGGTTCTGCGCCGATAGATGCTGCTTACGTGCTGTGCTGCGGAGTCGGCGCGACTTTAGACCCTTCGGTTGGTCGGCCATATTTGCGCTGTCAATGATCCCGATGGTGTTGATGGTGTTGTAAAAAAAAAATTGATGTGGGAGGGTTTTAGAGGGAGGAAATCGAAGGACTCGTGAGTGGGCGAGGAGTTGTTGCCAGAAAAATTCTCTCAGAGGAGGCCGTTCCTTCCTTCGCTCCTGTTGGAAACTATTAACAGCCACAATTCCACGGTTATCAGACGGATGATGGGAACTTACAACAGTGGGTTGGAGATGCTTCGAGCAGCCCAGAAATCATCAATTGAAGGTTGTTTCTTTCTGTTCTTCGGTGGTGGCCATCGCCCTAACCCTTTTGAATAGCTCGTTATCCAGCCCCTGGATACCCTCAAACAGTAGCACCGGCAACCGAGTTTCCGTATTTCGAATGCCACCACTTCCAACACCACCACATGATTATGAGAAGCCGCACAATGTCGCCGCCGTTGATGGCCAGCGGGCACACGGCGCTTTGGCCGGGCCTAGTGTCAGCCAACCCACCGGAACAACCCCATCGAACTTCCAGAGCATCACCAGAACAACATCGCAGAGGATGTTATCACCACCTACGCGGCCTGGCTTGACTGCCGGATCAGTTCATCTCCCGCAATCCAGGATCCAGGTGCCCATCATCCCCACATCCGATACAGGCAGCGTCCACAGCCGGTCGGTGGTGCAGCAACAGACTCGGCAGTGCACAACACCCGGTGCAACTGTCAACGCTCCGACGACAGAGGCCACCCCGGCAGCGAAAACATCTCCGCCGGGGTTTAGCGCAGGCGACTCTATCACAACCGCCCAAGCCACTCCAGTTACCCGCGCTTCGAACCGCAGCCGCAGGAAGTCTCAGCATGCTCTGCAAGCTGACAGCAACACGTAGGAAGCTCACATTAATACTCGCGGAGTCGCAGCTAGACGTAGTGGTACTCTGGCCTCCCGGGGCAAACGTGCGGGTGAGTGGCGGGGATTCCGGCAAACCCATGTCTCGGCCTGGAAAGCAGCAGCAGAGAGCCAGGCTTGGACGTAACACCCGGGTGGATGACCAAGAGTCAGAAGGATACTCTAACTTGTGACCTCCAACCGGTTTTACCCCTGTACTGCCGTATTCAATCGTTGCTAGTGGTAGTATATAGTGTGTATTCAAGAATGGATTATGTGGTTAATAGAAAATAAAAAACCTGATTCAGTCCTTGATTTCATCTTGTCCAGCGTTGTGCTTTTGTAAATTGGGCGAGGCGTACACCAGACAGTGGCTTACAGTGGCTTACAGTGGTTTGCAGTGGCAGTCCCATTGTCACGAGCCCTGATCAATCTGTCGGATGGGGCAAGAACCCATAAATAACCACCAATCAGAGAGCGGAACGCCGGGGATGCTAGTTGCTCGAGGTATGCTAGTTGCTCTGGGAATGATAGTTGACAAGACAACAATAGATTGCATTCCTGGAAGGCCAAGTATCATACTTGCCTGGCACATTTTCCCACTACGGTACCTAACAATTTCTGATACCTAAGCGCTCTGCATCAGCTGCATCAGCCGCACCAACCCCTCTCAAATTTCGAGGGGACTGTTATGGGAACCAGGAACCGCGCGGTACTCACTTGGACCGAAGACGTGGTCCAAAAAAAAGAAAAAGAAAATGCTTCCATTACCGGGCGCCAGTGCGGCGGATATTTCCCCTACGTCTCTCGAGTGGGATAGACTCAAATCACTACGACTCCATCGCAACCGCCTCTTCAATCGGTCAGGCTACCGACCGCTCGACCGAAGGAAGCCGTCGTTCTGTTAGAAGTTGTGGCACTTGAAACTCGGAATCTTGGTTGCTGATGCGCTAGTGTTAGAGGGTTCCAAGGGCTGAACAACAAGCTATAAAAGGGAGGTCAGGACGATGCCCGCCACTGAGAAAAACAAGAACAACCTTCAATCGATGACTTCTGGGCTGCTCCGAGCATTACAGCCAGACTGTTGTAAGCTCCATCATCTGTGAGATAACCGTGGAATCGTGGCTGTTGGTCTTCCAACACTTAGACATGGTGCCCGCTTGGAGCCAGGCCATTTGCCGAGCATTCCAGGGGGTCCGTAGTCCAATACAACACTGCTTTGCGCTGGCTCACACCACAGTTGGGAAAACGGCAGGGGTCCGGGTGGTGGTACGCTTCGTGAATGCTAAGGGGCACATCAGATGTCGGAATGGTAGCACCAGGTATTTCGTTCACCACGCCCATCTTTAGGTACTTCGTACCTAGGTGGGAAACAGGGCATGCGGGGTGATGAAGAAGGGGGATTTCATTGCATGGGTTGCATTGCCGCTGGGGCATTGCCGCTGGCCCTTCAGGACCTTGGGCGCTAAAGAAAGGCATCAGTATTACGGAAGATGATAGCCCGCCACTGTAACAGTTATGCCGCTTCCCATTGGCGGACCGAGCCGCCTCCCAGGCCGCGGTGATGGCGGTTGCGAGCCTGAACAGGGATGCGGAGCTTGTCTCTGCCAATTAAACTATCACGGAAAGACAACAACCAGAGTTGGCTGAAACTCTCTCTGCAACCCTCTACTCCGCACCATGTTCTCCCGTAAGCGCCCAGCCTTGAGTTGTAGCTTGAGACAACGGACAGTTAAACTACCTATATAGTTCTTCTCTACCTCTCACTCGTTCCACATTATCCACTAACTAGGTAGCTGCCCTTATTACTTTCAATCTTCAAACCGCACATCGACATCTGGGCCCGCCACAGTCCACCACTGTTACAACGTCAGCAACACGTGAAGTCAGTCTGTCACCTGCGATGCCGACAGCTAGTCCCGCAGCTTCCATGCTGCAAAGATCCTTTTCGCCGTCTTCGAGGGACGTTGACACAGGCTGTCTCTTCGCTCAGGCCGTCGATGCCTTTGGCTACATTCAGCTGGCCCGGGACTTCTCCATCGATTACGAGCGATGCCAGCTGCGGCTTGACGTTGAGCGACGGCGACTTGTCAAGTGGGGTATCGCCATCGATGTCCAAGGGGACCCTCGATTCAACAAAGAAGATGAGAAATTCGTCAGAGGGACCATCCAAGCAATCATCGACCAGTTTCAGCGCGCACAAGGCATGTCTTCACGCTACAAGCAGAACATCAGCCCCAAGGAGCAGAAGGCGCTGGTCATTTTCGAGCCGGAAAGGGACTTGAGCGAGCCTGCGCGGAAGGGGCACAGGAAGTTCTCGGAGCTCTGCGGAAATGCTATCGCCAAGACGGGACATGAAGTTGCCCGAAGGGCGTACTGGGCCATCTACGACGGCAAAAGCCTCGAGACCCTCGTCACTAGTATCCAAGACGATATCTCCGCTCTTGTTGAGCTTGCTCCAGCGACGCCCAAGTTCGAAACCAAGATGGCCGAGCTAACAGCCGGGGATGCTACGGAACTGGATAAGCTGGGATGCCTAAGGGAGGTGGCCCAGGCTGCTGTTGGCGTTGACAATGATCTGGCGGCGATTTTGAAAGCCAAACTGCAGCCCTCTAGACATGACGTGAGTGACATCAAACTGAGAGGGTCAGCCAACTTTCGGGTTGGAGATGATTTCAGCACATCAGCAGTACAAGCCTTGGCAAGGTTCGGGAACTTGAATACCACGCACTCTCATCGCGTCAAAGGGGTGGACATGTCGGGGAGCAGCACTTTCAGAGTTGGCAATAACTACGGAAACTAAAAACTTGAGTCTTTGCAAAGTCAATTGAGATTTATGTATCGTCGAAGGTGTCATGGAAAATCACATTGCTGCATGAGGTACTCCAAGCTCCTTTGAGCACGCAGGTAAAAGCATAGTCTGGTGCCATACGAGTACAGTGTATTTATTGGGGTTCTACCGGCGCCCCTTATATTGTTGAGACCATCGAAAACGGCGATACGCGGCAGCCCAATTTGGCGGCCCAGAACAGCACTTTCTCGACTTGATGTCTAAGGAAACCTCTATACAAAGGGAATCACCAATTCTATTACCGTGGTTCATCCTTTCGGCCACTTTACATGGTATTAGGTACCTAAGTAGAGCTAAGAATTGCACTGCCCCTTAAACATTACGATACGCCTCATCAAAAACCTTCTTCTCCCGCTTCACAAACTCCTCAAACGTGCCCGTCTCAACCCCCCACTTCTTGGCAGCCTCCCTTGCATCCGCACCCTCAAACACGTCCACATGCCGCAGCAACTCCTGCATGCCCAGGATGGGGTTCGTCGCCTTGGCAGCCTGAAGCTCCTTCCCATCCAGGTACTTCCCACGGATATTAGGGCGGCCGAGCACGCGGCGCATGGTCTCGAGGCCCTCCTCAACGGAGAGGGACTCGCTGACGACGAGGACGACCTGGGCGTGGAAGCGGTCCGGGTGCTGGAACGCCGCGACCGCAAACTTGCCAATGTCCTCCGTGTCAATCATGGGCAGCATCGTCGTCGCGAGCAGCGCCATCGTGAAAACACCCGTCTCGGTCGCGCCTGGGTACTGCAGGTTGACCATGGGTGGCAGGTAGTTGGACATGAAGGCGCCCGGGCGCAGAATGGTCCAGCGCGGGAACCCGGCGGTTTGGATGGCCTGCTCGAGTTGCTTTTTGGGTTGGAAGAGCTGGGCGGCGAAGCTGTTGGGGTCGGTCTTGTCCTCGGGCAGCGGGATGCTGGTGCTGTAGACGACGTGCTGGATGCCGGCGGCCTTGGCGACGGCGAGGACGGTGGTGCCGTCCTCGAGCTCGGCGGTGAAGTTGGTGAGGTCCGGCAGGAGGTTCAGGAAGAGCAGGTCGCAGCCGCTAATGGCAGCCTCGAGAGCAACGCGGTCGCTCCAGGACCCCTCGTGGACTTTGACGCCGATGGAGGCCAGGCTCTGGGCGGCGGCGGAGTTGGTGTTTCTGGTGATGGTGCGCACCTCCCAGTTGAGGGCCCGCAGCTGGCGGGCAAGAGCACCGCCTTGGGCTCCGGTAGCGCCGCAGACGAAAACTGTGTGAGTGGCCATGATGAATTGAGTAGATGTTGATCAAAGTGAGCACTGACTGAGGGATCTCAGGTGAAGAAAGATTAGGCAACGAGAACCGAGTCAACAGAGATGCGGAATTGTGTGAATTTATACACCTACACATTATGAAGTAGTGAGGGGAATATATCTCCGATGCAGCTCACATTATACCGACTCGGAGAGTTTGCGGGCGGGATGCCCGCGCGGAGAAAGATCCGGCCGTGCTGCAGGCCAAGCCGGCCACGCACGCCCGAGACGCGCACTTTTCTCAACCTGACCTGTCTTTGAGCTTCTCTGCTACCATTGCTAGGCATCGCCGTGTCCACAGACTTGAAGACTAGCCTGTCCGAGGGTGCTGCAATTTTGTGCAACTTGTTGCGATAGTCTGAGCCGCAAGTCTGTGCCGAAACCAATCCTTGCGCGATCATCCGATACTGCGAATATAACCGAGCAGACGGACTACTCGAGGGCGGTGCTATCGCTCTAGGCCCGTCGAAACGGTGATACCTAGGGATTAATCACATTCTGTGTTATCGACGGCTCGCCTGAATGGCCGCGGGATGTTCACTAAATACCTACCTCCCTAGATAGATTGATCCTTTACCTCAGTATCGCCTACATAACTGCCTCAGATAGTCGCCTAGTGGGCACACAATTTACAGGCGGTTTGGCTCTAGAGTGACGAATGGAAAGGGGTGAGGGTCACCAAGCAGGGCCAGTTGCACCCAACACACATAAAGTCCCACTTTAGACTTGGTCACGCTGCCTTGATTATCAATGTTAAAAACTTAAAAGTCACTAATGGTGAAATGGCGCAGTTTGCTGTATAGTTGATATGGAGGTAGTCGGAAGACGGTAGATGTAAACACCGAGCCTTAGCAGCCACATAGGAAACGCCACACTCGATACGGATCCGTACAATGCACTTGTTCATTTCAATCTCACGATGATGATGATGGGGCTTTGACCAAAGGAGAAGTCTGTGCGTGCTGAGAATGCAATGTCCAAGCTTCGAGTTTCATTGCCAAGCCAATATCCCACTTGATCGAAAAGGGGCAGATCTGGACATTCTCGAGAGTCGCCATGGGATTAGGGGCGCTGCAGACATGGAATTGTCGACTCATAAGCCTACCTACACTGGCTATTGGATCGTGAGGTTCACCCCGACGCTGCTGATGGTATTCGATCATGCAACCCAAGGGGTAATGTTTTCCTTTCCCTATGCATCTCACGATCAAACACGGACCCAGCGCAATGCAAGAATGTGAAAATCAACACATCCACTCAAGGGAATGGGAGATCGCTGATGATCCTGCATGAAGATCTGCTGCCCCTTTTCCGCCAAGATTGCTTCATTCTCGGAACGGCAACCGGGTCCGGCTCACCCCGGCTCTCCCGGCCCCGCAAGTTTGACGGGCCGACCGCCGACCATTGTCTTGGCATATTGACATCGCGATAGTCGTGGCTTGGCGAGCAAACGAGATGGGATTCAGACCCTATTTGGGCCAGAATCGGCCGAGATGGGAGATGGGAACTGCCGACTGGGTGATGGCGCTGAAACCCCCCTTGACTTTCTGGAAATTGGGTGATTTGGTCGGAAAGGGGCATCATAAAAGAAGCCTCCCTGTCTTTGCCTTTTATTTCTGCGAACCCGTCTGTTTCTCCCAATACCAAACTCCAAATTGCTCCCATCTCTTACCAGCAAAACCCCAACTCCATCACTGAGCACAAACCCCATCACAGCTCATCAACCACAACCACACCCCAAACCAAAACCACAAACCAACCTCCAAAATGTCTGCCGAAGCCCCCAAAATCGAGGCCCAAGCCGAGCAAGTCCAAGAGCAGCAACAACAACACCAAGAGCAAGACGACCAAGCCTCCATCACCTCCAAGCCCAACCAAGAAGGCGACGAGGCCACCCCCGCCGCGGGCGAAGAGAAGGCCGCCAAGCCCAACCCGCTCAAGAAGCTCGGCTCCGTGTTCAAGACGGTCTTTGCCTGTCTGCGCAAGCCCGCCGTGCGCGACGAGGAGAAGATCGCTGCCGAGGCCGACGAGAAGAACGCTGCTGCGGCGGCCGGTGGTGACGACGACGAGGAGGACGCCCTGAAGAAGGCTGGGGACGCCACCCAGGCGCCGCCCGTGATCGAGCAGGGGGTATTGTCGGGCGAGCCGAACAAGGAGGGGACGGCGCCGCATTCGTAGGCGGAGGGAGGAGTGTGATGTGCGGGGGAGTGAGGTCGGGATGTGGTGAGAAGAGGGTTGTGTTGGCCGGGTGGATTACAGCTTTTTAATGTCGTTCCTTCTCTTTTTGCCACTTTCTCCTGTCACATACTTCCAATATACCCAAGCCAGCTTCTTTTCTCTACTCCAAGAAAGACAAACAACCACAACCAATGCCAGGGTAGTAGCCTCCCCGACTCTATCAACCAATGACCCAGGTGGCATAGCAGCCTCCATTGATCTTGGCCAGTGCCCCCGACCAGACCCATTTGTTGGAACAATGTCCCACACCAACCCAACCATCACGACTGCTCCTCCTCCCCCTCCTCCCCTTCCCCCACCACCATCACCTCCCTCGCCTCCCTCCTCGCAACCTTCCTCCCATAAGCCGTCTTCTCACCATGCCCCACCCCCTCCCACGTCCTCGTATCCGGCAGTCCATACGTACTGATCCCCCTTCCCCACGTCGTCCACGGATTCGTCCACCGCGCCACCTCCCACGGCACCACCGCCTCCCCCCCATCCTCAGCCGGCACCATCGCCCGCCAATCCTTCGGCTTATCGCGATGCACCAAATACCCGCCCAAATGCCGATGCCAAATATCCGGCGGCACCTCATCCCCACCCCCTTCCCTACCATTCCAATGCCTCGCCAACGCCAACCGCACCTGCCTCTCGATCCCCCGATGCCCCGTCACCGTACTCAACCGGTGCGCCCAGCCATAGCAGTAGACGGCGCGGTTGAGCGGGGAGAGGTCGCGCGCGAGGGGCAGGGCCATGGGGGGGAGCGTGCCCGAGGCGATGAGTGGGGGGATGTCGGAGAGGGTGATGTCGGGGACGATGGTGATGGGGAGGTGGAGGTCGGGGGGGGCATGGTGGTGGTGGACCAGGTTTGGAAGGTTGGTGAGGCGGGTAGAGGGGGTGGGTTTCTGGAGAGGGGGACGGGGAGGGGGTTGGGTTGGAGGGGTCGGAGTCTGGGGGGAGGATGAAGGAGGCGCGGGTCTCTTCGGAGTGGGTGGCGATGGCGGCGATGAGCTTGCGGAAGTAGGCGACCGCGGAGCGGGTGCAGACGAGCCGGCGGCCGCGCAGGGCGGGGTACAGCACGGCCGGGAGGATGTCCTGCCGCGCGACGAGCTCGTTGTTGTCGGTTTCGTGGTCGAGGAGGGACCGGGCGATGATGTGCTGCTGGGCCTCTGGCTGCAGCGGGACGGGGCCGTGGTGCAGATCGGTGACGAGCGCTACGAGCACGCTCGGGTCGAGGTTGACCGTCTCCGTTAGGCAGCCGCAGTCGTCGCTGACGAGCGGGTCCCGGTCTTCGATGAGGGCGCTGACAGCGCTGTCGACCGGAGGCGGGGTTTCGGTGAGGAATGCGCTGCCGGCACAGCTGACGCGCACTGATACGTCTGTTCCCCCGATCTTGTCCCGGACATAGCGGATCATCCTGTCGACCGATTCTGATTTTCCTTCTTGGAGTCCCGGTAAGACCAAGTGCACATGGTGGCAGTGGTTCCACCGGGCTGCTCGGATGATCTTCTTGACCGTGTCGGCAAACTCGGTGTGTCCGAGTCCTTCATCTGCGTCCCCTTCGCCATCGCCGTCCTCGTCCTCCGGCTCGCTCGCCCACCCTTCGGCCACCACTTGGTATTCGAGCGTCTTGGATGAAATAGACACGAACTTGACCCATGTGGCGCCGCTATCGACCACGGCATCCACAGTAACGGGTCTCTCCTGGAAAGGCTGGTCCTTGTAGGCCAACCATCCGGCGTCGGGAGCAACAGGCAGCCGGGGGCTCCGCGGAAAGTCCTTGTTGATGGCGATAAGACCGCGGCATTTCTTGACGACAGACCATCTGTCCTCCCAACAGCAGCTCTTGATGCCGGAATACTGGGCCTGCGAGATGGCTGGCTTCGACGGGGAGCGTTGCTTCTGGGTGGTCTTTTCCAGGGCGCGTTGCTGCGTCTTCAGGAGGGCGTTGAGCCCCCGCACAGGGCGCTTAGCTCCCTCGGATGTCTGTTGAAGATGCAGTAACTCTTGGAGACAAGTCTGCCATTGAGTGATCAAAGACTCAATGCAATTACTCAAGGCTGCCTCTTCAGTGTGCTCAGGCTGGGTCTCCTTCTGGTCAGGCCCATTTGTTTCGTGTGGACTTTCTGCTGCTGCGATATTATCGCAGGCCGTTTCTATCATTTTGTTTCCTCAGTATTGTAGGCAGGCAAAATAGGTTCCTTAGGTACTGTAGTTAACGCTCAAGCGGTTTGTTTGTCCAAGATTTCCCAAAATGATGACGACCCCGCGGCTCCATTTCCTGGGCGAAAATTCAAGCAAAAAAGAACGAACGCTGTCTGGAAGCTCGAGGGTTAGGGTCAGTCAGACTTTGTTACATAAATTACATTTCCACAACATCACACCACCCTTCCATCTGAGCTCTTCTCTCCGTCTGACTACCTAAGGTACCTCCCCAACAGGTCGCCCATTCGCCCTTGATATACAGGTTCCTCGATCCCCGCAGCAACTTCCCCCCGCAAAGAGACGCATTACAATTTGGCGAAACGGGGGGAGCGCGCTCGTAATCGTAGAGTGGCCTGTGTTTCACTGAATGGCACATCCATAAGGGTGCGGATTCGAATCCCACCGAAGTAAAACTCCCAAGAGAAGTTTTCGTAGCCGTCTACCTTCCCGTCAATAAAAGGCAGGAGGTTAGGCGGTGAGCTTTTTTTGGTTGGCTGCCTCTACGGCGATTCTAAAATCCTCCAGCAGCACCTCGATTTCCTCAAGGCCAACCGCAATCCTGATCTGCGTCGGCCTCAGCCCGTATTTGGCAGCCCAGGGCAACCTCTTCTTATACGTGCACATCGTATACGCAAACGCGAGCGTAAAAGGTGCCCCAAAATGGACCCCCTTGTGAACGTTTAGATTCTCGTAAAATGCCCGCGTCGTCGCCAGGTCATCCAGCTCGACGCTGAAAAGACAACCGTGCCCGGGCACGAAGTCGGCCGTGGCCGGGCGAAGATAGCGTTTGTAGTGTGCCCCCGAGGGGTTGACTGACGGGTAGTGAACTTGGCGAACGGCACTGTTGGGGTCTTGAGCGCAGGCATGAAGATAGTTCACGAGCTTGTTCGCATTCGCATTTGACTTGGCTGTGCGAAAGAGATAGTCACGGCTATTCCGCTCCATGGCCTCGGCGTCGTCTATATACACCTCAGGAGCATAGTGCTGATCAAATATCCGTTTCAATTCGCAATATTTTGGCGAAGCAGGGTTGAGGATTGCGCTTCCCCCAATCGCATCCGCGTTGCCGTTGAAGGTTTTGGTAAGCGATGTGACGAGGATATCCGCCACGGCCGTGACGTCGATGTTGGCCCAACTTCCGACTGTGTCATCAATCCCAAGCACGACATTGAACTTGTCCGCCAGATTCCGGAGCCTCCCAAGATTAGGTGCGACGAGGAGCGGGTTTGCTGGGAACTCTAGCCAGATCGCCTGCACCTTTCGGCCGCGGCCACACTCCTCGCAGAGGAAGGCTTCGAGGTCGTCAAGATCCTCGTCCGAGCCGTTCCCAAAGAACTTGTATCCAGGACCGAATTCCTCAAATACCGTGACCGTGTTCATAAACGCCATGCCGAAGAGGACAGTCGTGCCCTGGTAGTAATCGAGCATGTAAGTGTGGGGCTTGTAGATGGAAGCCATGCCGGTCGGGTAGAGGTAGACGTCTTGGGGGGAAGGCCGCTGCTGCGGACGAGGATTCAGAGGCGCCCGTTCAAGATGCGATATGATCCTTTCCCGCAATGTCCGATGTGCCGGGCCTTCAAACTTTGTGTTGGCATGCCTGTCCTTGGTTGTGGGCACCTCCTCAAGTAAATCGAAGCAGTTGAGATTGGCTTCCGCAAATCGAGATGAGACGTTCGCGCCGGGGGTGCGCCAGAAGCCAGACACGACAGCGCAATGATCGATCGGAAAGATCACAGCATAGAAGCGGTCCTCGGCGGCAAACGCTCGGATTGCAATCTGTTCTCGGGGAACCGGTCGCTTGTCGCGCCCATTGTCTCGCTTGTCAGACGTGGAATATTCGACGCATTCTTTCGCAGACTGGATGGACGGGAGCAACAAGCATCCAACATTTGATATTCCGATCAACTTGAGCACTGCTTCGGCGAGCTGATAGGAAATGTCACGTCAGCGAGGGCCGAGATCCTCAAAGCATACAGTGCACATGTTGGCTTCCGGGATTTGAACTTTGAACTCACCTGGGCAATATCCCGATGGGGCTTCATGCGTGGATACGCATTTTTAAAAAGAGGAAGCATCGAAGCAGAGTCTCCGCCATATCTCTCGACAATCTCCCAGCTGCTGCCCATGTGAACAGTGACCGAATGGCGCGGCGCCGGTGGCACTGCTTCACCAAGCTGAGTCGTGATTTTGGCCGACATGTTCGTGTATGACGGTGTTTGGATATCGTGTGGAGGGGTGGATGTTGGGAGGAGCACAGCCTGGCAGTGCTGGCACAAACCCAACTTTTGAAAGGCCCGAGAAGAACATTGTAAGGTAGGTACTTAAGGATGTGGACTAAAAAATTGTCACGGTCGCCATGTGAATTTTGGAGTCCCAATTCGGGCGGAACAGCGACGACATGATTCAAGTGGGGCGGAGTGTCATTCAACGCCCTAGGAATGCCCAATTCATGAATGCTCGAAACATTGTGCAACGTTCTATAGGGGTTATCATACAACCGGAAGAACGCTAAAATGCCCGGCAATCAGCGCCCCACTTCAAAATGCCATTCGAACGCCCTAGGGATGGCTCGGCATGGACACAACGCCCTAAGAAATGCCATGAGTGGAGTTTGGACCCCGAACACCCGCGAAGGAGAACACGACAACCAGGGATGATGGGTAACTATCGCTCTGCGAAAAATGGAAAATAACGCCGATGACGTGGTGTGTTGTCGCTCGGTGACCTTCGGTCGCCTCATGACATTGTCCAAATAAACTCAACGAGGTTAGCACTTGACGACGCATGTCACGCGGCCGCTCGAAGTTCTTAAGAAAGCACCTCTACATGCATCAGGCCTCTCTTCCGGGGTCAGAGTATTACAATTCACCCTCATTCCTGAATTTCCTTCTGGATAATACCAGATCCCCAGCCCCCATACACCATGGCGCACCCGAAGAGCGACCCTCCTGGGCGACTGATCACCCATTTCGCCAACAGGTCAGTATTGCATCAATGCATGGGTTCCCACGGGCCATAAGCAGTTTTAACTAACACAATTGTTCCCAAAGGGACCGACAATCCCAGAAGGCTGGCTGGTCCGAGTTGTGGGATTCGGACCAGACCGATCTCTGGGACCGCGGGATGCCCTCCCCAGCATTGATCGACTTCATCACCACCCGACGGGACATCATTGGCCGGCTCGGAGGCGGTCGCCGCCGGCCGAGAGCGCTTGTTCCTGTGAGTCCACACGGCGGTCCAGTCGGCCACCGCCCCAAAAACACCATGCTCACTACTTCCAATACGCCTAGGGCTGTGGGAGGGGCTACGATGTTGTTATGCTCGCTTTTCATGGCTTCGACGCCATTGGACTCGAGGTCTCGCAAACGGCGGTCAATTCGGCAAGGGCGTATGCCGAGGTTGAGCTCTCCGATCCATCCGCATACAATTTCGCCACCGAGGATGATGAGAAACGACGAGCTACCTGTCAGCCAGGGACTGTGAGCTTTGTTTGCGGCGACTTCTTCCAGCGGGAGTGGGAAACTAGCTGCTTCGCGCCCGGCGACGACGGCGGCTTTGATCTGATTTATGACTACACCGTGAGTCGATCTTCCACATCCGCGACCAGACTATCTAGGGAATGATACGGGCGCTGATGCTTCGCCGCTGAGATAGTTTCTGTGCGCCCTCCTGCCCGAGATGCGAAAGGACTGGGCGCAACAGATGCGAGAGCTTATCCGACCCACCGGGGTTCTTGTGTGCCTGGAGTTTCCCCTGTACAAAGACGTGACGGCCGACGGGCCTCCATGGGGTCTTCAAGGCATCTACTGGAATCTTCTGGCCGAGGGTGGCAACGGCAGGATGGATGGGCCAGCGGCCACAGATGGCGGACGAGGACCGTTTTCCAGGGTGGCTTACATCAAGCCCTCCCGGTCGTATGAGATGGGGCGAGGGACCGATATGCTGAGTGTTTGGGCGCCGCAAGAGTGAGGCCAGAATCCCTAGAGCAGTGCCTTACGGTCAATTCTCATGTCGCTACTGCATTGCGCCAAATCCAGACCATCGGGGGACAGAAAACGCCCGGCCACAGCCGCGACCCCAATCCCTTGGTGCGCACACTACTTGCTAAATGACACCCCAGCACCTTTTCCTCTGGCTTACACTACATCCATCGTCGTCAACCGCGTCTGCGTCCGCCCCAGCAGCCAGAAGCAGCTCGCAGAGGCGCGCGTTGCCGTACCGGTGAGCGAGGTGTAGAGCGGTCCAGCCATGGAAGCCTCGCGCATTAACATCCGCGCCTACCGCCACGAGGTCCTCTGCGACGGCCATGTGGCCGTACCGCGCCGCCAAAAGTAGCGGCGTCCACCCATGCGTGTTCCGGGCATCAACGCCTGCCCCCCCGGGGCACAGCAGGACCTGCACTGATGGCAGGTGGCCGGTGCGCGCAGCTATATGAAGGGCCGTCTCGCCCGCGTCGTCCGTCTTCCAGCGCGGCGCTCCCATTTCCAGAAGGGCCTTGGTGGCTGGGTGAAGTTGGAGCTGTACTGTGCGTTGGAGATACGGCCGGGCTGTGTCGCGGGCCTGCATCTCTCGTACCGCGCGCCGTTGGACATGCGTTGTGCACGGAATCTGGAACCGGCGGCAAGTCCTTCCGAGCTGGATTAGACTCTGCATGTCCAGGTTCTGTGTCCTGCCTCAGCAACGGTTCCGTGGAATAGGGGAGTCGGGTGATGATGGCCGGGGTGTGTTTTACCTCGAGAATGAGATATATCAGCTCAGTTGGTAACGCCGAGATATGGGACATGGCTCAGGTTTTCAGGTCAAGGGGCAGCCTCTGACCTGCGAATTATGGCCGCCAATGCTTAACAACACACGCTACGATTTGTGCTTGTTGCTGCTGGATCCCGCTGGCGGGCTTGTTCGTCGCGGGATCGAGGAGATGATATGGAAGATAGCGAGCATACCATAGCCATGGCACCCAGTTAATAATGGCAACTACGGAAGATGCGACGTGTTCATGCGGAAGCTGAAGCGGAATATCATCGACGGCCGGCCATGATAGGGCGGTACATGTCGGTTGTCATCCCGTAGGGCGTAGTACCTCCAGTCCATATACTGTGATGATTATTAATACCACCTACATGTAATCTGGGCTGACGTGCAGCAACATCCAGCTTTTCCAACCTGCTAGCAGCCGGGGGCAACTGAGAGGCCATCGACCTTGTGACTTATTTGAAGAATGGTTGACATAACAGCAATAATGATGTCCATGGTGGTGAGAATGCTCCCCCTGCCTGTGCATTGATGAAAATACTATGTAGTAAAAGGGGTTTGTTCTCAACACGGTAACACCAACCTTGCAAGAGGCTCTATCATTAGTTGCAACCGCGTCCCCCGTTTATTGAATTGCGGGCGTACTGGGTTCAGGCGAACTGGGCTCAGACCTGCTCCGCCGAGGCAAACAGATCCCGTTACTTTCTCAGCTTCTCTCTCACGGTTTCACCACAACAATGTCTCTCCCATATCACCCACAGGTTACAGCCGTAGACCTCGCGGTCCCCCTACGCGGGGGCAACTTAACGGACAATGAAACGAGTAAAACTGCAAAGGCTCGGCCGAAGACGGCAAGGCATGCGAAGGGGTCAACGAGAATCCTAAATGAGTGGTTCGTATTGCACTCCACCTATCCATATCCGACCGAAGAGGAAAAACAGATTTTGGCTGCAAGAACAGGCTTGACAACCCGTCAAGTATCTTTCTGGTTTGTCAACGCTCGTCGCCGAAAGACCACTTGGGGGCCACAATGCGCGTCAAGCGCCTCGGACGCCCCGCTGTCGCTGCCAACCTTCGACAGACTACCTGACAGTGGCTGGGAGGGCATGGCGCCGATGGACCGTTGGCGTCACACCCCACCCGACCAAGAAGGTGCCTCTCTAAGCGCCATCGCGGAAGCAGCGGAACGTAACCCCCACGCCAGCTCCGCGCCCACGCTCGGCTACTACGGGTTCGACACAGGCGAAATGCTTTCAGAGGCTCACTGGTCGATCTCTTCGTTTGGATCGCACCACGCTGCGATACCGGGCTCGGGAAGTGACTCATCAGTCCTGTCCCATAGCTCCGGATCCGCCACCAGCGTCCGTAGCACCCACTCTCGACGTCGACGTCGGCGGCGCCAACGCTCTCCCGTAAGGGCGTCTTCTGGGAAAAGTGCGAGCCGTCTGTACCAGTGTACCTTCTGCACGGACACGTTCAAGACCCGATACGACTGGACCAGACACGAGAGCACACTCCACCTTGCGTTGGAGAAGTGGACGTGTATCCCATCGGGTCCAACATACTACGATCGCGCCCTGTTACGGCCGCGATGTGCACTGTGCGACGTCCTGGACCCCTCCGATTCCCACCTCCGGTCGCATGGGTCTTTAGAATGCGCGTCGAAGCCTCACCCTGACAGGACCTTCTACCGCAAGGACCACTTTCGGCAGCACCTACGCGTGTGTCATGGAGTCGACGATATTCTACCTTCCATGAAAAATTGGAAGTCCCACATCTCACAGATTAAGTCGCGATGTGGTTTCTGCGGGGAATCTTTCCAGCTCTGGTCCGCCCGCAACGACCACCTGGCTGAACACTTCCGCTTGGGGGCCCGGATGAAAAGCTGGAAGGGCTGCCGTGGCTTGGAACCTGCTGTGGCATTGCTGGTGGAAAACGCGATACCCCCTTATCTGATCGGAATTGAGTCCAACGACCTTCAGCCCTTTAGCGCCTCGAGAATGGCCATGAAGGGCAGCAGCACCGGCGTGGCGAGCGGACAAGTTTCCGGGACCATGTTCGAGATATTGACCGCACGCCTAGGGGACTATGTTAGAGCAGAGAGAGAGCGCGGCACGGTTATCACAGACGACCTTTTGCGAAAAGAGGCTCGCCTTATTCTCTTCGGAGACGATGACCCATGGAATCAGACCCCGGCTGATAATGCGGAGTGGCTGGCATTGTTCAAAGAGGGATACAGCCTCGCTCCCACTCTCGCATCATGTGGGGATGTGACGGCTGGTGTGTCTCTCGCCCAGCAGCAATGTTGGTTTGGTCCCCCGGTGTGTGATACGAACCCGTCGCCCTTCACCCTAGAGAAGATGCGGCAAGCGACGGTTTCCAGCTCGAGCTTCGGTCCTCCTGAGATCTGCGGCGTGTTGTTATACAACCAGATGATTCACCAGCAGGAAGATGCCTCTCTAGCCGTCCCCTGGTCCTGGCAGACACCCGAATGCTTGGCCGAGTTCAGCCAGATGTGTGAGACCAATCAGGCAGTTATGGCAGCGGACCCGACGAATGATCTCAATTTTGACATGGTCTTTGGGGAGTTTAATGATCTTGAGCAGGACGAACAAATACCGAACATTGGGCTTGAAGCCCCGGGCGTCAACGATTGTATTGGGGCAGCTGGGAAATTGATGGATACATGTACCTAGTTACTTTAGTTGTGCATACAGTGGGAGTCCAAAGGTCTAGCCCAAGCCGTACTTCCAGGTACCTTAGCCACTCTTTTTAAAAGGCTCATCTTCCATTCAAAGGGATCGATTCCTTCTCAAAATATATTTCTCGGCCTATGGATGGCGCAGTCACATGTTGTATTTCTCCGTGCTTTTCTTACCCAGACACTAGATGCACCTAGTTTCTGAAAGCTCGCAATCTCAAGTTAGTTTACAAATTCTTTGCCTCTTAACGTTACAAGGGGGAATCAGGGGCCTGGAGTGTATGATGGAGGCGGTTTTGAGAGACGAACATGGTCGGGGAAGGGAAGTTTGCCCGGGCGTAGCTGGAGCATGGAAGCTAAATAAACAGAGAGAGATTGAGGATGAGGTTCGGAGAAAGAATGAACCGAGAAATCATCTCAGATTTATGTTGTTCTGCTCATTCTGTAAACTCATTAGTTGATTAAGAGATCTCTTTAATAAACTCATTAATTAAGAGATCTCTTAATTAAAGATGAAGTGATCAACGTAACCGGTAGTCGTTGGGGTCGTCGCGTCAGTCAGCAGTAGCAGAGCGTTCAAGAGTGGGGAAAAGGGAGCAAAAAGGCAAAAAAGTAAAAAGAATATCTGAATGCGCCAAACACAACTCGAACTCTGGTGGGTAGGTGGCTGAGTGAGGAGAGCTCCTCGCGAGGGATTAGTTTGTATCAGGTACCTTAGATTTAACCGCACGCAACAACCACCCACCACTGCGCCATCCACTTGGAATTTGTTTTGATTTTGGTCTCTGAGAACAGAACCTATAACCCCACGGCGCCCATGTGACGCTCTATGGCGCACCAAACAAAAATGACTTTCATCCGATGCCAGGCACTGCCATCAAGATCATGTCGGCCTTTCCTTTTCCCTTTTGGCTGCCCTTGGCCAAACTGTGTGCCCATTAATTAACCTGCTGTTGCAAAATTCCAGCCTGATGTTCCCCGCGCAACCTTCTCACTTGAAGTTTTTGTTCTGGTCAACGCGATCTCAAAAGTTGCAACCCGCAACCCCATCGAAGAACGTAATACAAAAGAGTCCCGATACATCACTTTTTCAGGTGTCTCTCTTTTCACCTATTCTCTTTGTAATTTTTGGGCTCTTGTCATTGCAAAGAAGTGACACGTACATTACTAACATGTTGCCATGCAACCATCTTCGAATCATTGACCCCGCCCTCCTACCAGCGCAACATCAGGACAATTTGGACTCACTTGCATCATGTCGAAACGCCAATCGTTTAAGAGGATGCTCTCCAGGCTTTCGGGGCTTAGAATCGACGTGGATGAGCTTTTTTTAACGGATCAAGATCGAGTTCTCGTCGTATCTCGTATCGTCCACATGCACCCTTCTGACGGCCCAGGTCAGAGCCTGGACCAGGAAATGCTACACGACGCGGTGCTCAAGGAGACTTGCCACGTCGAGCGGGATGGCATGTGGGCTAGGTCTCGCATGGAGCCTCGTTTTTGGGAGCGCGTCCGAACCAGCACTCCCTGGGCTCGCGATCTGGACTTTCAAACCATCCGCACCTTGGCCCTCGGGCTAACCCAGGCCGCCTGGGCACATTTTAAGAACCCCAAGTTTGATCGTAAGGGCAAGCGTCGGCCTTGCTGTAAGCTCGCCGTGGCGTCGCTCCGATTTTCCAGCGACATTGGGACGTACGAGGACCACCTCAACCAGGAGAGGCCCGTGGCCCTGGTTCTTTGAGAGGCTGGCCCGTGTCTAAGACGGCCGGGAGTAACGTCGATACGTGAGAGAGGGACCGAAGCTACGGAAGCAGGAGGGAATGGTGGCCAGAGTTAAGTGTAAAATAGCGGAAGACCCATAGACGTATTGTACCGAGCTCGGCGTGATTTTCCGTCCCTTCGAGAAGTTGAAGGTTGTATAGGCACCTATGTTTGGGGAGTTGGTAGTCTGGGGAAGATCGACGTCGGGTTAAGTCTTTTGCCAAGGCCGGGTGCCGTGGCGCCTCGCCTGGGCAGGCTAGGAGCGACGGCGGTGGGGTCTACACCGAGAAGGGTTGCAGCCTCCCAGGTTGGCCGTTCTCGTTTCTTTCCCTCACGCCATGTTTGTATTGTATTTTGAGAGGGGAAACTTGGGTGTCGGATGACTGTACTTAGTGTTGACGAATTCTTATCCCGACCCATTTTCCCAGCCAGATCCTTGCTGCTGTCATGAAAACTCGAGACTTTCTCCCCGCACTCAGCCCACATGGCGCAACGCAGGAGCCCTGACACAATGACCGAGCCAGCAAATGTGCGACTAACCGCACGACGAACACTGCAAATCTATGTTCAATTTGGGGCTGATAAGACCCTGCATCACCAGGCGCGAGTTGAACTTCCCCGAATTTCTCAAGTGGAGTGAGCCCCAGGTCACCAGATGGTTCAATTTTCTCACCGGACGCCCAATTTGGCTTTGCTCGGTGTACCCCAGGCCTCGTCCACGCAATCTGGAAGGCTTGCCAGCTCTGCGCCCCGCGTCGCCGTCGCTGAGTGATGCTCAGGCGTGCCAGGTTCCATTGCGGTCGTGAGCACCTTCCTCATCCGCTGCCCCGCCTTGCCTTAGCGCGCCTTGGCTTCCCCACACAGCTCGGCGAGATCCCCGCGAGTCGCCAGAAGTGCCGTGTTTTGGTGAGCCAAGTGAGCCCAGAAGGCCCTGATCTCACAACGCCTCTGCCAGGGAGGATCTGCGTTTCCATTCCGACCTGATTCTAATTTCCAGCCAAGCGGAGCCAAGAACAGTCCGTCACAGCCACCGAAGCTTGTCGAGGCTTGTCTGTCCACACGCCAAGAATTGCACCATTTGGGGATGCGCCGGGGTCGTTGCTCTTTGAGACACCGAGGGATGCGAGCGGTGCAGCTCTCTCTCCACCTGCACCGATGTGCGACCTTCCGAATTACCATGTGTGTATGTGCAGCACCGCAGGTAGCCCGAAGGCAGGCAGGGCTTCCAGAAGACTCGCACCCTGACACCCTCCCGCTCCCACCCGGTGGTGGCCGGTGCCCTCGCACAATCCAGCCTTGAATGAGACCCATGTTCCTCGGCTCCCTCCCATGCTCCTGTTATCGATGACGCCTGCGAAAACAGACTAGGACCGGGGGTGGAATGCGACCTTGATGAGCCGGAGCAGTGCCATGCAGGTTGCACGTTATCAGATGTCACTGGGGCTCCCGAATGCTGTTGGTCGTCCCCAGCATTGGCCCAGCCAACTGTGCCTTTCCAAACCATCCCATCCTGGCCACCGCGTTGTTGTTCCACCGGCTTGTTCCACTTTGGCAGACCGAACAGGCACCCGACGATAGCCTTCTCTCTTCCTGTGCGCGCCTGCATCTCACATATTAATAATCCCCGATCCCGCCCCCCACAATCTTCCCTTCATTCTCCTACCAGGTCCTCTCCCCTTCAGCGTGTCGGCTTTCGGTTCCTTTACAGCAGTCGGCTTGACCCAGGATTCCTTGCGTTCCCTCCGGCAGAGCGTGACCGTGGGCGGTTCGCGCGACACGACGAGCGCATCATGGCGATATTTTCTAGGAAGCGCAGTGATGAGCAGGGCGAGAAGACAGCAGCACCTGTGCAAGATGTGTCGCAAGGGGACCAAAGCAGCGGCGAGGAGGGCACCGTCGAGGAAGGGGCCGAGGATGACCTGCACCGTGGAATGAAGGCTCGGCAACTAAGTACGTGATCACCTGCGTCGCAGGAGAACTGACAGATACCCCAGGCTGACACCAGGTAGACATGATGGCTATTGCGGGCGCCATTGGAACTGGTAAGCGTCGCCAAACGCCGCAGGCGCACCCCGAGATGCGACTTACAGCCGCTAACGCATTGCGCCCAGGTCTTGTTATTGGCACTGGCACATCATTAAAGTTCGGTCCCGGATCCCTCCTCATCGGATACGCCTTCATGGGCTTCGTCGTCTATGTGGTCATGGTCGCGCTTGGAGAGATGGGCGCCTGGTTGCCAATGAAAAAGAGTTTCTCCGGATATGCATCACGCTTCGTCGACCCGGCCATGGGCTTCGCCACGGGTTGGAACTACTTCTTCAAATACGTCATCGTACTACCGAACAATTTGACCGCGACGGGAATCTTACTGCAGAAATGGCGACCAGATATAAACGTGTCGGTTTGGATTGTCGTTTTTGGCATCTGCATCATCCTCCTCAATGTATGGACACCCCGCTTCCTTATATCATTGGATCCTCCAGGCACTGACTCTCAGACAGATGATTCACGTCTCCTTCTTTGGTGAAGCCGAGTTCTGGATGTCGCTGGTCAAAGCCCTCGTCATCCTGATGCTAATCCTACTGTGCTTCATCATCGCGCTCGGCGGCGGCCCCAGCCACGTCCGCACCGGTTTCTACTTCTGGCAGAACCCAGGCGCCTTTGCCCCGTACACAGCGACAGTGGCTGGCCAGACGACCGTCATCGGCGGTGACACCGGCCGCTTCCTCGGCGTTTGGGCGTGCATGGTGCAGGCTACGTTTGCCTACCTCGGCACTGAGCTGGTCGGTGTGGCCTTCGGCGAGACCCCCAACCCCCGCAAGAACGTCCCGCGCGCCGTCAACCAGACACTCCTGCGGATCGTCTTCTTCTACGTCGCCGGCGTGCTGGTCCTCGGCATGGCCGTGCCCTACAACAGCCCGATCCTGCTCGACGCCACCAAGAAGGGCACCAGTGGATGTACGTTTCCTTCCGCTCCCCCCTCCTCCTCCTTCCTCCTAAACCCCATTTCCCCCGCCTCTACCCAGCCAAGCAATACTAACCGTTGCCCTCACCCGCAACAGTGGCATCCCCCTTCGTCGTAGCCGCACAAATCGCGGGCGTCAGCAAGCTGGACGACGCCGTCAACGGCCTGCTGCTCATCTTCACCATCAGCGCGGCCAACTCGGACATCTACCTGGCGTCGCGCACCGTGTGGGCGCTGGCCAAGGACGGCCAGGCGCCGCACCTGATGCAGCGCACCAACAAGCGCGGCGTGCCCATCCCCGCCGTTGCCCTCTCGTCCATCTTCATCGCGCTCGGCTTCATGAACGCCACCAAGTCGGCCGCCACCGTGTTTGGGTACTTTGTGTCGCTGGTGACCGTCTTTGGCGCGCTCAACTGGGTCGCCGTGCTGGTCAGCTACCTGGCTATGATCAATGCCATGAAGGCGCAGGGCGTCCCGCGTTCGGTTATGCCCTATAGGAATATCCTGCTGCCGTGGGGCGCGTATATTGCGTTGCCCATCACCATGCTGGTTATTATTTTCAGCGGGTACTCGGCGTTTATCCCGCACTTTCAGGTCGACAAGTTCTTGACGGCGTATATTGGCATTCCGGTGTATGTGATTAATATCTTTTGGTGGAAGTTCTTCAAGAAGACAAAGCGGGTCCAGCCCATGGACGTGGATTTGGTGACGGGACGTCGTTCTTAAGATGGGTACGAGGCACGAAGTTATGTCCATACATAGGTAGAGACAGAACCTGGTTAGCGTGGTGTTTGGCGCACCGGGGCCCCCCGGAGAGAGGCAAGCGATGGCTTTCAGAAATGCATTAGTCTCGAGAGCGTGACCGGGAAATGCGAGCCATGATTGCCGCAGGACAGCAACGTCGTTGCATATTGCATTCTTGTGTGCATGGGGGTTTGCGAATTTGGGACGTCAAATGAAGCCTCCGTCGTCATCCTCCCCATTCGGCCCGCTTAGCTGGGTTCCAAGATCTGCTCGTCCGCGCTCCCGTTGCGTGGATAAATGGAGGGCGCGGGTGGGACCGAAGCTGGGCATGGAGAAGGCTTCCGAGACGATCGGACCCGACTGGGGAAACCAGCGCCGCACTTCCCGGCCGCAATGGCGCGTGGCGGACCCAGTTTTGATTCACATAAACAGCTGCCAGCCAACGACATCCTGGCCTGAGCCGCCTTTTCGTCGATCGTTCCTCAACTGCGCCCAGTGCGGGAACGAGGGGGGTTGTGGGGTACTTTGATACACGGGCCGTTCTACCTGTCGATCCAATATCGACAAGCAAGCGCAGGCTGACAGTTCCAAGTCTGTAAATGATGGAGGCATTTTGGGAATGGGTTCAACGGGACGTTTGGTACCGAGATCTGGGGGGATCGATTCCGGGGAACCATGGCCTTCTGTGAGGTATATTTAGGGAGCCTCTGTCGCTCATATCCTAGGTTGGAGGAAGATCACCTCAAGCCACACGTTCCCCCTCTTCTGCCTGCACTCACCCAGCTCGACTCGCAAGTTGCCCAAGATGAAGACCACCAGCACCGCTCTTCTCGCGACTGGCCTCCTGGCCCAGTACGCTGCCGCTCACTCCATCTTCCAACAGTCGGGCAGCGCCGGGGTCGACTTCGACACAAAATGCACCCGCATGCCGGTGGGTGTTCCTCTTACCAAGCCACGCGTGGTCCGATGACTAACTTGGAATCGCAGCCCAACAACTCGCCAGTCACGAGCGTGACGAGCGCTGACATCGTTTGCAACGTTGGCGGCACCTCTGGCATCTCCGAGGTCTGCGAAGTGAACGGTACGTGCTGGGCCCCCCATCCACTGTCCCTCCCGCTGTCGGCTGACATATCTCTTCTTGTAGCTGGCGATGACTTCACCGTCGAGATGCACGCGCAGATGAACGACCGGTCCTGCAGCAACGAGGCCATCGGCGGGAACCACTTCGGCCCCGTCATGGTGTACATGAGCAAGGTGGACGACGCCACCTCGGCCAACGGCGGCGGTGACTGGTTCAAGGTCGACGAGTACGGCTACGACGCCAGCGCCAAGACCTGGGGCACCGACCTCCTCAACTCGAACTGCGGCAAGCGCACCTTCAAGCTCCCCAGCAAGATCCCCGCCGGCGACTACCTCGTCCGCGCCGAGGCGATCGCCCTCCACGCTGCCGGCCAGAGCGGCGGTGCGCAGTTCTACATGAGCTGCTACGTAAGCTTCTACCCTCTCGGCGAGATTCGGGGGCATGTCATACTGACCATGGTTTCAACTGCAGCAAATCAAGGTCGCTGGTGGCGACGGTGGCCAGCTCCCGGCGGGTGTCAAGTTCCCTGGTGCGTACAGCGCCTCGGACCCCGGCATCCTCATCGACATCTACAGCGGCGACCTGAGCAACTACAAGATCCCCGGCCCGGCCGTCATCGACTCGAGCTACTTCTAGATTGGTGTGGCTATTGGACGGTGAGAAGGAGGGGTGGGGTTGGGTGTTTGGCTTAATGTAGGCAATGCCAGCTGTGCACACAATACCAACGATACCATATGGCCTCACTAATGCCCTCCTTGCCTCCCTCGTACCTCTTGACCATTCTCCTTTTTTCGCCTTGGTGCCCCGTGCTGACCCCTGAGCCCCTGAGCCAAACAACCCTAACCCAGAGAATGATGTCATGGGACACAACAACCCCTGGCCTGAACTCGTGGTGTGCCTGGGAGATTCCTTCCAGCGTCTGATCTGGTATTCTTTCCCATGAAACATCGTCAACACATTTTCTCGTGCCTGTTCTGTTTGCTTTTTGTAGGAATACCTAAATCTGGGCCGCATTCTTTCGAAATCGCAGCTACACTTTTACTCACTCACCTCACTCACTCACCTCACACATGCGGGGTCTCCACTCTCTCCGCCCCGCCTGGAGATTTGCAACTCCTGCAAGCACTCACCTAAATCACTACTGCCCCTCATTCCTACGTTCACTTTCATCAGCCGACCAGCTCAACCCCACCCGCTCCGTCAACAACAACCACAAACTAAACAAGCCAGACGCAACACCAAGCCAACTATCACGGCCACCGCCAATTAGCCACCACCACCCCTCACAACCCCCCCACCCCACCAAAACTAAGCCCAACCCCAAACCCAACCCCAAACCCAAAATGTCCCAACCCCAACAACAAACCCCCACCATCACCTCCATCACCGACCTCCCCACCACCGACGCAAAATGGATCACCCTCCAACGCATCGCCTACGTCGACCAAACCGGCCAGCCACGCACCTGGGAATGCGCGGCGCGCAAGACCCGCGCGCGCTCCGCCGGCGTCGACGCCGTGGCCATGGGCAACGTGCTGCTGCACCCGTCGCGCCCGCCCTCCACCTTGCTCGTCATCCAGTACCGCCCGCCGCTGGACGCCTTCACGGTGGAATGGCCGGCGGGGCTGGTCGACGAGGGCGAGACGGCGGAGCAAGCGGCGGTGAGGGAGTTTAAGGAGGAGACCGGGTATGAGTGCGCCGTGGTGGGGGTCAGTCCCGTGCAGGCGGCGGATCCGGGATTGAGTAGTGCGAATATGAAGATGGTGATGGTGGAGGTGAGGTTGGGGGAGGGGGAGGAATTGCCTGAACAGAGGTTGGAGGATGGGGAGCATATTCAGAGGGTGGTGGTGCCCGTTGGGGGAGTTGTATGATAGGTTGGTCGAGTATAGTCGGCAGGAGATGGATGGTGGTGGCTCGCGAAGCTGTTTCATTTCGCGGCGGGCATGCAGTTTGCGAAGACGAATGGCGCGGGAGTATGGGCTGTGATGGATGTGACGGAGGGGGGCGGGTTGCAGGGTGGGTTGGATTGGGCTCTGGAACTAGCTGTCCCGAGTCAAGGCGCGAAGCCCTCTAAATTGCCTACTTTGGCCAAACGGCAACTTTGGAGGGCTTGGGGGGGTGGCCGGCTTCTTCGAGCGCGAGCCATGACCGGTAATTATTTTGGCCACTCCACGGCCTGATTTCTGTCGGTTTTCACACATCACGGAGATGAAACCCTTGGTGGGGTATGGTTCTGGACTCGGGAAGCCGACATGTCATGATCTGAACGCGCGGCAAAGAGCATAGACATTACACAGGCAGGAGAAGAAGACACCCATCACGAGCAAAATGCGCTGATCCCTTCGATGGTTTCGGGAACGGTACACTACAGAATGTGCACGCTCCAGTCGAGGTTGCAGGACATCGCGATTCGGCAAAAGCCAAGCATGTTTCAGCTTGCGAGTCCTGCGCCGAACGAAGCGGTGTGGAACCGGAGGCGGTTCAACGGTAAAGAATCGGCATGACAATCCCATGGATTGAAATGAGGGCCTTCATGCTATTATTAGCACAGATATTGGTGCAAACCCAACTGATGAAAGCGCTGCGAATGTCAACGAGTCGCTGCTGCTGCTACTGTAAATAAATAATCGCATTTCTGCAAAGGGAAGGGTTCGTCCCTTTTTGTGGAAAGCCACAAAATCGTCAACAAAAGGAGACGCATGCAGAGTTGTCAGGCGGGGCCTGCAAACCCGCCAAGTCTGCCCCACCCGCGTGCACGGTTGCCAGGGCGCCAATCGTTAGCGCATGCGACGACCAGGTGAGCCCAAGGAGGTGTGACAACGGAATGCCAAGCACAACACCCTTCGCTCGAAGGGGATCCTCCTTCCTCTGACATCGACAACCCGGCATTCGACTTCGACGACGACAACCGCGCAACCGGTAGGTAAGAGTGTCGCGCGCAGCGACCACACGACGACAACCATCGGCGGAATTGCAGCCCGCCATTTACGCACGCCCGGATACCGAAATCTCGACGACGACGCCCCTGTCGGGTATGTTGTGTGTGTCGGTCGCACCAAAAGGCGGAGGTTGTTGACCCAGCTCTCGCCAGAATCGCAGTGCTGCGAGCGATATACGGCCACGGCCTCCCCACAAACAACACCCTTTCCGCCAGGGGAGAAGACTTAGGATCCGAATCGCTTAACGATAACGATAGTTAGACGAATTTCCTTTTGTTTGGTTGCGATTTTGCGACAGCCAATTACACCAACTTGCAACGCTCTTTTTCACCAATTTTCCTTACGTCGATTTCACACATGCGAAACCGCGCAGCGCACCGCTCCGCAGCGTAAAACAGCCAAATGTCCGAGCCGCCGTCGTCACCCCCTAGGGCAGGAACCAGCGTGGAGGATGCCTTGGCGTGGTACAAGGCGCAATACGAGGTGCTGGAGGCGGAGCTGTCGGAATTCCAAGCCTCCAGCAAGGAACTAGAAGCCGAGCTTGAGAAGGATCTAGATGCGGCCGACAAGCGCGAGCGGTCGTTGCGGCAGAAGGCCGAGGGCCTGAGTTTCGAGGTGGAGGAGTGGAAGGTTGGCCTTTTCCCGCACTGCGTTTTGGAAGATCGCCGGTCGTGAGGCCATCTCGCTAACACATCCCTGCAGCGCAAATACAAGGAGTCCAAGACAGAAGCCAACGGAGCCCAAAACACCCTCGAGAAGGAGATTACGACCCTCCGCGACACCAACAGGACGCTTCAGCTAAGGCTCCGCGACATCGAAGTGGCCAACGATGATTTCGAACGCCAGGCGCGGACTACCACCTCGTCCCTGGAAGATCTCGAATCCAAGTACAATGTCTCGATCGAAAGGGGCGTGATGCTAGAGGAGGAAATCAAGATCGGGGAGCAGGAGCGAGAACAACTACGGGTCGAGACACAACGACTGCGAGAAGAACTCGCCGACCTAAAGATCGAAGCCGAGATCCTGCAGGACAAGATCAAGAAGCAGGAGTCTAGGCACCTCTCGAGCATCTCAACCGACATCTCCTCGATTCCCGGGTCACCATCATTCTGCAACTCCCCGCACTCGACCGCGAGCTCTCCGATGATTATGACACCGCCGGATCTTAAATCGCTCTCTGCGGCGGACACCACTTCAGAACTCCGAGGTCCACCTTCGCCCCCCATGTCGGATGTCTCCCTGCCCTTACCCAAGGTGGGCGGGCTGAAGACTCCCGCTCAAAGGCGGAGCCGCCTCCCCTCGGCGGCCGAGAGCAGCATCACGCCGAAACCGAAGACATTTACGGCGTCCACGTCCTCGACCCGCTCAACACGCGCGGTGACCACATCCACTGCGATGCGAACACCGGCCCACCGATCGTCCGCTGCCGCGCGCGCCTCCTCTCGCGCCGTCCAGGGCTCTAACTCTCTCACTCATATTCGCACCCTCACCGCTCAGATGCAACGGCTCGAAGCCCGCGTGCAATCTGCGCGCTCCAAGCTGCCAGCAGCGCCACCTATCGACTCGCCACCGCGTAGATCCCCGCAAGGCCCGGCAATGCCATCGAGCATCACAATCCGCAGCCGCAAGCGCACCGGCGGGTCTACCGCCTCCTCCAGCGCCGCCAGCTTCGCCTCCGAAACACCGTCCCACTCCCGCCACGCCCCATCCGAGTCCCACAGCAGCCTCTCCTCCAGCACCAACAAGCACGTCCCCCGGCTTAGCACGTCGGGCGTCTCGCGCCTATCCTTCGGCCCACTCCCCAACCGCAACCCCACCAACACCAACAACGAACCCGACTTCCCCCGACCCAGTAGCCGAGCTAGCCTCTCGAACTATGCCCGCCCGGCAAGCCGCAACGACTCCCACCACCACTCCAGCAACAGCCACAGCAGCAACATTCTACCTCCCCGACCCATGAGCCGCGCCGGCCTTTCCAACAACCGCACCCCGCTCGCCGCCACCGGCGGGCCCGGCCGGCCGCGCAGCAGCCTCGGCATGCACCACGGCCGTAGCGGTAGTATGAGCTACGCCAGCAGCATGGCAACGGCGCCGACGGCCGAGGAGGCGGACGAGTCCTTTGACGCCGGCGATACTAGCATTGTCAGCGTGGGCAGTGTTAGCCCCAAGAAGCTGCGCACGCCGAGCCGCCGTGGAACGTTTAGTCGGCGCGGGGAGGCGGATGGCGGGTCGGGGGCGCACACGGGAATTCCGTTACCCGGGTCAAGGCGGTTGAGTGGAGGGTCGGCGTCGCTGTCGGGGTCGGTGCGGCGGACGAGTGGTGGGACCGGGGCGGGGTCGAGGGTGTTGGAGGATTTGGGGGAGACTTGGTGATGGGGATGGGGGACTTACTTATTGGTTATGGATGATGGGTTGGCTGGCGAGGGGGTTAATGAGGAGGGGGGTTTGTGACGGAGGAGCGTTGTCTAGGAAGCCAAGGAAGGTGGTCTAGCGCCGGAGGGAGTGGTTTATTGCCAGATTGGGAGGAAGGCTGTTTTCCGAGGTGTGCTTGTTCGCTCTCGCATGTTGGGGCGGTACGCGCGAGAGGGCTAGGTAGGTGGGGTTGGCTTGACGCAGTTGGTTTTTAGCCTCTCTCTCTGTTTGTTGATGCGGATACCTTGCTTGCGTGGCTTGGCTTTGGTGGTTCGAGGGTCTGGTTGGGTTTTGGGTTTGGGCCGGGCTGGGTTTGGGTTGGCCGGCCGGAGGTGTTGGTGCGGAATACCTTATACACTTTGACTTAATTTCCTTTGTAGTTTTGGTTCCATTCTTTTTTCCCTCTTCTTCTTACCTCTCCGAGTTTGGTTTTTTGAACACGCCCCACCGTTCTATCAATCTTGCGAGACTGGTTTTGCTTGTATCGTGATGCGGATTTTCTTGTTTGGTTTTACGCATAGCGTCCGGGTCGAGCATTTTCGCAATAATTCTCATACAGTCAACATTCCCCCAGCTTCGCACGATGGTGACCGCCCGATAATTTCCATACCACCGGTCTTCAAGCTCCGAGCGACGGTGACTCCCTGAGTCATTCCTGCACATATTCTGTGCATTATTTTACAGAAGCCATACCCATGCTCCTATTTATGTATGCACATGCATCGCATACACATGTTTCTGTCTGTATGACAACCGGGGACTCGACGTGCAGCCCTTGTCATGCTCGTCATGCCCGCCCTGTCCCTGCAGGACCCCGACAGGAACCCGAACAAGCTTAATCCGACATCGACTGCTGTCTCGGGGCACGCACTGTATTCGTACATGGACGCTGGAACGGTCTGGCGTGCTGGCGTAGGGCTGAAAGGGGTGAAGATGAGTGGCTGCATTGGGGGGAGGGGGGTTCACTGCCCTCGCATGTCAGGTGGGTTATCGTACGATTTTGATGTCAGACCACAGACCACCATGGTGGGGAACCGTTTGGCTGGGTCGCCCGGTCCGCTTGGCTGCTCGGGCTGCGGGTGTGATTCTGGGGAACAGCACCCGGCTGAGATCGATCTACACTAACTTTGTATGTATGTGTTGGTCATGTTTCCCTGTTGCCGCGTTGTTTCGATGACGAGATGTTGTTTGGCATTGCCCCGGTCCGATCGTGGATTACTCAAACAACCTCAACCCCGATCACGGCGTGTTTATCATCGCCGGCGGGGCCCTTCGATAACATCTTATCTTGGGATTACAATACATAGAGTACTTTGTAACTCTGCCCCAATGCTTACCTTGCATATTGGCTTCCATTTTCCGGAATCATGTCGACTTCGGAACTGGTGTAGCTATCTCGGTACATTCGCTACGGCCCGGCCCGAGATGGCAGAAAGTGCCCCAGCTGCACGTCGTCGCCGATGAGAAAAGAGATGGTATGGGAAACCGTGATGCATCATCACGCCCCGCGATCGACCGCAGAGCTGGCCCGCGATGACTTCCAGAGCAACACAAGCAATCTTGGTGAGTTTGGTGGTTTGACACCTTCCATGGCACACCGGAGCCCGCGGAGTCAAGACCGGAGTAATGCTTACACAACACAGTACGAAGTAAACGGGCGGGAGTAAGCGACCCCAACCCTCAAGCAAGTAATTTCATCATTGCCGTCCCCATTTGGCCGATATTGAGGCCAGTCCCGCGTTGACATCGTCGGATAATGCGACCAACAAGTCTCATTCTGGCAAGCGCCCCGAAGGCCAACAGAACAAAAAAAAACTCGCCTCCGCTAGTCCGCTTTTCTGAACTCGGCGTTGGTCGGATGAATGTTGGGGATTTGCGGGTCCAGCTCCGGCCCCACGCTGTTTCGACATTTCGTCGATCGGGCTAGCCGGGGTGCCCGGCCCGAAGTGGAAACCTCAACAATTGGGGATCTCTGACAGCTGGCGAGTGCCACCGCTCAACAGCGACCTTCTTTCGAGATGCGCCACACCAAACACCCTGGGCGATTATCAGGGAAGATTCGACAATTCGACAACCCATGAATTGCAAGCCGGGCCCGCAATCAGAGACACATTTTGTGTTGCGCGTTCAGTACTAGCCTACTCTTTCGTCACATTTTGTCCGAACTTCCCCGACTCGCCTGTCTGTGCTCAGATCCACCGGGCTGATCTTTGGCCGCCAGGGGCAGCATGAGCCGCAGGAAATTGGTTGAACGACGCAGAATAAGTTTTGGACCGGATTCCGGTTGTTGAGACTCTGCAGTGCTGTCCCGCTTGTCATGGACCCACCCATCCCCAAGTCCCGGTTGACCTGAACACCACGTAGTTAACCACACGATCGGCTGCTGCAAGTTAGGCGACGACTCTAGACCAGAATTTGAAGCGTGGAAAGGGCGGTAGGAGAGAAATCCAACCATGTTGAACAATAAGGTTGCCATACATAACAACCAGCCACTCTCGGACACCGGATGGCGCTGCCCGACTCCAGTGTTAGGTATCCGGAGGCCTTGGCATCTCCGGTCCGAAAGCTCCAGCAGAGGAGAGCACTGTGAAGGATACCACCGGCTCAGGTGGCAACTCCAAGGGTTGGGTCGGGGTTGACTTGGTGTTGCCTATTGTCATTCCAGGGATGTCGGAGACGAACGAGGAAAGCAATGGGTCAAGTTTTGCGTATCTTGATTCCCCAACCTAAATCCCCGAACGGTTCTTGGGCTGGCCGATTACCGACTGTGTCTGTACAGTTTAGGAACAACTCGACCGAACCCCGAGCCCGGAAGAGCGGGGCCCCCGCACTACAGTACCCGGCTTTGAAGAATTGGAGTTCTGCGAGAAACGAGATAAGTTGCTGGAGGCGGGCAGATGTCCGGCTCTTAAAAAGCACTTCCCCCTCACAGCTACGAAGTATCATGCACGGCCCTGGAACAACGCTCTTTTAAAACATTCGGGGTGAATATCAAGGAATTCCGTGGGGTGGTGTGTTTGGATGTGTTTGGACCGTGCCAGTTTCGGATTCTGCGCACTGTCATTTTTCGGTCCCACCTCCCGTACCCATGCATGCAGAATCCCACCAGAAACTCTCAAGATTGCCATTCATCTAGCCCGCTGCCCCCCTTCCTGCCCAACGCGTGGTTGCCCTCCCACTCCTTCCATTAATTCCCAAAAAACTACTTCCGTGGCAGCCACTGGGCACGAGATCGACTTTCGCTTCTTGTTCTTCGCTTTTTCCGGTGGTCTCCCTGTTATAATCGGCGTTCGAGTCTCCATCCCTTGCTGACTTTGCCCGGGGCCATTTGTCGACGCTGTCCCATGTTATCTTGCCTGGCGAGGAGAGCATCTTTCTTTTAGGAAGCTCGCGCGGCGCATTAAGGTACGGGTTATCCCTAAAATCGCATTGTATGGTCGAGTTTGGAAATGCTGACGGCAGGACGTGGGGGTACCAACAGCTTTGCATTCAGCTATCCTACTATCCTCGAAATAAATCTTTCTCGGAGCCCACGGTACATTCTGGGAAACTTCCCGACTTCCGAACCCCCCGCCTATTCCGAGTCTTACACCCACCCTCGCGGTTTTCACAAAGCGGTAGAACTCGGCCGCACGTTCACCTCTCGCTCACAATCTTGACGATTTATACCGAGAGTAACAATGGCGGAACCCAACGGCCATGCTAACGGTCCCAATGGCGCGGCCTATGCCAAGTCGCATAACCTCCCTTCGCACTTCATTGGTGGCAACAAGTTGGAGAATGCTCCCGCTTCCAAGGTGAAGGAGTTCGTGGCCAGCCACGATGGCCACACGGTCATTACAAATGTGAGTGTGTCCAACAACCTCCAGGCTCGGGGCCCATGATCGGAGTAGCCAGCTGACAGTCATTGTTTCCCTTCAGGTCCTAATTGCCAACAACGGTATCGCCGCCGTCAAGGAGATCCGATCAGTACGGAAATGGGCGTACGAGACATTCGGCGACGAGCGGGCGATCAAGTTCACCGTGATGGCCACGCCCGAAGATCTCCAAGCAAACGCCGACTACATCCGCATGGCAGACCACTATGTGGAGGTTCCCGGTGGCACAAATAACCACAACTACGCCAACGTTGAGCTCATCGTTGACGTGGCAGAGCGCATGGACGTTCATGCGGTCTGGGCAGGATGGTGAGTCCCGCGTGGGTGACAGACGATGGCCGAGATTTGATGCTAACGGATAACCAATTAGGGGCCACGCATCTGAGAACCCAAAGCTTCCCGAGTCTCTCGCAGCGTCACCAAAAAAGATTGTCTTTATCGGCCCCCCTGGCTCGGCAATGCGCTCCCTTGGTGACAAGATTTCATCAACTATTGTCGCCCAACACGCGGACGTGCCTTGCATTCCCTGGTCTGGCACCGGCGTTGACGAGGTCAGCGTTGACGACAAGGGGATCGTCACGGTTCCCGACGATGTCTACCTCAAGGGGTGCGTCAACTCCTGGCAGGAGGGCCTGGCGAAGGCTGAGGAGATTGGCTTCCCCGTCATGGTCAAGGCATCCGAAGGTGGCGGTGGCAAGGGTATCCGGAAGGTGATGGACAAGGAGAACTTCGAGGAGCTGTATAAGGCGGCAGCTAGCGAGATCCCCGGCTCGCCCATCTTCATCATGAAGTTGGCGGATAGTGCCCGGCATCTGGAGGTCCAATTACTTGCCGATCAATACGGCAACAACATCTCGCTCTTCGGCAGAGATTGCTCGGTTCAGCGGAGACATCAAAAGATTATCGAGGAGGCGCCGGTCACGATTGCCAAGCCCACCACCTTTAAGGCCATGGAGGATGCTGCGGTCCGCCTCGGCAGACTCGTCGGCTACGTCTCCGCCGGAACGGTCGAGTACCTCTACTCGCACGCCGACGACAAGTTCTACTTCTTGGAACTCAACCCTCGTCTCCAGGTCGAGCATCCTACGACAGAGATGGTCAGCGGTGTCAACCTGCCTGCCGCCCAGCTTCAGGTCGCCATGGGTCTCCCTCTTCACCGTATCCGGGATATCCGACTCCTGTATGGTGTTGACCCCAAGACGTCGACGGAGATCGATTTCGAGTTCAAGAACCCGGAGAGCGAGAAGTCGCAGAGGCGCCCAACGCCCAAGGGCCACACCACCGCCTGTCGTATCACGTCGGAAGATCCGGGCGAGGGCTTCAAGCCGTCGAACGGTGTGCTCCACGACCTGAACTTCCGCTCGAGTTCCAACGTGTGGGGTTACTTCTCTGTCGGTTCGGCCGGTGGTATCCACAGTTTCTCCGACTCTCAATTCGGGCACATCTTTGCCTACGGTGAGAACCGTGCCGCCTCCCGAAAGCACATGGTCGTCGCTTTGAAGGAGCTCAGTATCCGTGGTGATTTCCGCACTACTGTCGAGTACCTAATCAAGCTCCTCGAGACGGACGCCTTTGAGCAAAACACAATCACAACCGGCTGGCTTGATGAGCTGATCTCCAAGAAGCTCACGGCTGAGAGGCCCGACACCATGCTCGCCATTGTCTGCGGCGCTGTCACGAAGGCTCATATCGCCAGCGAGTCGTGTATTGCCGAGTACCGCGGCGGTCTTGAGAAGGGCCAGGTCCCCGCCAAGGATATTCTCAAGACCGTTTTCCCCGTCGACTTCATCTACGAGGGATTCCGCTACAAGTTTACCGTTACGCGATCCAGCACCGACAGCTACCGCCTCTTCATCAACGGCTCCAAGTGCACCGTCGGCGTGCGTGCCCTAAGCGATGGTGGTCTTCTTGTCCTCCTTAATGGCCGGAGTCACAACGTCTACTGGAAGGAAGAAGTTGCTGCCACGCGCATGTCCGTCGATGGCAAGACATGCCTGCTTGAGCAAGAGAACGACCCCACTCAACTGCGGTCTCCCTCTCCCGGCAAGCTGGTCAAGTACAGTGTCGAAAACGGCGCCCATGTCCGCTCCGGCCAGACCTTTGCCGAGGTCGAAGTCATGAAGATGTACATGCCCCTCATCGCTCAAGAGGACGGTATTGTGCAGCTCATCAAGCAACCCGGCGCCGTCCTCGAGGCCGGTGATATCTTGGGCATCCTCGCGCTCGACGACCCTAGCCGTGTCAAGCAAGCGCAGGCTTTCCTGGGTCAGCTTCCGCAATACGGTAGTCCTGTCGTTGTTGGCAACAAGCCCTCGCAAATCTTCTCGTTGAAGTACAACACGCTCGCCAACATCCTCATGGGCTTCGATAACCAGGTCGTGATGCTTGACACCTTGAAGGAGCTCATTACGGTCCTTCGTGACGACAAGTTGCCATACAGCGAGTTCTCGGCGCAGTTTTCTGCCCTGCATGCTCGCATGCCACAAAAGCTGGACGCCCAGTTCACCCAGGCTTTGGACCGTGCTTTGCAAAGACAGGTCGAGTTCCCCGCGCGGAACCTCATGAAGGTGTTCCAGAAGTGGATTGACGACAACATCCCGGCCAAGGCGGATGCTGAGATGCTCAGGACCACCCTAGCACCCCTCACTAACATTCTCGACCTGTACGCCGACGGACAAAAAGCCCGCGAGCTGAACGTCATCGCCGACCTGTTGTCTCAATACGCAGATGTGGAGCGTCTTTTCTCCGGCCGCCGGTTGCAGGACGAAGAGGTGATTCTGAAGCTCCGAGACCAGAACAAGGACGACATTCAGAAGGTTGTCCAGACCGTCCTCTCTCATAGCAGGATTGCTGCCAAGAACTCTCTTGTGCTCGCCATACTCGACGAATACCGTCCTAACAAACCCAACGTCGGGAATGTCGGCAAGGCTCTCCGACCCGTCCTTCGCAAGCTGGCGGAGCTCGAGTCCCGCCAAACGGCCAAGGTCTCGCTCAAGGCTCGCGAGATCCTCATTCAGTGCGCCCTCCCGTCTCTGGAAGAGAGGACCGCCCAGATGGAGCACATTTTGCGGTCGTCGGTCGTCGAATCTCGCTACGGTGAAACCGGCTGGGACCACCGCGAGCCGAACTTGGAGGTCATCAAAGAGGTCGTCGACTCCAAGTACACCGTCTTTGACGTCTTGACACTCTTCTTTGCCCACGAGGACCCCTGGGTGTCCTTGGCCGCTCTGGAAACCTACGTCCGTCGTGCCTACCGTGCCTACAACCTCAAGAAGATCGAGTATCAGACCGACGAAACCGATACACCTGCCTTCGTGTCCTGGGACTTTGCCCTCCGCAAGATTGGCCAGTCGGAGTTTGGGCTGCCTGTGCAGTCGGCCGCTCCGTCCACCCCTGCGACGCCGATCGACCAGACCTTCTCGAGGATCAGCTCCATCAGCGACATGTCGTATCTGTCCCAGCGGGCACGGGATGAGCCGGTTCGGAAGGGTGTGATCATCCCTTGTAAGTACCTCGACGATGCCGAAGATATGCTCTCGAGGGCTCTCGACACGCTGCCGCTGCTCGGAAACCGCAGGAGGAGCGCAAACCCTCTTACCGCGCTCAACGACAGGCGTCGGCCGGCGCCGCCTCCTCGCCTCGACAGCATGGACGAGCTTTCCGCCGTGGTTAACGTTGCAGTCCGGGACGCCGAGGGCCGTAGCGACGAGGACACACTGAAGGATATCCTGCCTTTGGTTGAGCAATTCAAGGAGGACCTCTTCGCCCGCCGTGTCCGTCGCCTCACATTCATTTGCGGTCGCAACGACGGCTCTTACCCCGCCTACTACACCTTCAGGGGCCCGCACTACATCGAGGACGACAGCATTCGTCACATCGAGCCGTCCCTTGCCTTCCAGCTTGAGCTCGCGCGCCTCTCCAAGTTCAAGATCAAGCCGGTCTTTACCGAGAACAAGAACATCCACGTCTACGAGGGCATCGGCAAAGACGTCGAGACTGACAGGCGGTTCTTCACGCGTGCCGTTATCCGCCCGGGCAGGCTCCGTGACGAGATTCCCACCGCCGAGTACTTGATCTCGGAAGCGGATCGCGTTATCAACGATATCTTTGACGCCCTCGAGATTATCGGCACGAGCAACTCGGATTTGAACCACATGTTTATCAACTTCAGTCCCATCTTCCAGTTGCAGCCACAAGAGGTTGAGCACTCGTTGCAGGGATTCCTGGACCGGTTTGGCCCTCGCGGCTGGCGCCTGCGCGTCGCGAACGTCGAAATCCGTATTATTTGTACGGACCCGGTCACGGGCCAGCCGTATCCCCTGCGTGTTATCATCACAAACACGTCAGGGTATGTCATCCAGGTCGAGATGTACGCCGAGCGCAAGTCGGAGAAGGGCGAGTGGGTGTTCCACTCCATCGGCGGCACTACTAAGATCGGCGCGATGCATCTGCTCCCCGTCTCGACGCCCTACCCCACCAAGAACTGGCTGCAGCCCAAGCGGTACAAGGCCCATATCATGGGCACCCAGTACGTCTACGACTTCCCGGAGCTCTTCCGCCAGGCGATCCAAAACAGCTGGGCCACCGTCACCAAGGCGCAGCCTTCCCTGGCGAGTGAGCAGCCGCCCACTGGCGAGTGCATCGACTATAACGAACTCGTGTTGGACGACCAGGACAACCTGGCCGAGGTGTCTCGCGAACCTGGTACCAACTCATGCGGCATGGTGGGCTGGCTCATCAAGGCTCGCACGCCCGAGTACCCCAAGGGCCGCCGGTTCATCGTCGTGGCCAACGATATCACCTACAACATTGGCTCCTTCGGCCCCAAGGAGGACAACTTCTTCTTCAAGTGCACGGAGCTGGCCCGCAAGCTGGGCATCCCCCGCATCTACTTGTCGGCGAACTCGGGTGCGCGCCTGGGCCTGGCCAACGAGTTGATGCCTCACTTCAGCGTCGCTTGGAACGACGCCGAGAAGCCCGAGGCTGGATTCAAGTACTTGTACCTCAACGACGAGGCCAAGCGTCGCTTCGAAACAGAGGTCATCACCGAGGAAGTCACCGAGGACGGCGAGAAGCGCCACAAGATTGTCACGATCGTGGGTGCTGAAGATGGTTTGGGTGTTGAATGCTTGCGCGGGTCCGGCTTGATCGCCGGTGCCACGAGCAGGGCTTACAACGACATCTTCACCTGCACGCTCGTGACCTGCCGCTCTGTTGGTAAGTTTATTTCCCGTAGCCCCCGCGTCTTGTCCCACGCAATCTAACTTTTTTCAGGTATTGGTGCGTACCTTGTCCGTCTCGGCCAACGTGCTGTGCAGATTGAGGGACAACCGATTATCCTCACCGGCGCTCCGGCGCTCAACAACCTGCTTGGCCGTGAAGTCTACACCTCCAACCTGCAACTCGGTGGCACTCAAATCATGTACCGGAACGGTGTCTCTCACTTGACCGCCAACGACGACTTCGCTGGTGTCTCGAAGATTGTTGAGTGGATGTCTTTCATCCCAGACAAGCGCAACAGCCCTCTCCCCATCCGGGCTAGCATCGACGATTGGGATCGCGATGTCGTCTACACTCCGCCGCAGAAGCAGCCTTACGACGTGAGGTGGATGATTGCCGGCAAGCAGGATGAGGATAGCTTCCAGCCTGGCCTGTTCGACAAGGATTCGTTTGTCGAAACCCTAGGCGGCTGGGCTCGCACCGTGGTCGTGGGCCGCGCCCGTCTCGGCGGCATCCCCATGGGTGTTATTGCCGTCGAGACCCGCTCAGTCGAGAACATCACGCCCGCCGACCCCGCCAACCCTGACTCGATTGAGCAGATGACCAACGAGGCCGGCGGCGTGTGGTATCCCAACTCAGCCTTCAAGACGGCACAGGCCATCAACGACTTCAACCACGGTGAGCAGCTCCCGCTCATGATCCTCGCCAACTGGCGTGGGTTCTCGGGCGGTCAGCGCGACATGTACAACGAGGTTCTCAAGTACGGCTCTTTCATCGTCGATGCCTTGGTCAAGTTTGAGCAGCCCGTGTTCATCTACATCCCGCCCTTCGGCGAGCTGCGCGGTGGTTCGTGGGTCGTCGTGGACCCGACCATCAACCCCACCTTCATGGAGATGTATGCGGATACCGAGTCCCGCGGAGGTGTCCTGGAGCCCGAGGGTATCGTTGGCATCAAATACCGCAAGGACAAGCAGCTCGAGACCATGGCCCGCCTCGACCCCCTCTATGCCAGCCTGAAGAAGCAGATGGCCAGGGAGGGCCTGTCCAAGGAGGAGACGGACGATATCAAGAAGCAGATGACGGAGCGCGAGCAGCAGCTCCTCCCGGTCTACGCCCAAATCACGCTGCAGTACGCCGACCTGCACGACCGCGCCGGGCGCATGAAGGCCAAGGGTGTCATCCGCGAGGTGCTGGAGTGGCGCGAGGCCCGCCGCTTCTTCTACTGGCGCGTGCGCAGGAGACTCAACGAGGAGTACACCCTCCGCCGCATCAACAACGCCACGGCGCCCGGCGGCGCCCACGCCAAGGACGTGGCCGTCAGCGCGCAGGTCTCGGCCGAGGCCCGCAAGCGCCACCTGCACCTGCTCGAGGCCTGGTCCGGCCTCCCCAACTTTGCCACCGACGACCGCGCCGTGGCCGAGTGGTACGAGGTCAACCGCAAGCTGGTCCACGACAAGGTGGATGCGCTCAAGAAGGAGGCCATTGCCGCGGAGATGAGGGATCTGGTGCGTGTGGGCAGCGACGGTGGCGATGCTACCGACGGCGCGGCGTGGAAGGGCGTCCGTGATATGCTGCGTGTCATGCCCGTCGAGGAGCGGGATAAGGTGTTGGAGTTCCTGAAGCAGGTTTAGGGTCCTAGTTGTCCTAGTTGGGTGGGGTGGGTTTGGGATGATGGTTGGGGGCTAGGGTGGCAAGGGGGTGCAACAAATACCGGTTAGGTCGTTAGATTTTTCTTTTCCTTGTTTTATTTTCTTTGGGCTTGGCAAGGTCTATGTTAGTGTTAACGGGTAATGGGCTGGGCGGGCGGCTTGTTGCGGGAGTGGTGTGGTGGTTTGTATGGCTAGCGTGATGAGCGAATGATGATGTTTTCTGTCTGCTACCTGCCGCTGCGTCTGTCTTGTCGTGTTGGTTGTGTGACTGATGTGTGTCTCTGGTTGGGAGGGGTGGCTTGTGTTCTGTTGCTCGTGGTCTGGTGACAGCAAGTGAGATAAGTTCAGGGGTTTCTAACTAATGCCCCTGGGATGCAGTTACTGTAGGTGCAGTCGGTGTCTGGCATACTTTCTCTTGTTAGCAACTTCCTATCGTCGTACACCCGAGGCATGTTAATGCGTTTTTAATAATGGCTACACGATGATGAGTCCACGAACTTGTTGACATCCCGCCTTCCAGGGCAATACACCGTGATCCGCGCTGAAACCATCCTCGCCCCCAGCAGACGCCATTCAAGGGGGTTGGTGACTGTGCGGGATGCAAAACCCGTGTATCCCGCGGGCTGCTTGTTACAGGGTGACCGGAAGGAGCGTGGTTGGGGAGGGTTTGGATGAAACCGGGCGTTGTGTTGCGGTGCTTGCTCAACTGGATTCCCCGTCCTATAGATCTAGGTGTTGGGGAAAACGGGTGGCGTTGACGAAACCCAGCACCCGTCCACGGCCGCCTCCTGGCCGTCTCGCATAGCACGTGCAGGAGACAGAGCATTGGCCTAACCCAGAACTAGCCCGAGCTTCCTATCTGAGGCCGGCCTTGACTACCCAAGCCCCTCGCCTTCCGCTCTTGATAGACCCACTTCGCAAAGACCAGGAGATCAGGGATGGGCATGCTTATACAGGGTGTGGTGTTATTTTCGATCAACCCCGTGCTCCATCCATGTTGCAAACTGCCTGCCTCTCCGCCCCGGCAAGCCTTGCTTGTTCACCCGGGAGTTTGGGGTTTGCCATGCGTACGTACGGGGGGCGTGACTCAGACCATTTGCAGTTACCTACCCTAGACTAAACCGTCGGAGCATGTTTGGGACTTCCTGTCTGGGACTTCCACGCCCAGACGGGGCTGCTTGCATGGCGGTTGCCGTCGCGGGTATGACTTGGGGCTCTTTCGCTGTTGGCAATCGGCACGGAACTTTCTCTATCTCATTACTGGAGCGCGGGATAGATTGTGACTTGTGACAGGTTCCGCAGATCTGACGCGGCACGTGGGGTGTGCCCACGGTCTGTTTGTGTTACGGTTGGAATCTCCTGGGAATTGGTAATCTTCCGGTGCACTAAACATAGTGCGGCACGTGGAACAGTGGGAAGATGCGGCTCGTGGTACGGTTGTGCAGACCAAGGGCAGCGCATGGAATTGGTGTCTATTTGTATTTATGGTGCTACAGGCGGGGAGGCCGTGCAAAGGATAGTTTCTGCGTAGTTGATGTTGTTGGGCTAATTTGTGTTGTTTATGCCTCATGTGGTTTACGTCGGTGTCCATTGTAACAGAGCTTTACACCGAACTGTTAAGGCCAGGATATGGGGGATCATGTAATGGAACGCTGCCAGAAGGCTGGTAATCCTCCAGTAGTTTTCTTTGCAGCATCAGGAGCAATGCTGCGGTTCGTGGTTAGTTGTACAGATCTGAGGCAGTACGTGGAATTTGCGTCCAGGCGTAACCAGGAGGTAACCCAAGGGGACTTGACCAGTCGGGAGGTTGGCTGCGGTGACAGTATGTTGTCGTTTGGGAACATGTGAGCGTGGTAAAAGGGGATAAAACAAGAATGGTTACGTACCTAGGTTTTGTTCGCTTGTGGCCTTTCTCTCATCGCTGGGATCGCTGGAGAGAGAACCACTTACAACCCGAGCTGACGTTTCTGACTCGCCGTGGTAAACTGGTGAGCTGGCGTTACCACAAACAAACATTGGAAAATGATTCCAGATGAATCTAACTTTATCACTGTCACATATCAGCGACGTCAGCCACGGAACGCGGCGTCATGGGGAGTATCGAAAGTACCAGGAAAAAGGTATAAGTATACTGCAGCATTAACTGTCCGCCTACTCTTCTCCAATTCGATATCATCATTACCAAGCACTTTTCATGCCCATCAGCCAATCTGTTAACCCTCAAGCTCACCCCCTTGATACAATGCCAGACCAACCTGAACCCAACCCAACGGTGACGATCACGGTGCAGCCGCCTCACGACGTCAAGAAAGACAGCCCCATCACGCCAAAGATCAGGGCCAGGCTGCAGTTCAACGCCAAAAACTCCCTAAAAAACCAGGTCGGCAGCATCTACGCCACAGCGGTTGTGAGGGACATGGACGAAACCGCAATCGCCAATTCCGACTACAGCGGAAAAATGGAAACCGAATATCAGTCGAAGAAGACCGTGGGAGACAAAACCAATGTCACCTATGCGTTCCCGGAGTTGTGCGTCCGCAAGGCTGGCACCTTTCGTATCACCGTTTCGATCCACTCCATGGATGGGTCGGGGAGTGTGGTGCTCGGTGAGGCTCGGAGTGAGGCTTTTACGGTGTATCAAAGGAACTAGGCGAAGAGGATGCTAAGGTTTCAGGTGCAAGTGAAGTGCGATTCCCGGGGTTGGTGATGTTGATGACTGATGTGTGGATCGTTGGACCTTCTAGGGAGATTCAGATGGGATGCCATTTGAAACTTGTCGGACTCTGAGAGATGGACTTGTCTTGTGATTCTAGGTTTGCGGAAAATTGTTCGGAGGAAGGAGCTGATGCATGAGGAGGATACGTCATGTTCTTTGTTTATCATGTGGTGGCATAGAATGTTTCTGTTGGTGTTTTCGGCCGGATCCGATACAGTCAGCAGAACAGCAGAGTTTCTCATGTCAACTTGACAATCTTTTTCAGATTCATGGTGTTTGTTACTACTGTAGACGTCACACAGTCTGCTCATGTCGTGGTGTATGTTTCAACTGACTGGTCGCAAATTCGATACAGGATGCCAGTGATCCAATATCTCTGACAGGCACAAGATCTGTACGCTGCTGTCCCCCCCATCGGACTCACAGTTAGGTTTCGTCGTAGTGCTTTCCTACATGCTTCTCTTCTATCGTCCGGGCGGTAAGCTCAATCAGATGGAGCCCGCTTAACCTCTCATCCCTTGGTTGATAATTCGCGAAGATGCCACCTCAAAAACAGAAGATAAAAAGCAATAAATACAAAGGCGAAATATCCAAAAAATGACAGGAGGCAATCGCTGCCGGGAATTGAGCCCGACGTGGGGGTCGAACCCACAACCTTGAGATCTGAGATTACGTGAGATAATTAAGAGTCTCACGCTCTACCGATTGAGCTAGCCGGGCAGGCTAGTTGATGCGTTGAAGTGGGGGCGGGAAATACGATATTCATGCTCCTTTGCAATGCCTACTTCTCGGCCTCAATCTTGGTCGAGAAGTTTTGATGCTCAGTGCAGAGTAAACCAACGAGCTTGCGTGTGATGTAACGACTTCGGGCAACAAGGGACGTGGCCCCGACCAATCATTGTTATTGTATCCATATGGAAGGCTATGCATACCAAACCCCGAGCGCCGGCGGCTCTCGAGCTGTTGCTTCTCTGGGGCTTGGTATGTGTGAAGACAGACTGCCCACCGAACGAGCCACCGTGTCCGAGGGTGTTGCCCTGCTCTTCGTTGACCCTGGCCCTCACCTGATACGTCTGCCCTTCCCTGTGGACGGCCCAAGCCATTTTGTATCCAGCTTCAGAAACCCCCGTCGGCAATTATAAATAGAAGCCGCGCATTCCACGAGATAAAAAAGAAAATCGATGGACCCAAAAAAATATTATCATTCATACTCCGCTATGCCCTAAAGCGTGCCGGACCCTCAGCTATTTAGTGTACTGGAAAACCGTGCCCTCCCGGGCCGGGTGAAAAACCCATACCAACGGTCAAGGAACGATGCGTTCTGGTGAGTCTGCGTATACGAAGAGAGGAGTCCCGTTCCTTTAACCACCTCGCTCTCCAAGCCTCTTCTACTACCCTGTTCGTATCAACGATTCCCCCCGTCCAGCGCATGACCGTGCCCGCGGCTCTCTCCACCGCCGTAGGCCCTTGAGGTCCCAAGGTTCGCGGTCGGCCCCTGTTGCCCCTCCTCGAGCTAAGTCTCTGCTGTATCTTGCGGCAGGCGGTGAGGACAACGCTCCCCGCCGTCTTCTTGCCGCCTTGACCGTCCTCCAGATCGGGTTGTTGGAGTCGGTTTTCGAAATCTGCAAGCCGTTTGTTTAGGTACAAGTCCAATGGTGGTACCCATGTCTCTGCCTCGAGGTTACGGATGGGGTTAGACTTAAAGGCTCCCGCCACAATCCGCAAGCTCTTGTTCTGGGCCTTCCCGAGGGCCTTAGTGATGCCTTTCTTTACCGGCTCGCCTCCCACATCCGTGGGAATGCTTGAAATATACTGTAGTACACCCGCCATATCGCGGTAGGTATGTAGGTATTTGCTGGGGGCTATTGGGATATGCGGGAGGTTGACGCAAGCTTTTGCGGGCCGACAACCGCGCCCCTTCTGGCATCTCAACCGGGCGCAACCAATCCCTCTTGCCCATCCATAACGTACGCCTCTCAAGCGGCCGTGCTGCTGTGCCTGGACCGCTTGCGGGCGCTGCCGGGAGCGCCGGGATGCATCTTCTCGTTGCGTTCGCGCTTGAGCTTTTCGTCGAGCACGCGGGCTGTGAGGGGGAGGGGGGGCCAAAGGTTAGCACTGCGCAACAAACACACGTCCAACAAGGGTTCTCCGGGAAACATACTGAGCACGTCGTAACCGAACTGGGGGAACTCCAAGCAGAGGGTGCGGAACTCCTCCTCGGCCTCGGCGCGCAGGGTGTGGGAGCGGGTGGCCCAGAAGTTGGCGACGGGCACGCGGATGGCCGTGTCCTCGCGCGAGGTGTACTCGTAGACGTAGCGGGCGTAGGCGATCTCGCCCTTGGCGGTCGAGTTGACGCAGTGAATCTTGCTGGACGCGAGGTTCTTAAGGTCGGTGAGGCCGAACTTTTCGGCCAGCGTGTACACCTTGGCGTGCTTGAGCAGCTGCTCGCCCGTCATGTCCACGTCGGGAATCGAGGGGTCCTTCTCGAGCGTGCGCTGGCCGGGCACCTTCTTCGGGAAGTAGTCGGATGTGTAGAGGAACTCTCGAAAGCACCCCATCGCTTCGAGGTCTTCGCCGGGCAGCTCGATCTGGCGGGGCTACAGGACACGCACACAAAGTCAGCAACGAAACCCCCAAGCCCACACCCAACAAACCCGCCCGCAACAACACCACCAGCAACATAAGAGACTCCCAACCCCCAAAAAGAGCAAAAAAAACCAGTACCTACACTCCCATCATCCACGAGCTCGGCACACGCCTCCGCAAATCACGGACTCTGCACCAGCAACCCCTGATGCGCCGTCAGGGTCGTCTCGCTCTCGCCCGACCCAATCAGCAGCGTGACGGGCGGGCTGGCCAGGTACTGCAGGAAGGTGGTGCGCGCGGGGACGGCCGCCGCCTCCTCCACCGGGACGCCCTCGGCGAACGGCAGCTCCGAGCCGTCATTAGCGGCCCCAGCAGCGGTCTCGGTCATGCCGACGTCGTCGGCGACGCCGGCGGTGGCGGTGGTGCCGGTCGCCGGTGCGTCGTCGACCATCTCTTCGTTGAAGCTGTCCGCCATGGTGGGGGGTGTTTTTGGGGGGGGGGGGGGGAGGGAGTGGTTCGGTGGGTGTTCGGAGGTCGGTCGGTAGTCAATTGGTATCGCTGTTGCGCAGTTGGGGGGGTGGAAGTGATTGGAGCGGTCGGTTAACCGGTAATTGGTTGATGGCGTGGTCGCAAAGTCAACAAAGGATTGAATGGATGCAAGCGGGCTGGGCGCGTGGGGACCGCGAGGGACCGAATGGTACCGAATACGGCAGATTATGCGACTGGAAGCTCGGGTACGATAAGAGAAGGTGGGGACGCAAAGACACAATGCGTCCTGGTCCGACGCTGGGACAATGGAGGCGATCGCAGAGTGGTTCTTTCGAAACTGGAAGGCAAGCTCATGGAGCTCCCAAAGCTCCAATTGTATGCCTGAGGCTACAGCAGACAGGGGGCACCGCATGCAGGTAATTACAGGCGTTATGTATTGTGTATCAAGAACATTTTGAGAAACCGCCAGCAAGAAACTCAAAGAACCAATCACACCCGCCGATACAAAGCTGGATAAAGGGCATATTTCATTATATATTCCATTACACCACGCTAGCAACCACTATAGCCCTGCTCTGTTGGCAAAGCGGACGTCGAGGTGACCATCCGATCGGCCCCGACATTCAGGCAAGATAATACAAATATGTAACACACAAAAACAGTGCTTATTCCCACTGCCGTCACCTTTAAGCCAGGGTAATCACCGCGCGATAATTCACAGTAACAGTTCACTGGGCCATAGCCTTTGCACTAGCTCTGCGGGCACGTCCGCTCCGGCGGTAGTTATCACCAGGAGTCCCCTGGGGAGTGCCGGACTCGCGCTGTCGGCCGCGCTCCTCGCTGGGCGCCAGCGAGCTGCTGCTCTGGCCGAGGCGCTCTCTCCAGGGTTTGCGACCACGTATAATGGCCTCGTCATCCGGGTGCAGGAAGCGGTTGATGAGTCGGTGATCAAGCACGCGCTCCTCCCTGTCGTTCTTGCCGGCCGGTGCCGTCTTGGGCCAGACGTAGCCGTATAGCTTGGAGTGGCGCTCGCATCGGGAGCAGTTCGCCCGCGTGTAGTAGGCGTCACTCTGCACAAACGCCGTGTTGCAGTTGGTGCAATGGATCCACGCCGTCTCGGGCTGCGCGAGAAGGAGTGGTGTGAGCGTGTAGTCGCCCGGCACGCGCTGTTTCCGGACGGGTTCTGGCGCGGGTTTTTCTGACACCCGGCGTTTCTTTTTCTTTGTTGAGACGGCTGATATGACCGGGGCCACCTCATTATGAGGCTCTGCGGTCAAGCTGGACGCTCCCAACACCGGGGTTTCGGCACCTTGTTGGGCATTGTTTTCCGCTTCTTGAATTTGCGAGGGCGCCGAATTCGGCACCGCAAGGCTCTCCTCTATAATCGTTTCCTGCGAGTCTTGCCGCGCCACGCTTTTTCCCTCTTGAGTAAGCCGGGGGGGCTCAGATACGGGAGTGATATGCTCCGGCAAATCGTTTGCTGTCATCGAGCATTCGGAGCTGGGAAACAAAGATGGTGTAGTAGCCGCGATATCGAGCGTTTCTTCCGGAAGATCGGTTTCCGTAGTAGGAAGAACCGACAGCGGTGCGCCAGTCTCTGTGGGCTCGTCGCGCTCGCCATTCAACGCACCGACCGGCGTGGCACCCTCTTTCATCGGCGACATCTCTGGTGACAATAGCGGTTTTTCTCGCATCGACGGTGGTTTCGGTTCCTCAAATTCCGGTGTTGTCGCTTGTGTGGCGGTGCTCTTCTCGTCTTCAGTTGCAATAAGACTGTCTACGGGCCCACTGGCTGAGCTGTCCCTCGAGACGTCCAAGCCCAGTGGAAGGGGAACAACGTCGTAATGGTTCGGCTTTTGGCGCTTGGCCGGTGTGAGAGGCGGAGAGCTAAGGGCCGTCGTATCAAAATTCCGTTTCGGGGCAGCTACGGCCATGGCGACTACGTCGATGCCGTCAGAATCTGTCGTCGAGGCCCTGTCGCTCGCCATTGCTCGGTTTTTTGCGGTCTTGAAAATACGCGGACGGATGTCGGGGGTGACCGACGAGGTGCGAGACCCAGCGACGCTAACGCTCCGCTCCCGCCGCCGTCGACGCAACGAATAGCCCTGGTCGTCGCCTAATACACTTTCTTCGATGCTCCTATGCACTGGCACGGTACCATCCTTGGGCTTCCAACCATTGGCCACGTTGTCCTCACACGTCTGGCAGAGACAATCGCAGTTGTTCTCCCCAAAGTAGCTCTCGCTGTACGTGACGGTGATCTCCTCGCCCAACCCGATGTCCCTGCACGCAAAAATCTCAATCCCTGCCGAGCCGCGCGTAACAAGCCTGGCATTTGCCGCACAATCGTGGTTGGCGAATCTCGCGGGCCCCATGAAAAGGCTGGTCAGCTTGCTCCGGCTGCTGACTACGAGACTGAAGTCCTTCTTGCGCAAGGCTAGCTGGGCCTCCTCCTCTGGCGTGACCGTCACCTGGGTGCCGGCCAAGTACTTGATCGCTTCATTGCGCCGAATTGGGCGCCTCGCTGTGATGCTCGCTTCGTATGAGTCGATAGTAAAACGGTTCGTCGCATTGACTTCGAATGGACAATCGGGGAGGTAGATGGATATGTATCGCCGGAGATGCGCTTTGAAGTCCTCTTTCTCCTTGTCTGTCCGGAGTGAGTTATGGAATTTCCTCAAGCCGTCGGTCGCCAACAGCTTCTCCTCGGCGATGGCGAGGTCCGGGTCGACGATAAGGTGAGTTTGGATAATTTTAGTAATCTCCTCTTCCCGGATACCGCGGGAAGGATGGTATAATGGGCGATTCTTCGGTATTGCCGTCCAGTAGTAAACCTGTTGTTCGTGGTCAGCGACTGCTTCCTGCCAAGCCCGATTCTGGGCCACTTACATGGTCAATAAGGGCGTCGGTCAAAATATCATCGTACGCAGCGAGCTGCGCAAAGGTCAATGGCTGCTTCTTGATCGCCGACGTCGGGGCGCGAGGCATTATGGTGGGGAGGGAAGGTGTGTTTTCGCGGGGAGGTGGAAGATTGACGAAGGTTGGTTTGAGGGAGGGCGGAGAAGAAGGGAATGAATGAGGGTTCGTGTGGGTGAAGGGAGGCCACCCGTGCCGGTGAATAAAAGGAGTGGAAGCGCAATGTCGGTGCGGCGACAAAGTAAGGAGCGTCAGATTCTCATGCCCAGTGCGCCGTCCTCATGCGATGTCAGGTGTGGGAAAGGTGTCCTGGTTGGAGAAGCGCCGTCCTGTTGCAGCATGCACGTGCTTAAAACCGTCGAGCAGCTGAACCAAATCCGAGAAACAGCTGGGCTCAGCCTTCAAGTGCGACCCTCCAGCTACAGTTAGGCTACCAATTGGCGGCTGCAGGACGAAAATGGTTCGAGTGAGTACCGCAAGTCGTAGATCGGGTTACAGATTTCCAGTTGTTGTCGTCATAAGTTGCGGAAGTGACTCGCCGGAACCCTGAACACAACCATCCGCGGGATTGCGTATGATTGGCGATTCTGCTGGGAAGGGTGAGTTTCGGGGGAAGGAGATGGTGGATGGTGCGACCCTGTCCCCTTGGATTTTTAGAGAAGTGTCCGTAATTACATACAATGCCAAAAGAAAGAGGGAGGCAGTTGCATGCAAGTGCTCAACAAGGCCCCTCAATGTGCCCGTTGCCCTGGAAATTGCGAGGCTTGGCGCAGGAGGCAAGCCAAACAGGGAGAGGGGAGGAGCGACATGCGCTCGAAGCTTTTGCGCAATGGACTCGATTGGCTTTGACCTCCCGCCAAGCCTCTCCACATTCCCGGGGTTCAAGATCACCCTCGCTGCGCATCTCACACCGCCTTGGTTACATAATCCCGCCGCATCCATGCCAGGCGCAAACAATTTTCCAGGATCGGCATTGGCCGAAAGCTGAAGTGGGCTTCAACGTCGAGAAGTCCAAGACAGTCAACACCACTGCTGGCAGGCACCGTGTGAGGGGCAATCGACTCAGGATGATTCAATTAAAGGTACATACGGTCACCCTGCGGAACTGGCATACCAGGCTGACGGTCGACTAGTCTATGCTGAACTGCATCGACAACTCTGGCGCGGCCATTGTCGAATGCGCCATGGTAATCGGGCAGAAGAGGCACGCCTCGATCGGTACGCAACAACCGCCCCGCCGAACCAGAACCCGACCCCCCTAGCAGACACTAACCGGTACGGTCACAGGTGACAGGATAGTGGTGGTTGTTCAGAAACAGAGAGGTGCCCAGGCGGAGGGCATGGCCGCATCCTCGGGCACCAAGGTGAAGCGCGGCGACATCCGGCACGCCATCGTGGTACGGACAAAATACAAGGTGCAGCGGCGAGACGGCAGTGTGATCCGGTTCGACGACAATGCCTGTGTTTTGATCAACAAGTCCGGCGACCCCATCGGCTCGCGAATCAACGGCGTCGTGGGACAGGAGCTGCGGAAGAAGAAGTGGAGCAGGATTCTCAGCATGGCGCCCATGCAAGCATGATTGAGGAAAGGCTAGGAGAAACAGAACGCAGGCGAGATTGTCGGTTTAGTGACCCAGCCACCGTGACTTGAATTCTGCGTGCTCGAGCCGCGGAAAGGGGTTGGCATGGCTGGTTGGTGCACGGGAATACAGCATCTTACGGCGTTATTGGGCGTCGTGTATACTACTTGTACAAATGAAAGGGGGAAACCGTAGACACCATGGTCTAGCTCTGTATGGTGATCGAGTAGATACATGCATTGACCCTAGTGAAAACGCTGCACCACCCACAAAAACCATATCCACCCGAAAGAACCCCAAACTATCGCTAAACGCCAAAGTGTGCCGATGCCCTCTAATAAACCATTGGCTAAAGCTAGCCCCGCGAGGAAAGAAAAGAAACAGTTCTCCAGTCTTATTGGAAAATGTTGCCGCAGTCGCAACAGACGTAGAAAAGTTTCTAAAAAAATGTTAGCCAAAGGTGACTCCGGGCGCCGCGGTCAGGGCTGCTCACCATTCCAGTTTCAGCACTGCGCTGCTGGGACTGGAAAAAGACGGCCTCGTCATGGTGGCAGGCCGGGCAGTTCCGTTTGGCTCTTGGCAGCTAGGCAAGAAACATCGTCAGCGGCTGGTTCCTCGTCCTCATCGAACAGAAAGTCGCAATCCAATGCCTGCAAGCTTCAACTGCCAACTCCCAGACCCCGGGCGCCCCCGACAAGACGGGTTGTTAAGTCGTATATTTGCGTTAATGATGACGATGGTTGAATCGTGCCCGAAGTCCGCTATCGTGGATGTCGTAGGTCGTGCATATCGTAGATCGTACAAGTCGGCCAAGGCCTTTCGAGTACTTGGAGTTTGCTCGAGTTGCTGCCGAAAACTGATGTTTCAAGGACCAGCCGCAACCACCCGAGGCTTCCCTCCCTCGGCGATAAGGATGTTCTCGGTCTTCTCATTCATGCCGAAATCCATATCGCCGAGCCCGAAGAAGTCCTCAGTCCGCGACATGAACGCGGCAAGTTCGTCGAGGCTGTCACCCGTCCAAGCCACAATCTCAATATCATCCAGGTCCACGTCCAGGTCGTCGTCATCGTCCATATCGATGTCTCGGTCAAACTCCAGAACGCTAGCCTCGTCATGTTCTAGCCCCGGGGGAGGGGAGTCGGCAGCAGGAAGCATGGAGAAATGGTCGCCGCATGTCTCGCAAGAAAGGATACGACCGCAACCAAGGCAAGAAGAAAGACAGGCTGAAGTGGTGGACGAGCTCGTCGACCCTGACAGGCCGGACGAGCCGGAACCCCGGCGGTCGAAAACGTCGACATTGGAAGAAAAAGAAGAAGGGCTACCCACAGTAGGATCGCTACCGACGTCCTGCGTCACGCCGGCCGTCTCACCCGCAGCGTTGTTCATGGCGTTGCGGAAGATACAGGTCGAGCTCGCCTCCTCCGAGAAGTTGCACGTGCGGCACGTGAACATGAGCTTGTGGTCAACCTCGTCCTCCTTGGGGTACAGCATGTTGCTGCACTCGGAGCAGAACCGGAAGGTGATCTGCTCGGCCGGCTTCTTACGGTCGTCGGAGACGGAGGCTGCGGGCGATGACATCGTTGGAAGGGTGGATGGCTGGTAGGTGATCTCTTGATTGATGAAGGTGGCGTTGGGGTGCGCAAGGCCGTCGATGGAGCTGAAAAGGATGCGAGGTGAAAACCGATGAGAGATTTGTGTTTTGAGTTGAAGAAGGATTGCCTGTCGGATGGAATCTTGATGAGTCGGCTGTTGGGAAGATGAGGTGGTTAAGCGAGAATGATGGCTTTGCAGTGATGCTGGTGTGGTAAAAGAGCTGGAGGAAGACCGGCGCGAAGGACCTTGTGCTTGACCAAAACCAAAATGGTCGGGGCGTCACGTTACCTTTTAGTAAGCCTAGAAAATGGAAAGAATAGACTGGACCTAAACCTGATGGAGGGTTATGGAAGGTATGGGTTGCTGATGGGTTTCCTGAGAAGTGAGGCCTGGAGTTGGTAAGAGTGATGATAGGTGCTCTGCAGCTGTTCACAGCCAGCTCTGTTCCACTTGAAAAACGAGGCTGCGCTTTGCCATTTGCGGCGTCTGCCTTGTGCCTAACCCACCGCCCCACTCGCCTTCTTCACAAAGCCGGGCAGGCGCGCTCTGCGCTTTCTTGTGACCTCGACCACTGGCCACAATGGAATAATCTAAGTGCTTTACCTGCCATCATCCAGCTTTTGAGCCGGTGCGATATCTGAGATTATGGGATACCTGATGGGTGAACTTGTGGATTTTTTCAAAGCTTTACGATAGCTCTGAGCGTTGCCCGGAAATACGCCCGGTTCTGAGAGCTTCTCGAAACCCTACAATCGCCCCAGCCTCACCTCCTTTGAGGCGACAGAGATGCAGGTGGCGTGGGCGTGGCTGCCATTTTGTCCGCGGCAGGCCCCTCGTTTGTTGTTATCCTTCTCCTTGGGAACGCTACGATTTTGGTCTACTCAAAACGCTGGGCGTGGTGGATTGGCAGGTTGAAACTGGAGGTAGGTCTATTTGCAAGCAATGTGATGATATGGGCCTTAAATGTTGGTAGTGGTTGTGCACTATTCTCAAGGCAGCGGAGACCGATGCATGCATCAAAGGCACAAGAAGCCCAAGTACCTCAGGTAGGTCTTCATTGGATGAAAGCGCGGTTAACTCAATCTCACCTACCTACTAATTGATGGTTCGGGCCCATGGTTGGAAAGGGGCCCGATGCAGACGGAATTAATACGGACGAGGTAAAGGAGGAATACTCCTCCCACGTGCCCCTTGGTGTATCTTCATCTCAAGCTCGCTACTCGGTGGCGCAACTGTTATTCGCTGAGATGAATGGATGGCCACACCTCAGGTAGCCACTTGAATTGCCGCGCCGGTTACGTCGACAGTAACATTACAACCTCGAGCTCCGAGCCTCGTGATGGATGATGCGCGAAATGGCTCCCACAAGGGTGGGACAGGTGACGGGTGACAAAGCCTGGCGATGGCGGGGTGCTCGGCCACTGAAACAGGGGTCCGGTGCAACCCGTCTGTCGTGCCCTGGCGAGCCTGGCAGGATCAAGGCGCCAAGCCCTCCAGCGCCCCGGACCCCCGAGAGCAACCTGGAACCCCCCACCACCCTTTCTCATCACCCCGCCTTCTCGGCCCAGCTGCACTCCGCATCCAGAGGGCTTCGATTGACCATCACTGCAACCCTGTAACTCTGCCGACCCCGACTTAAAAGACGAAGCGCGTCATCAAGCACTCTGCAAGGACAGCTTTCTTTGGACGGCTATTCTCTTTCGTCTGGTTCTCGATCCAGGGTCATTCTCGCTACCCATACCTACCACAACCGATACCTGCCTAGCTACCTACTCGCGTGCCACCAAACAGCTCAACCCAACAACGCCTTATCCGTGACAACCTAACCACTCCTCCCTACCACCGGCCCAAAGTTTCAGCCAACGACGACCATGACCGACGTAAGTGATGCGCGGCCAGCTCCCTCTCGGCTTTCTCGACCTCCTCAGCCTCAAACAGCAGGGAGCTAACATGTCCTCTCCCCCAGCAATCCGAAACCGGCCTCCCGCCCAACTGGGAGGTGCGCCACAGCAATTCCAAGAACCTTCCCTACTACTTCAACTCGGTCGAGAAGGTCTCACGCTGGGAGCCGCCCGCGGAGACCGACACAGAAAAGCTCAAGCTCTACATGGCCGAGTACCATAGCAACAAGGGCCTGGCCGCGGGCACAGGCGAGGACCGCCAACCGGGTAAAATCCGCGCCGCCCACCTGCTCGTCAAGCATCGCGACAGCCGCCGGCCCTCGAGCTGGCGCGAGAACACCATCACCCGCACCAAGGAGGACGCCTACGAGATCATCAAGGCCCACGAGGCCCGCATCAAGGGCGGCGAGGTTTCGCTGGGCCAGCTCGCCCTCACCGAATCCGACTGCAGCAGCGCTCGCAAGCAGGGAGACCTTGGGTTTTTCGGGCGGGGGGACATGCAAAAGGAGTTTGAGGACGCCGCGTTCGCGTTGCGAGAGGGCGAAGTGTCCGGGATTGTCGACACCGCCAGCGGGCTACACCTAATTGAGAGGTTTGTCACCCTTGTTCGTGTTAGAATATAGGACGTTGCTGACTCGCTCTTCTAGGCTCGAGTAACCTTCTCTTCGACGAGTTGCGGGGAGTCTGCTTCTGTAGGGTTTTGTCTCATATTTGGCTGAGAAGACGATCTGCGATAGCGAGCCTGTTAGAACAAGATTACGTTGATGTGCCACGCTGATAGGGGTCGCGAAACGGCCGATTCACATAATGGAATGGAAGATACCGAGATGCGCATGTGTGGCCCCTGTGGTTCAGCTTGAAGTTGACTCTACGGTTCTCCAACGGACCCCCCGGGTGTTCACCCCCAACAATAAAATCACCCTGCTTTCCCGAGACATTTAAAAACAGAATTCCCCGCACCATATGTCAACTGTCTTCTAGTATGCCCCACCCCCCTTGTAATATGTATCCTCTCATTCCACAACACTTTTTACAATCCACGCCGCAAGCGGCGGGATACTCGAAAACACGACCGTCATGACGCCCAACGCAATCATCGAAAGCGCCGCGTACGGGGCCGCCTCGCTCTGCACCTCGTATAAATACGCCGTGCCCATCGCCGCGGCGTTGATGCCGACCGTGACGCCGGCGGCAACAACCCTTGGGTGGTTCGGCCGCCTCCGCCGTGCTGTTACGGCCGCGGCCTCCCCACTGTCTCTGTCTCTGTCTCTGTCCCCGCCCGTCTGTGTTTGTGTCTGTGTCTCTGTTGTGTGTGTCTGTGTCTCCACCCCCGTACCCGTGCCCGTACCCGTGCCCGTTTCCGTACCACCACGCCCATCCCCATCCCCGCAAGGCTGGGCCCTCCGCCGCCGTCCTCTTGATCGACACCAGCCCTCGTCCACCACGCCGCTCAACCCCGTTATCATCCCCTAACCTCCACTCGCATTCATCCCTTCGCCTCGTCCCCCTCCCCCTCCCTCAGGCCGTCCTCATCCTCCCTCTCGCCGTGCTCATCCTCCTCCACTCCCCTCAACCCCA